CCAGTCTCTGTAAGACAATTATCTCCAGTAAACCACCAGAAAGCTGAAAGTGGAGATGTAGCTCTAATGTTAAGAGTCCTAGCCTTGAGCAAAACAGCTCAGGAGCAGCACTCAGATTCTTTGAGTTCAAGCCCAGGACAAGTACAAAAGAAAGTATCTTTTTACAGGCAAGTGGTTCTGGGGATCAAAATGCAGATGCTGAGCAAACTCCATTCTGAGTTTGACTATACCCTCTCCCTGGCTCTGATACATTTGTTACAATTGGTGAGTCTCCATCCACACAGCACTATTACTCCAAAGTCTATAGTCTACATTTAGGGTCACAGAGTGGCCAACTTATGAATTTCACACAAATGTTTCACTCTTCCATATAATATTTATTTATTTTCAAGATAAGGTCTCTATAGGTTAGCCTTCAACTCACAATCCTGACTCAGCCTTTGGAGTGCTGGGATCACAGGGGTATACCACTATGCTACAATCTTTTTTTGTATCAAAGTTCATATGCAACTGCTAAAGTTTCAGCGTAAACACAAAAATGTTATTTGGACAACCAGTGTCTTTTTTTTTTTTTTGCCAGTCCCAGGACTAGAACTGAGCCTGGGTTCTATCCCTGAGCTTTTGTGCTCAAGGTTAGTGCTCTAGTAACAGCTCCACTTCTGGCTTTTGGATAATTAATTGGAGGTTAGAGTTTCTTGGACTTCTCTACCCAGGTTGGCTTCAAACTGTGATCCTCAGATCTCAGCCTCCAGAGCAGAGAGGATGCCACAAGCAGGAGCCACAGTTGTCAGGCCCTGTGCCTCTTTTCCTCCTTTGTAGCCTTAGGGGTAGAGGGGTGTCTTCTGTAATCTTCAGCCTCAGGGTAGCCACACCTTCGACACTGAGATTGCCAATCATCTTTTTATCTGTAATACCAAAGGTGTGTTTAGTCAGACTTTGCTCCAGTCCTGGAATCCAGGACTGGATTTTAGCTCTTGACTTGGGAAGTACTGGCCCGTTGTAGCTAGGCCAGAGCTGTTCCACGTACAGCAATCAGGAAGCAGAATGGAGCCGGAACCGGAAAGGCCAGGATGAGATACATTTCCCACAAACACATCCCCTCTCACCTTTACCAACCTGGTCCCATCTATCACCTCCCAAATATCCTAGTGACTCAGGAGGCTGAGATTTGAGGTTCACTGTTCAAAGTCAGACAGAGCAGGAAAGTCCATGAGACTCATCGCCAATTAAGGACTCCTCCCCCTCCCCCCCCCCCCCAAAAAAAGCCAGAAGTGGAGCCGTAGGTCAAGTGGTAAAGTGCTGGGCTTAGAGCACAAAAGCTCAGGGACAGTTTCCTAGGCCCTGAGTTCAAGCCCTAGGACAGGCATGAGAGAGAGAGAGAGAGAGAGAGAGAGAGAGAGAGAGAGAGAGAGAGAGAGAGAGGGAGAGAGAGGGAGGGAGGGAGGGAGAGAGAGAGAGAGAGAGAGAGAGAGAGAGGAGAAAATGCTATAGATTTTTTTTTTTGGCCAGTTGTGAGGCTTGAACTCTGGGCCTGAGCTCTTCAGCTCAAGGCTAGCACTCTACCACTTGAGCCACAACGCCATTTCCCATTTTCTAGTGGTTCATTGGCACCTGGCAATGATATTCTTTTAGAAAAATCTTCCTTTATTAGCATCGATTAGATGGATAGGGAGTTTTATTTTGACACGTCCACATAAATGCATACAGTGTATCTTGGTCTCACTCACCCACCCCTCCGTCATTCAGTGCCCCCTTTCCCCAGGCAATTTCAACATTCACCTTCCTTCCCCTTCCCCTTTTACTCTCCCTTCTCCTACTAGTACTCCATCTCCAAAATAAACTCCCTTTTCTATCAGTGATCATAACAAGTCCTGCCCAATACTAACTGGTTGTCCTGGTAGTTCTGGGCCTGTGGGGAGGCAGCCAGCTTTGTGACTTCACAAAAACCTATTTTATGACTAGTCTGGACCTGGTGGAGCAGGAGCTAGGTGCAGGAGGCTCCTCTCAGGAACATCATGTGACTTTCCATAGAGTTTCACTCCCAGCTCTAAGGGAATGCAGAATAGCTGCTCAACGGTAAGAGCCCAGGATACCCTCTGTACCTAGAAATGCCTCTCCTTGATAGCTTTGGTTTCTAGGCCTATGTGAGTACTCCAGACACTATCTCAGAGGTCCAGGCCCATGGCAACCAGGCTTGTAGAGGAGCAGGAAGTGGTTACTCCAGGTGCTAGTGGTGCTGGATCACTGAATGGAGAGGGAGGGACTTTAAACCAGCCACTTCCTATTAGGCAAACCTATTCTTCTCTGGGATCTTTCAAAGTGAAATAACTGATGAAATGAGAAACTTGATCTGACTGGCATCTTCATTAAAATCTGCCCAGTAGTTCTCAGAGTACCTCCAAATGGGGTCAGGTCAGAGATCTCCAAATTCTGTAGAAATGTAACTGCAAATAGACAATGCCAAAACCCCAGAGGCTTTTGGGAGTTTGAAGGCAAGGTCAGTGAAGACATTATCCAATGCCAACTCCATTGTTGTGTCTTCCCAAAGAAATCTGAGGCAAAGTTCTGGGGGGTCAGGGCTTGGCCATTCATCCTTTTTCTGCTTCTGGAAAGCCCTGAAAGTATGACAGCTCACCTTTTCAAATGGGGGCAGTTTCTTTCTCAGGTTATACCACAAGAGAGGAAAGAATAGAGTGCATATGGTAGGATAGATTCCAGAGATACTCTATCATGAGGCCAAGAAATTTCTCTCTCTTTCTCTTTTTTGCTGGTCATGGGGCCTGAACTCTGGGCCTGGGCACTGTCCCTCAGCTCTTCAGCCCAAGGCTAGCGCTCTACCACTTGAGCCACAGCACCACTTCCAGCTTTTTCTGCTTATGTGGTGCTGAGGAATCCAACCCAGGGCCTCATGCATGCAAGGCAAGCGCTCTACCACTGAGCCACCTTCCCAGCCCCCCCCCCCCCCCCCCCCCGTACCTATCTTTTATGCATGCTTAAAAGTGAGTGTTGGCTGTGAGGATTGATATCTAAGGTACAGATGTGTGTGTCTCTGTATCTGCCATGTGCTTGTCTTGTGAAATGTGTTAATGAACTCACCTGGGATGTATGGGCAACAGGGAAAGCTGAGTGTTGTCCCTTCCCCTTCCCTAGGTGTGTGTGGCTGTGTGTGGGATTTTGACAGGGAGAGAGGGCTGCAGGAGTTATATGATGGAGATTCTTAAGGGAGTTGCTGTGGAAAGGCAGTGTGTCTCCGGCTTTGATTCCTGAGGCCTCCCTGGTGCCCCAACTCCTATCACCTACATGGGGGCCCTGGGTAGGCTTCCAAAGAGAAGCAGTGCCATCTGGTGACAGGCTGAGGCAGTGACTCCTGCTCTGATTTCCTTTAAGAGCACTTCAAAAGGCTTTAGGCAGTGGAGGACTTTGGAGTGACTTCTATTCTAGATGGCTAGACTCTAAACACAGAGAAGATACCTAAAGGCTTGAGCATTCTCTTCCTACTCATTTTGTTCCCAGCAGGAAAATTCCAATTTCTTTCTCTCTCTTTTTGAGACAAGGTCTCACTATTATAGACCAAGCTGGCCTAAAACCAGCAATCAATCCTTCTGTCTCAGCCTCCTAAGTGCCGGCATTATAGGCATGCACCACCACACCTGGCTTGGACTTCATTTTTTGGTCCAACTCTAAGGATTCATAACTCTCATGCCTATCCTGTGGGGGTAGTGGTGACAATGAACAAGAGGGGTTGTGACTAAAATACTTGGGTCAGAGGCAAATAAGCTGTCAAGTCAAAGTAAACAGCAATAACTCATTATTGTTACAGGAAAGGACCAGATAAACAGAGGTTAAGTGTTTTATGTCACAGGAGAAGGGATTGTGGAAAGTTGACACATTGATGAACTGCCATCACACATTCTAGAACTTGCGCCGTGCACAGCTGCTTCTCTTAAGTTTTACTTTAAGGAGGAAGATCTCTCAAGAAAGAGGACAATGAAAATCCATGGGGAATAGAATAAAGAGACTGAGCACTCAGGCTTCTTATGAAGTGAGTTGTAGAATCTGATCATGGTAACAGGCTTGTGTCTGGTCTTCTGCAAATAATGGCAGTGAGCACCCCATAGAAATGAACAGAAACGTGCAGGCTTCAAGACAGATAAGAAGTTACATCAGGTGGTAAAGTGAAGGAACATCCTACTCACCTGCGGTGTTTTGTTTTTTGTTTTATTTTAAATCTTCAATGTCCCCACAAAGGATTCTTGGGTGAGTCAGTCTTCTGCTTTTCTTGCTCACTGGTTGGTGATATTCAGCACATCATTTACTATCTAAAAAAAAAAAAAAAGACGGAACTTAAAACCTCCTGAATTCATCTGTGAGTCTTGGACTTCTAATTCTCTGCCTTCACATAGAATACCTGCCAGTCTATAACAGATGACATCTTGAATGGAAAGACAAAGAAAAACAAAACAGTGAATTCTGTTTAATGAGTAATTTGGTCTCTGATATGCTTGTGGGAATACTTCCTCTGATCCAGGTGTATTCTAGGGAGGATGGGACAAATAGACCACCACAGAACGTCCTCTGGTTGACACACAGTCAGAATAAAGTACTGAGAAAGTTATCAGTCGGCTTTGAGTCATGGAGTCCCTCACTTTTCGCTTCCGCCTTCCCAAGCAGCCAATAAACACACAGCAGTTCCCCGTTCCTAGAGGGGAAAACTACATATCCCAGGAGTCCACGCGCAGGGACGCGGAGAGTATAAGCCAATCAGCATACGGAACTTCACTTCCCAGGCATCCCCGGGGCTCTATTTATTTATTATTTTTCTCCGCCCTCTCCCTCCCCTCCCCTCCCCTCGGCGCTGGCTTTCTCTCTTGGCCGCCATCCTTGCGCCAAGGCGGGCGCGCCTGCGCGCAGGCGCGCGCGCGCGCGCTCACGAAGGTACGTAGGCCCTGGCGAGTGACGCATAATATGTGGGCCGCTCTGGAGCCGTGGTCGCGCTGTGTGTGTGAGAGAGAGAGGGAGAGTGCGGGACCTGAAAGCGGGGTGTGTGTGAACTGTGGCCGCTGGCGGGGTCCGGGGGGGGGGGGGGAAGCGGTGGAGCCGCTGGTGAAGGTGAGCGGGAAAAGGAGGGAGACGGCTCTGGCGGGGAGGGAGAGGAAGGAGCCGGCGAGGAGGCAGGACGCGGGGCTGGCCGGGCGGGAGAGTGGGCGCCGGGCTGGGGGAGGGGCGGCACCTGCTCGGGCCACCGGCGGGGACCAGGCCGGGGGTGGGGTGGGGTGGGGAGGGAGCGGGTGGGGGCCAACCGGGGCGGCTGGGCCTGGACGGCCTGACAGGACTTCTCCTCCGGATACCTGGGCCCGGGGGGGGGGGCGGGGCCTCAGTGTCTCTCCATTCCCACCCCCCCCCCGCGCCTCCACCCCCCCCCCCCGCGCCTCCACCCCCCCCCCCGCGCCTCCACCCCCCCCCCCAGCCAAAAGAAGCTTACCGTGAGTAACTTCCGCCCGGAGTTGTGGGGAACCCCCCCCCCCCCCCCCGCCACCCGCCCGCCCCTCCTTGGAGGAGAGGCGACTTTCATTTCTCTTGCTAACCCGCCTTTCCTCTCAGCTCTCCGTTCCGTACTTGTTGGGCGTCGCGGGTGGAGGGGGGGGCGGGAAGCGGGGAGGGGGGAGTGGAGAGAGAGAGAGGGAGGGCGGGGAGTCTCCATCTTCCCGCCGTGCACCGTGTGGACCCCCTTCCCCGTCGGTGTCTCCGCCTCTAGCCTCAAGTCACCTGGGCGGGCTTTCCCCTCCCTCCCTCCCTCCCTCGCTCGCTCCCTCCCTCCCTCCCTCCCTTCGGGCCCGCCTCGTGCCACCACCTCCCTGCATGCGCCTGGCCCAGGGACTGGGCGACGGGGCGGAGCTTTCTGGGCACTCCGCCCTCCACTACGGCGGATTTGGGAATGGAGGAGGAGGAGCCGGGGGGGGGGGGGTGTGCGTTGGTTAAAACAACCCGGAGTCAAAGCCTAGGTTGCCCCGCCCAGCTTCCCCCGGCCCTGGTTTGGGTCGGTGGGGGGGGCTGGAGGAGGGAGAGCAGTATAGTTTCCAGTCGGGATGTCAGCAGTCTGAACTCCGTCTTTTTTCCTGGACAGTCTACTTCCTCTTTATTGCAGTGGTAGTGTTCTTCTTCTGGTCATCTAGTGTATTGAGGAAGTAGTTTTGCAGTCACCCACCCACACACGCATGGCCCAGACCCCGAAGCCTTTTAATCCGTCCGCATGATTGACTCCGTTTACATGTAGCAAGTGTCCTTCTGTTCCAGCGCTTTGCTAGTGCATCCAACGAGAGGTTTACTGATGTCATCTAGAGCTTCCGTTTTCCAGTTTACTGGTTTGCTTCTAAGGTTTATCTAAGCGTGTGCGACTTTAATAGGAACTTAGTCTATTTTTTGCTTGATGTCAAGATTTGGGTTTTGCATGTAGTAATTCTTCATTAGGCATTCTCGCGTGGTGGTATATTTTTGGATGTTGAGAATAGGGAAATCATTATGTACTCAACATTTCAGGGATAGTTTAGTTAGCATAGTGTTTTTACTTTCTACTCTAATTGTTAAACTTAATACAGGAGGAACTGTGGTAGAATGAATGAACCAACATGTAGTGATTGGAGTTGGTTTATATTACCAAGTGAGTTGATTTGGTGGAGAAGATAGTTGTGGAAAGTAATAAAGTTATGATGTCAGGTATTAAGTATGTTTACTTGAAGCTCTAAAATTGGAATTTTCATTTTTAGTCTTGTATGGAGATTGGCTTAGAGTCTATCATAGATTCTATCACTGATTCTACCATCTTTTCACATGCCCCACCCCCTTTAAAATAAGGAAACGGGGAATGTGGCTTAGTGATAGAGTGCTTGCCTAGCATACATGAAGCCCTGGGTTCCATTCCTCAGTAGCACATACACAGAAAAAGCCGGAAGTGGTGCTGTGGCTCAAGTGGTAGAGCACTCACCTTGAGCTGAAGAGCTGAGGGACAGCACCTAGGCACAGAGTTCAAGCCCCATGACTTGGACAGTGCCCAGTTCCCTGAGTTCAAGTCCCACAACTGACCAAAAACAAAAAACAAAAACAAAAAAAATCTAGGACAGAAACAAAAATTTATTAGGAAAGTTACAACCCTAGTAATCTGTAAGAATGTTTCCTTTTTTTTTTTTTTTTGCCAGTCCTGGGGCTTGAACCCAGGGCCTGGGCACTGTCCCTAAGCATCTTTTTGCTCCAGGTTTTCTGGTGGTTCATCACTGGAGCTGGGCTGGCTTCCAACAGCGTTCCTCAGATGCCAGCCTCCTGAGTAGCTAGGAGCCAGCTTTTTTAAAAAAAAAAAAAAAAAAAAAAGAAAACATTAACACCTACTCCAGGGTGTTAACATTACCCAGGCTACTGAGTGCTGGTATTACCGGAGTGTGTGAACAAACTCAATAACTTTTTTTTTTTTTTTCTGTCAGTTGTGGGGCTTGAACTCTGGGTCTGGGCGCTGTCCCTCAGCTCTTCAGCTCAAGGTGAGCACTCTATCATTTGACCCACAGCGCCACTTGTGGTTTTCTGGTGGTTTATTGGAGATAGAGTGTCATGGACTTTCTTGCTGGGGCTGCCTTTGAACTGTGATCTTCAGAACTCAGCCTCCTGAGTAACTCAGCTTGGATTATAGGCATGAGCCATCAGCGCCCAGCTCTGCTCCTTTCCTTTCCTTTCCTTTCCCCTCCCTCCCTCCTCCCTTTCTTTCTTTGTTTCTTTCCTTCCTTCCTTCCTCTCTCTCTCTTTCTTTCTTTCTTTTTGCAATCATTATGTACTAACCTTACCACTTGAGCTGCAGTGTTACTTCTGTCCTCATCTGTGTATGTGGTACTGAGGAACCAAACCCAGGGCTTCATTCATGCTAGGCAAGCAATCTACCACTAAGCCACATTCCCAGCCCCTGTATCAGCAACTTTTAAAATTCACAATAGGTAGCATGTTATGCACAAAGTTTTGCACTTTGTTTTTCTTACTGGATAATATATTTTTGAGAGTTGGTGCAATAAAAAAATAACAACCTCAACTTTTTCCAGTTTTGTTTTTTATGGTGTTGGTAGAACCTGGACCTCTGCTATATCTCCAGTTCATTCCTCCATGATAAGAAGGCTGAGTGGCTGGGAAGGTGGCTCAGTGGTAGAGTGCTTGCCTTGCATGCATGAGGCCCTGGGTTTGATTCCTCAGCACCACATAAGCAGAAAAAGCCCAAAGTGGTGCTGTGGCTTAAGTAGTAAGAGTGCTAGCCTTGAGCTGAAGAACTGAGGGACAGGGCCCAGGCACAGAGTTCAGGCCCCACACCGACCAAAAAAAAAAAAAAGGCTGAAAGTTTTCCCCCTAAAATCAGAATCCCCTTCCCTCTTTCCTTCCTTCCTTCCTTCCTTCCTTCCTTCCTTCCTTCCTCCTTCCTTCCTTCCTTCCTTCTTCCTTCCTTCCTTCCTTCCTTCCTTCCTTCCTTCCTTCCTTCCTTCCTTCCTTCCTTCCTTCCTTCTTCCTTCCTTCCTTCCTTCCTTCCTTCCTTTCTTCTCTCTCTGTCTCTCTTTCTCCTTGTGGTGGGGCTTGTACTCCAGGACTCACGCTCTTGGCTTAGCTTTTTTGCTTATAGCTAGTGCTATCTATGGATCTTCCAACGATCTTTTCCCCAGAAATGGAAACTAGGGCTGGGTATGTACCTCAGTGGTAGAGCACTTGCCTAATATAGTCAAGGTCTTGGGTTCAGTCCTTAGCACTGAGAAAGATAAAATTAGTATATAATTACAAGGAGCTGTAAATAGCTACACTAGTCTTGAGAAAATAGGCACAGTTGGATAAAGCACAGTTCTGATTTCAAAACCTACCACAAAACTAAGCAAAACAATGTTATTGGTATAAGGATCAATATATACAGAAAAATACAGTAAAACTGAAAGTCCAGGAATAAGCTCTCACACTTATGGCTAATCAGTATACACTGTTGGTGGTAGGACCCAATAGTGAAAATAAAAGGTTTCTAACCAGTGCTGCTGAAATATTTGGATAACCTCAATCAAAAGAATGAAGTAGATCAGTATCACATACTATATGTAAAGATGAACTCAGAATGGATTAAAACGCTAAGTGTAAGAGCTTAAGACTATAAAACTTTTACACATTCTTGGACATCAAAACCCAGAAGTTATTTTCTTAATACTAAATCTTCTACTTTGTGAACACAAATTGTCTTTTCATTTATTTAGGTTGTCTTTATTTCAGAAATGTTTTGTAGTTGTCAGTGGGTAAGTCCTGTACCTTTTTGTTTCATTTATTTCTAAGTATTCTTTTTGGTGCGCTGGTGAATGAAATTGAAGCTTAGTTTATGGTAAATGCCGGTGACTCCAGCTTTTGGGAGGCTCAGAAGGATCATGAGTTCAAGTTCAGTTTGGACTATATAACCAGACCTTGTCACAAAAATACAATTCTGATTGTCGATTGATAGCATTAGACAAGTGATTACCCTGTAACTTTGTTGAATTTGCTTATTAGCTTTAATAGTTTTTACTTTTTTGTGTGTGCTGGTACTGGGACTTGATATCAGAGCCTTAGCGTTTTCACTCAAGGCTGGTGTTCTAATACTTTAGCCACACCTCCACTTTCTTGTTGTTGGGTGTTTTTTTTTTTTTTGTTTTTTTTCCTGGTTGATTGGAGATAAGAGTCCTATGAACTTTCTTTCTCAGGCTGGCTGTGAACTGTTGATTCTCAAGTTGCTATCTCCGGATTACAGGCTTACAGGCGTGAGCCATTGGTGCCTGGCCAGTTTTAGGTTCTTATCCTTTACCTTTTTGTGGACATTCTCTTCTCATTTTTGTTTATTATTTTCCAATCCTGGGGCTTGAACTCATGGCCTGGGCACTGGCTCAAGACTAGCACTCTACCATTTGAGCCACTTCCAGCTTTTTCTGTTTCTGTGGTACTGAGGAGTCAAACCTAGTGCTTCATGCATGCCAGGCAAGCGCTCTACCACTAAGCCACATTCCCAGCTGAGCTTAGTTTATTGAGTGTTAAATTTATGTTGTTGTTGCTGGTTATGGGGCTTGAACACAGGGCCTGGGCGCTATCTGAGAGCTTCTTTGTGGTCAAGGTTAACACTCTACCACTTGAGCCACAGCACCACTCCTGACTTTTGAGTGGTTAATTGGAAATAAGAATCTTGGGGAATTTTCTTCCCATTCTGGCTTCAAACTACAATCCTTAGATCTCAGCCTCTTGAGTAGCTAGGATTACAGGTGTGAGTCACTGATGCCTAGATAAAAAAATTAATGTTTACATATTTATTACTATAGATATGTTATTTTAAGTTTTCAGAAGACTATGCAGTCTTTCTTTTTTGTGCCAGTCCTGAGACTTAAACTCAGCACCTATCCTCGACCTTCTTTTTGCACAAGGTAGCTAGCACTCTTCCAGTTGAGCCACAGTGCAACTTGTGGCTTTTTCTGCGTAATTTATTGGAGAGTCTCACGGACTTTCCTGCCTGGGCTGGCTTTGAACCACAGTCCTCAGATGTCAGCATCCTGAGTAGCCAGGATTACAGGAGTGAGCCACTGGCACCCGGCTGATTGTTTGCTTACAGTGAACTTTTGCACTCCTTTTTGTGTGTGTGTGAGAGAGAGAGAGAGAGAGAGAGTGCGTGCGTGTGCATGTGCGTGCTAGTACTGAGGTTTGAATTTAGGGCTACATTTTCAGACCAATCTGCTTTTTTTATTCCCCTCCCCTCCCACAAAAATCTATTTTACATCAGCTAGTAATTCCTTCTGATATGGAAGTTTTTATAGAATGGTTGCTATTTCTATGAAAATACACACTTTGAAAGACAGGATCTGACTTTTGATCCTAATGACTACCTGGCAGAAAAGACTATGCTATATCAACCACCTAAATATTTGTGTCTCATTTACAGCACTCCTCTTGGGATGCCTCATAAAATTCTCCCATGTGGTCATTCTATTTCGTTTCTCCAAAGGCCATCCCAGCTTGTATATTTCTGGGTTTCCTAGTCAACCCAGCAACCTTTATACCTGTTTTCCAGCCTTATTCCTTTTAAGAAATTCATTTGTGTTTGAGGTTGGCAGCCCTGAAGGACTGTTGTTTGCATCTTTCCTGCTGGAAACAATATCCACTTTACTCCTTGAACAGGAACATATCTATCTTTTGTAGAGTAGTGCCTGTTACATGTAGTATTAAAAGAAAATAACTTCAATTTTGGACTTCAGAGGTCTAGACTTGAGAAGTTTTTGTGGGTGTTATATGACTGGATATAAGAAAGAGACCCATGGGTGTTGTCTGATTTTCAGTGGGGTTCTTAGAAAGGCCTAAAGGGGGGGAAAAAAAGGGTTAAGAAACATTTGATGGATAGCATCATACATATCTGTAATCCCAGTACTTGGAAGGCTGAGGTAGGATTGTGAGTTTGAGGCCAGCCTGGACTACATGTGGAGAGTTTGAGGCTATCTTAGGTTACATAGAACAGACACACCTCACACTCACACACTTTGTTGGGTCCAGTCCCCTGTCTCATTTGCCAAAAATTGAGGAAACTGGCTGAGAAAAGTCAGAAGACTTAAACATGATAGTTAACACAGAGTTTACCCTACTGTACCACAAATAAAACTATCTGAAGGGCTGAAGGATTAAGTTTCCCTTGGTTTTAAAATTATTTCTCTTGGTTGCCCATTCTCTAACTCCTCCTCACTTTTCCTTTTGTTGGAAGTATACCAGGTTTATTTGTCTGTGTTATTTATTGTTGTTTTGGCTTCCTTAGGCCAAGCCATGACTACAGTAGCAGTACATGTGGACTCCAAAGCTGAGCTCACTACCTTGTTGGAACAATGGGAAAAAGAACATGGCAGTGGGCAAGACATGGTACCTATCCTTACCAGGTATGAATAATTAAGGTAGCTTTTCATATACAATTTGATATACTAGTCTTTTTCTAGATGCATTAAAAAAAAAGCTTTTTTTTTTTTTTTTTAATGGGCATGGGGGCTGAACTCTGGGCCTGGTGACTGTCCCTCAGCTCTTCAGCTCAAGGCTAGCACCCTACCACTTGAGCCACAGTGCCACTTCCGGCTTTTTTCTGCGTATGTGGCACTGAGGAATTGAGGAATTGCATGCAAGGCAAGCACTCTACCACTGAGCCAACTTCCCAGCCCTATATTTTTAATGTATTGAAGAGGAAGCCCCAAATCCCCTTTCTTCAATCAATCTATTTATTTATTTATTTACTTTTTTGGTCAGTTGTGGGGCTTGAACTCTGGGCCAGGCACAGTCCCTGAGCTCTACCACTTGAGCCACAGCGCCACTTCCAGTTTTCTGGTGGTTAATTGGAGATAAGAGTCTCACGGGCTTTCTTGCCCTGGCTGGCTTTGAACTGTGATCCTTAGGTCTCAGCCTCCTGATTAGCTAGAGTTACAAGTGTGAGCTACCGGTGCCCAACTAATTTATTTATTTTAGTTATTTGTTTGTTTATTTTATTTGTCCTGGGGCCTGAACTCTGGGACTGGGCTCTGTCCCTGAGCTCTTCAGCTCAAGGCTAGCACTCTACCACTTGAACCACAATACCACTTCTGGCTTTTTTCTTTTTGCTTATGTGTGCTGAGGAATCGAACCCAGGGCCTCTGCATGCAAGGCAAGCGCTCTACCACTGAGCCACCTTCCCAGCCCAATATTATTTATTTTTAGAAATGGTTTTATTGTTATTAAGGTACAGAGGTGCTGCCATTTCATAAGTCAGCTAATGAGTACATTTCTTTTTTAGACAATGTCATTCCTTCCTTTACTTCTCCCTCTGATATTTTTAGGGTAGAGATCTCATGGCATAATCACTTTTTTTTTTTTGTTAGTGGTGGGGCTTGAACTCTGGGCCTGGGCACTCAACTCTTCAGCTCAAGGCAAGCGCTCTACCACTTGAGCTACAATGCCACTTCCCATTTTCTAGTGGCTTATAGGAGATAAGAGTCTCTCAGGGACATTTTTGCCCAGGCTGGTTTTGAACCGTGATCCTTGGATCTCAGCCTCCTGAGTAGCTAGGATGACAGGCATGAGCCACTGGTGCCCGGCCATAATCACTTCTTAAAGGTTACAGTAGGGGCTGGGAAGGTGGCTCAGTGGTAGAGTGCTTGCCTTGCATGCATGAGGCCCTGGGTTCCATTCCTCAGCACCACATTAGCAGAAAAAGCCGGAAATGGCACTGTGGCTCAAGTGGTAGAGCACTAGCCTTGAGCTGAAGAGCTGAGGGACAGTGCCTAGGCACAGAGAGTTCAGGCTCTCCCCTTCCCCCCCTCAAAAAAAAGGTTGCACTATTATTATTTTTTGGCAAGTACTAGGGTTTGAACTCAAGCACAATTAGATAGGTGGTCTACTGTTGAGCCATGCCTTCAGCCCCCAATTATATTTAAATAGCAAAAATGGATATGGAGGAAATTATAGGAACTTTTTTTTTTTAACCTTTACTGAATTCTGAATCAAAGTTTTTCTTTTGCTTTTTTCTTCTAATTTCCAGCCCTGTGTTCTCAGTTTTTGTAGGTTCGTCTCTGTTTTATTTTTCTTCCTTTTTTTTTTTTTGTCGGCCGTGGGGCTTGAACTCTGGGCCTGGGCGCTGTCCCTCAGCTCTTCCAGCTCAAGGCCAGCGCTCTACCACTTGAGCTACAGCGCCACTTCCGGTTTTCTGGTGGTTTATTGGAGATAGGAGTCTCACGGTCTCTCCTGCCCTGGCTGGCTTTGAACTGCGATCCTCAGATCTCAGCCTCCTGAGTAGCTAGGATTACAGGCGTGAGCCACCAGCGCCCGGCCCTTTTTTTTTTTTTAACTTTGGAAATCTTGCTGTTTCAGCCTTCCTAGTCTAGGATTATACGTGTACATCACCATGCTGGTCTGAAGAATATAGTCTTCTGAAAGTTTAACCAGGATTAAATGCTTTGTTATGTTCCCATTTCTCTTGATAAATGGGGAACTTGTGACAGAACCGGCTTTTTTTTTTTTGTGTATGTGTGTGAAAGAGAGCAAGAGAGAGCAAAAGAAAGTGTGTGTGAGTCCTAGGTTTGAACTCAGGGCATGGGTGATTTCCTTTAGCTTTTTTCCCTTATGGGTAACACTTTATCACTTAAGGCACAGCTCCACTTCTTGCTCTTTTTTCTTTTTTGGGGGGGGGTGGGGTGGGGTGGGGGGAAGGGTGGTTAACTGGAGTTAAATGTCTCATGGACTTTCCTGCCTGGGCTGGCTTTGAACTGTGATCCTCAGTTCTCTGCCTCCTGAGTAGGAATTCAGGTATGAATCCTGAAGTCTTAACAGGCTTTTGGTTTTTTGATTTTAGGAATAGGATTATTGCTGGCTGATGAAAACAGGATTTTAATTTGTTGAAATATTAAATATTAAATTTAAAACCCACTAAAAAGCCTATTGAATAAGATATTGATGCTGAGAAAAATCAGAAGACTTAAAAAATTCTAAATATTGTGAAGTTCACATATGTTGGTTGCATATGAAGGGAGGAGAGTAATGGGAAATACTGTTAGCTGTGAATTCTACTTTTTGCTAAAAGTTCTGACTTTCGTTTTCAAGGGTATTTTGCTTTCTTTGTTTTTTTCTTTTTTTTTTTCTTTTTGTTGGTCGTGGAGGCTGAACTCTGGGCCTGGGCGCTGTCCCTCAGCTCTTCAGCTCAAGGCTAGTCTACCACTCCAGCCACAGCACCACTTCCTGCTTTTTCTGCTTATGTGGTGCTGAGGAATTGAACCCAGGGCCTCATGCATGCAAGGCAAGCGCTCTACCACTAAGCCACCTTCCCAGCCCCTCAAGAGTATTTTGCTTTCATTATCATATTTGATCTTCAACTTTTTCACTTTGCTACAGTGTTCAGTGACACAAAGTAAAGGGCTATTGTTCTTTTTTTTTTTTTTTTGGGTCCGGTTGTGGACCTGAACTCTGGGCCTGGGCGCTGTCCCTCAGCTCTTCAGCTCAAGGCTAGCGCTCTACCACTTGAGCCACAGCGCCACTTCCGGCTTTTTTCTTTTTGCTTATGTGGTGCCGAGGAATCGAACCCAGGGCCTCATGCTTACAAGGCAAGCCCTCTACCACTGAGCCACCTTCCCAGCCCCAGGGCTATTGTTCTTAAGGAGATAACCACTTAGGAAGCAACTAAGCCTAAGAGATAAGAAACAATGCAAAGTATTACAAAATAGTATGTATTGAAGTGCTTAATCAGGCAGTATGGTTAAATATGATAGATGTTATGAAAACAAGTTAAATAAGCATCAAGTATTTGTTTTCTATGAATCCATTTTCCTTACTTTCATTACAAGCATTACTGAGAGCTTCATTGTTAGTCATCTGCAGAGCTACTAGAAAAGTTTTCATAGAAATGCATAAAGGGATAAGGTTTTTGTGTCATGGGTCAAACTAAAGTAGAGGATCTTGGGGCTGGGAAGGTGGCTCAGTGGTAGAGCGCTTGCCTTGCATGCATGAGGCCCATGGTTCGATTCCTCGGCACCACATAAGCAAAAAGAAAAAAGCCGGAAGTGGTGCTGTGGCTCAAGTGGTAGAGCACTTGCCTTGAGCTGAAGAGCTGAGGGACAGTGCCCAGGCCCAGAGTTCAGGTCCCACGACCGGACCCCAAAAAAAGAAAAAAGAAAGTAGAGGATCTTTTTTTTCTTTAATAAAGATGGCTTTACTGTGTAGCCTAGGCTAGCCCTGAACTCAAAATCCTACTGCCTGAGCTGCTAGAGTGTAGGAATTATAGGCCTATGTCACTAGGGCTCAGCTTTTTTCAGTTTTTGTTTTGTTTTTTGAGTCTGGTCGTGGGGCTTGAACTCTGGGCCTGGGCGCTGTCCCTCAGCTTTTCAGCTCAAGGCTAGTGCTCTACCACTTGAGCCACAGCGCCACTTCCAGTTTTTTTCTTTTTGCTTATGTGGTGCTGAGGAGTCGAACCCAGGGCCTCATGCATGCAAGGCAAGCGCTCTACCACTGAGCCACATTCCCAGCCCCTTTTTTCAGTTTTGAGATATAATTAATATAATGTAAAGTACTTTGCTTAATGGATTAATTTCTTTTAAAACCATCACTCAAAGTCAGGCATCAATGACTTATACCTGTAATCCTAGCTGCTCAGAAGATTGTAATTTAAGGATTGTAGTTCAAAATCAGTCTTGGCAGAAAATTCTATAAGACTCTTTTCTCCACCTAGCCAGCAGAAAGCTGAAATAGGAGGCATTGCTGAACTGGTAGATTACCAACTTAGTACAAGCTCTGTTTTGTACTAAGTCCTGACTTGTACTCTTTTGTGCTGTAGTACTGGCACACATACACCAAAAATAAATGCCCCAAACCACTCAAACCAGATGCAGGTGGCATATACCTAAAATCCTAGCCACTCAGGAGATTGAGATCTGGGGATTGTGGTTCAAAGCCAGCATGAGCAGACAAGTCTGTCAGACTTACCTTGCTAATTAACCAGCAAAAGACTGGAAGCAGTTCAAGTGGTAGAGTGCCAGCCAGGAGTGAAAAAGCTCCAGTACTGGCCCAGAACAAAATGAAACAAAAACCCCAACAAAAAAGAAAAAACTTGGGGCTGAGAAGGTGGCTCAGTGGTAGAGTGCTTGCCTTGCATGCATGAGACTCTGGGTTCGATTCCTCAGTACCACATAAGCAAAAAGAAAAAAGCTGGAAGTGGCGCTGTGGCTCAAGTGGTAGAGCGCTAGCTTTGAGCTGAAGAGCTGAGGGACAATGCCCAGGCCCAGGTCCCACAACTGGACCCCCCCAAAAAAAAAAAAAAAATCAAAAGCAACCCTCTCACCCCAAACCCGTTGTTGAAATTTGAGAACTTGAGTACCATCTCCAGATGACTTCCTCTTGCCCTATCCCACTTAGTATACATCCTAAATATAGTTACCCCCACCTTTTTTTGCTTAATCCTACGGCTTGAACTCAGAGCCTGGGTGCTGTCTCTGAGCTCTTTTTGCTCAAGGCTAGAGCTCTACTACTTTGAGCTACAGCATTACTTGTTTTCTGGTGCTTAATTAAGAGATAAGAGACTCAGGGACTTTTCCTTCCAGGGCTGGCTTTGATCCACGATCCTCAGATCTCAGCCTCCTGAGTAGCTAGGATTACAGGTGTGAGTCACCAGTGCCTGGCTCTTTCTCTCTTTCTCCCTCTCCCTCTCCCGCTCCCTCTCCTTCTCCCTACCCCCCTCGCCCTCGCCCTCTCCCCTCTCCCTCTCTCCCCACCCCCTCTTAAGTTTGTTCTGGTACTATGGCTTTAACTCTTTGCTTTTATTTTAAACACTTACTGTTTAACTGACCAATGGTGTTGGTGTATTTTTTGGTACTCTTGTTCAGACATGATTCCTTTCTTATTTTTGTGTAGGATGTCTGAATTAATTGAAAAAGAAACTGAAGAATATCGTAAAGGAGATCCAGACCCATTTGATGATCGACATCCTGGTATGATATATTCTCTTTAAGTTTAGGTTGTTTTTTTTTTTTTTTTTCCCCTTACAGTACAGTACTGGAGATTGAACTCATGGCTGCATGCTTGCTTAGTCAGGTACTCTACCACTTGAGCCATATTTCTTGCTCTTTCTTTTTGTTTTGAGAGAGGGGGCCTTATATTGCATAGGCAATTTTTTTTTTTTTTTGGATCAGTCATGGGGCTTGAACTCTGGGCCTGGGTACTTTCCCTAAGCTCTTCAGCTCAAGAAAAGCACTCTATCATTTGAACCACAACGCCCCTTCCAGTTTTCTGGTGGTTAATTGGAGATCAGAGTTTCTTGGACTTTCCTGCCCTGGCTGGCTTTGAACCACGATCCTCAGATCTCAGCTTCCTAAGTAGCTAGGATTACAGGTGTGAGCCACCAATGTCCTGCCAGGCCTCAATTTTTTTCCCCCTGGTCCTGGGGCTTGAACTCAGAGTGTGAACACTGTCCCTGAGCTTTTTGGCTCAGGGATAGCACTCTACCACTTGAGCCACACCTCAACTTCCAGCTCTTTGATGGTTAATTGCAGATAAGAATCTCACGGGCTTTACTTCCCTGGCTGGCTTTGAACCTCAGAGTTTTAGCCTCCTAAGTAGCTAGGATTATAGGCTGTTTGTACTTTATGATTCCATTCCATATATTTTCTTTCTGTGAGTTACTTTGAGTTACTATTTACAGTTTGATAAAATCTTTGTATCAGCAGCTCACATCTTGTCCTCATTCTCTGTTGTAGCCTTTGACTAAATCTATAATTCTAATACCCTGAGACAAAATGAAATAAAATAGATGGTTTCAGTTTTAAAAGTTCAACCATCCATCCTTCCCGTCCTTAGCTAATTGTTTTGCCTTAGACTGTACACTGCGTGGTACCTAGGTCATTTACCTCTTCTCCCTAGGAGCTAGAAAGTTAAAGTGGTCAAGGTCTTACATCTTTAGGATTGTTGATTGCTTAGTGGGATTCCCTTGCCTCATCCCCACCTAGAGTGTCCTTATGTGTTTGAGGTTGCATGGTACTGTTGTCATTGTAGTTGGAGAGATGAACTTAGAGCTCATCTTCTCTGGCCACCTGTTGAAAGAACAATCTTCCTGCTTTTCTGCAGTTGTGAATTTAAGGGTTTTCTTTCTCTTAGGCTTCTTTTTTTTTTATGCCTGCCCCCCTGGCGCCCCCCCCCCCCCCCCCCAAATCGTGGGGCTTGAACTCTGGGCCTGAACCCTGTCCCTACACTCTTCAGTTCAAGGTGAGCGCTCTACCACTTGAGCCACAGTGCCACTTCTGGTTTTCTAGTGCTTTATTGGAGATAAGAGTTTCACGGTCTTTCCTGCCCCGGGCTGGCTTTGAACCGTGATCCTCTGATCTCAGCCTCCTGAGTAGCTAGATTGCAGGCGTGAGCCATTGGTGCCCAGCTCTTAGGCTCCTTTTTGATTCCTTTGTAGACATATGCTATCATGTTGGTGATGCTGATTGAGACCATGATTTAATTCAGCATTGCTGTATCAATAGTATCCTGGGAAGTGGACAGTTTAGAGTGTAGTGTCTCCAGTTCTTATAGGATTGCTTTTAATTTTAAAGAAAAAAAAATAACTAACTGTAATTCATCACAGGAATCTTGTCTATGCTCCCATTTAGTTTTGCTGACATTTTACTAGTAACAACTCAGATGGCATTCCAGAGCTCTGAGATGCTTGACTGGGATGACTTACTCTTTGTTTTGTTTGTTCCTTCCCCTCTTCTTTTGGTAGGTCGAGCTGATCCAGAGTGTATGCTGGGCCACTTGCTGAGAATACTCTTCAAGAACGATGATTTCATGAATGCAGTAGGTTTGCTTCTTACTTTTCTCCAGTGACTATCATCAGCAGATGCTGTGCTTTGTGTTTGCTTGTATAGTTTGCTTTCACCTAGCAGCTGGGCAAAGTTTGGGAGTAGAGGAGGTGGACTCTACTCACCTTACTTGGTAGTGGTAATAATCATGAGCTGGTTGTGACCAAATTATTTTCTCTTTCATGTATAATTTGTTTAGTCAAGTGTTGGCAGGGCTCCCAAGATACCTGTGCACATTCTTGGGCAAGATGATTTTGAGTTAGGAAATTCAGGAGTTCATTGGGGTTCCTGAATGGAAAAATGAGAATGAGTGATGTACATTATCTGATTCTGCACTTAAGCTGTGGTATGTACCTGAGACATTTGGGTGGATAGGAAGGTCCTTTCTCAAACTCAGGGCTGATACGAAGAGTAAATGAAATAAATAGATAAGATACTTTACTTGTAACTACTGAAGTTAGTGATAGCTAGTAAATTGTGGCTATTAGTAGTTTTGTTTGTAGATCTAGTGGGCTTTGGGGTTTAGGTTATGGGTTCAAATTCAGCTATACTGTTCATGGGCAGTTGGTTCTTTGGACAAGTGGCTTCATCCTCTTCCTTCATTATTTTCTCCTAAGTCTCATTTTGCTAATTTGTAATTGAAGTGGTGTCATAATTCTTTTTTTTTTTTTTTTTTTGTCAGTCGTGGGGCTTGAACTCTGGGCTTGGGCCCTCAGCTCTTTAGCTCAAGGTGAACGCTCTACCCCTTGAGCCACAGCGTCACTTCCGGTTTTCTAGTGCTTTATTGGAGATAAGAGTCTCACAGACTTTCCTGCTCAGGCTGGCTTTGAACAGTGATCCTCAGATCTCAGCCTCCTGAGTAGCTAGGATTATAGGCATAAGCCACCGGCTCATGAGACACATCCCCTAGTTTGGCTTTTTTTTTGCCAGTTCTTGGGCTTTAACCGTCCCTGAGCCTCTTTTACTCAAGGCTAGCATTCTACCACTTGAACCACAGCACCATTTCCATTTTTTTTTCTGTTTGTGTGGTACTAAGGAATTGAACCCAGGGCTTCATACATGCTAGGTAAGCACTCTACTACTGAGCTACATTCCCAGCCCTAGTTTGGCTTTTTTTTTTTTTTTTGGCAATCGGAGATAAGATTTTGGCATTTTTAAACCTACAGGAGAAATTATACATATCATTTTTGCTAAGGAAGATCATAATTATAATTAAAGGTTTAATGAACACTTGTCAAGGTCTGTAGCTGACAACTTCTTTCATGTCTTGTAACAAAAGACATTTGTAATCCGAGCATTTGGGAGGCTGCATCTGGAGAATAGAGGGTTCTGGGCCAGCCTGGACTATAGATACTCTCTCAAAAAACGCACAACGAAACAATCAAAAAGCAAGCCCACCCATCAAAGCTCAATAAAAACAAAGCCAAAACAACAACCCAACAAATCTGAAAAAGAAAGTAACGAGGCTAGTGCTTTATTTATTTAGGATTTTTTTTTACATTTCTTTAGTTTGACTAGGTTGAATTTCAGACAATAATAGGGAAAATTCAACACAGACTGCTATGCAAGGTAATAGGGTATGTCGTGAATATGTCATATGTTAATTACCTTTCTTCCACACTTTCTTCCCCCTTTCTCCTCCTCCCTTCTGGCCCCCTGTGCTTTCTAGCTGGTGAATGCCTATGTGATGACGAGCCGAGAGCCCCCTTTAAACACTGCAGCTTGCAGGCTGCTGCTGGACATCATGCCAGGCCTGGAAACTGCTGTTGTTTTTCAGGAAAAGGTACTTAGTGAAAACAAGAGTGATAATTGTGTCTCTTAACTGAATGGTAATCTGTTAGATTTGTCTTTGTTGTTAAAGTAATTGTATATATTTTTCTTCTTCAAACATGCAGTAGACAATTTAAAAAGTAGCTGTGGGGATAAATACCTGCTTACATGAGTGCACTTGTATGTTGAAAAATCTTAACAACATGTTTTTATTAGTTTTAAATGAATGATTATATATGATTAGATTCTGGGCCTGGGTGCTGTCCCTGAGCTCCTTTTTTGCTCAAGGGTAGTACTCTATCACTTGGGCCACAGGGCCATTCCTGGTGTTTTGGGTGAGTAATTGGAGATAAGGGTCTCATGGACTTTCCTGCCCGTGGCTTCGAACCATGATCATCAGATCTCAGCCTCCCAAGTAACTAGAACTACAGGTCTGAGCCACTAGTGCCTTGCACATTTTTAATTCTTTTGTTGTTGTTGTTTTTGTCCATTGTGGGGCTTGAAATCAGGGCCTAGGTGCTGCCCCTGAGTCTCGGTTTTCAAGGCTAGTGTTCTACCACTTGAGCCACAGCGCCACTTCCCACTTTTTGAGTGGTTAATTGGAGATAAGAGTCTCACGGGCACTTTCCTGCCTTGCCTGGCTTTGAACCACCATAATCCTTAACCTCATACTACTCAGCCTCCTGAGTAGCTAGGATTACCAGCCAGTGGCTCCTAGCTTACATTTTAAATTCTTATAATAAGCATAAGATACTTACTTTTGTTATGAACAAGGCAGAAATCTTGGCTTACATTTTTAGTCATGAAAGTGGATACTTCTAAATTGTACTGTTTCTTTTACTACAGGAAGGAATTGTTGAGAATCTTTTCAAATGGGCCCGAGAGGCTGATCAACCATTGAGGACATATTCTACTGGGTTGTTAGGAGGTGCTATGGAAAATCAAGACATTGCTGCTAACTACAGGGATGAAAATTCCCAGCTGGTAAGGACCATCTGAGAATGAATTATTACATACAAAGGAATGCACTTATAGGTTGTTAATTGCTGTCTGAATGTAGGTAGATAGATTTTATTTATTACCTTGTGCTTGAGTAGAGGTATATTATCAACATTTCAACCTCACTGAGTATGTTAAGAGTTTTGAGTTTTCTTTCTTTTTTTTTTTTGTGGGTCCTGGGGCTTGAACTCTAGGCCTAGGCCTGGGCACTGTCCCTCAGCTCTTCAGCTCAAGGCGAGCACTCTACCGCTTGAGGCACAGTGGTACTTCTGGTTTTCTAGTGGTTTATTGAATGAATATCTAGTTCTTTTAAAGCAGAAATGAGAATTCTTTAATAAGCTGAGCATGGTGACACATAGTTCTAATCCACTTGGCAGGAGGAGACAGGAGGATTAAGAGTTCAAAGCCAATGCTGGATGCTGGTGGCTTCTGCCTGTAATCCTAGCTACTAAGGAGGCTGAGATTCTAGGATCTAGGTTCAAAGCCAGCCAGGGCAGGAAAGTCCGAACAACCAGAAAACTGGAAGTGGCGTTGTGGCTCTAGTAGTAGAGCACTGGTGTTGAGCTGAAGAGCTGAGGGACAGTGCCCAGACCCAGAGTTCAAACCCCACGACTGACCCAAAAAAAAAAAAACAAAAAAAAAGGAGTTCAAAGCCAGTCTGGACTACATGGGGCAACTCTTGTCTCCAAAACCCCAAACCAAGAGCAAAATACATTAATAAGAATCATGTAAGATGCAGAAGAGATCAAGAGATCTATTTCTTTTACTGACCTATTTGTTGATAGGTGGCTATAGTGCTTCGAAGACTGAGGGAGCTCCAGCTCCAAGAAGTGGCTCTGCGGCAGGACAACAAGCGTCCTAGCCCACGGAAGCTCTTCTCTGAACCCCTTTTGCCTCTGGACGAGGAAGCTGTGGATATGGACTATGGTGATATGGCAGTGGATGTGGTGGATGGAGAGCATGAGGAAGCTTCTGGAGACATGGAGATCTCCTTTCACCTTGACTCAAGCCACAAGACGAGCAGTAGAGCGAACTCAGCAACCAAACCCGAGGAAGGAGCATTGAAGAAAAATAAGTCGGCAAAACAGGGTGACAGAGAGAGCTTTAGGAAAGCCAAACAGAAGCTGGGTTTCTCGTCTTCTGAACCAGACCGTGTGTTTGTTGAGCTGTCTAATAGCAGCTGGTCAGAAATGTCCCCCTGGGTGATTGGCACCAATTATACCCTTTACCCTATGACTCCTGCTATTGAGCAGCGGCTCATCCTCCAATATTTGACCCCTCTAGGAGAGTATCAGGAGGTAAGTTTACTGGGAAGTGCACTGTTCAGCTTTTGGGAGTGTTTATTTCTGAGGTATTTTATGGTTTCACTCATACACTGATATGTTCTTTACTCTAGAAAAATCTTCATTCCAAACTGGTAAGGACTCTTATAGGTCATTTGATAAAGTCTGTTTGAATGAAGTATATTCATATGTTTACAGTTTATGGGGGCAAGGTGCCTAGTTTTGATCTCTTCATGGAATGTAATGGGAAATGTGTGAAAAACAAAACCAAATCTAAGACTTATTTTGGTCTTCATTTCAGCTACTTCCCATATTTATGCAGCTTGGATCACGAGAGTTGATGATGTTTTATATTGATCTGAAACAGACTAATGATGTCCTGCTTACATTTGAGGCACTCAAGGTAATGTTCTTATAAAATTACAGTATTGAGTATTGTATTAATAGGTGTTTTGTATTTGTGAGGTGTTCAGTATGGTGATTACAGTGGACCAGCCACACTGGTGTCTGTACGTGCGCGTGCGCGTGCGTGTTTGTGTGTATAAAATGTGAACTAATAGTTATACTTTGAGTAGTGGAGAACAGGATTGCCTATGCAGGTCTGAAGGTTTTGCTTTCAGATATAATACCATTTGTAATAGGATTCAGTGGAAGACAAGAGTTGGGACATTTGCTGTATCTGAAGGTTTTTGTGTGGGAAATGATATTGTGTGTCAACATTCAGTTGTTTATATGCCAAGTCTTATAGGGATCAAAGAAAACAATATACCAGTTGTGGCAAAGGGATGAATTACCATGATAGATAGGAGTGACATTATGAGAAAACCACTCCTGTCAGAAGTGTTAGTGTCTTGAGGGCAAAAATTGAATGGAAGCATGGTAGAAGCTTGCGTAATGAATAGGATGAAGAGGGGAGGGGTTTAGATGATTAATAAAGATCAGCTAGGTGTTGAGAGAACTACTAGAGAATATGTGCATGTTGTTTTTGCTATTAACCTTGGCAAGATATAAAATCATGTAATTGCAAATTGGTGTTGGCTAGTCTTGTTACTGAAAACAGGAGGGGGAGCTCTAGCTCTTCTGAGGTCCTAACCATGTTGGCCTGGGTTTAGAGTCATAAAGCAGCCCCAGAGAGCAGGGCACCGGTGGCTCCCACCTGTAATCCTAACTACTCAGAAGGTTGAGATCTGAGGATCATGATTCGAAGCTAGCCTGGGCAGGAAAGTCTTAAGAGACTCCCATCTCCAGTTGACAACCAGAATGCCAGAAAAGGTGCTGTGGCTCAGAAGTGGTAGAGCACTAACCTTGAGTGAAAGAGCTCAGGGACAGCACTCAGGCCCTGAGTTCAAGTCCCATGACATAAATAAATAAGTAGATACATAGATAGATGCAGGCGGTCAAGTCCACCCAGAGAGACTAGTGGCAGTTGAATAGGAAATTAACAAAACTTATAAGACAAAATTACCAGTTTTGATGCTTTGTTCAAGATTCTTAGTTGAGGAGATATGAAGGGTCATCTTAAAAGAGGCTGATTTTTAAGTTGGGTGCTAATTTTCATGCCTGTAATCCTAGCTACTCAGCAGCCTGAGACCTTGAGGACAGAGGTCAGAAGCCAAGCAGAAAAAGTTCATGAGACTCCCTCTCCAGTTAACCTGCAAAAATGCCAAGAGGTAGAACGTCAGCCATGAGCAAGAAAATAAAGTGAGGAAGAGCAGGAGGTCCTGAGTTTAAGCCCCAGGACTAGCAAAAAGCAGAATTTCAGATTTAATTAATTGAAGTTGGAATGTAGTTGGAACATGAAAATAAATAAATTGGGAAGTTAAGCAAAAGTCTGTTTCAGAAAGCAATATACTAATAAGGTGATAAGTGTTTAGAAGATATTTATATAAGGTTTTGTTGTTGTTGTTTTTTGGTTGTTGGGCTTGAACTCAGGGCCTGGGCGCTGTCCTTGCGCCTCTTTGTGCTCAAGACTAGTGCTTTACCACTTGAGCCATGGCTCCATTTCTAGTTTTTGCGTGGTTAATTAGAGATAAGAGTCTCATGGGGACTTTTCTGCCTGGGCTGACTTCAAATTGTAATCCTCAGATCTCAGCATCCTGAGTAGCTAGGATTACAGATGTGAGTCACTGATGCTTGGCTATAGAAGTATTTATTTATTTATTTTGGGGGGGGGTCCAGTCGTGGGCCTGGGCGCTGTCCCTCAGCTCTTCAGCTCAAGGCTAGCACTCTACCCCTTAAGCCACAGCACCACTTCCGGCTTTTTTCTTTTTGCTTATGTGGTGCTGAGGAATTGAACCCAGGGCCTCATGCATGCAAGGCAAGTGCTCTACCACTGAGCCACCTTCCCAGCCCAGTATTTATTTTTTTGCCAGTCCTGGGGCTTGAACTCAGGGTCTGGGCATTGTCCCTGGGCTTTTTTGGCTCAAGGCTAGCAACTCTACCACTTGAGCCATGGTGCTACTCTGGCTCTTTCTGTTTATGTGGTACTGAGGAATCTAACCCAGGGTTTCATGCATGTTAGGCAAGCACTCTACCACTAAGCCACATTCCCAGCCCCTATAAAAGTATTTTTAACTGTGTGTGTGTGTCTTGTGAATTGTTACTAGAGATTAAACCTAGGGTCTTGTGCAGGCTAAGCAAGAGCACTAAAGATTTCCCCTCTCCCTGCACCTGCTTTTCTTTCTTTCTTTCTTTTTTGTGGAGCTAGGGGTTGAACCAAAAGTGCTTCCAAACAAAAGCCTTTGATATTAGAAAGATAAGGGGGGGTGGGGGAGGACTGGGAAGGTGGCTCAGTGGTAGAGTGCTCGCCTTGCATGCATGAGACCCTGGGTTCAATTCCTCACCACCACATAAAGCAGAAAAAGCCGGAAGTGGCACTGTGGCTCAAGTGGTAGAGTGCTAGCCTTGAGCTGAAGAGCTGAGGGACAGCACCCAGGTCCAGAGTTCAGGCCCCATGACCAGCAAAAAAAAAAAAAAAAGATAAGGGGGAATGTCATGGAATTTATTGTCTCCCCCTGCCCCTTCCCTATCCCCTCTGTCCCAATTCCCTGTTAAATGGTATTTTTTCTTGTGTTGAAATGGGGAATCTTCTACTTAGAGGGAGTATTGTATTGATCAGTGTCACTTAGTATTATATGAAGAGATTTTGTAGTTTTTCTTTTAGACTGTTCTATGGTAACGTGTGTCCTTGTTTTAGCACCTAGCGTCTCTCCTGCTGCATAACAAATTTGCCACAGAATTTGTTGCGCATGGTGGGGTACAGAAATTACTGGAAATTCCTCGTCCTTCTATGGCGGCAACTGGCGTATCCATGTGTTTGTATTACCTGTCCTACAACCAGGATGCTATGGAAAGAGTAAGTCTTCTTGTCTCCAGTTAACTAGCACAGATTCAGAAGTGGAGATATGCCTTAAGTGGTAGAATGCCCAGCTATGAGGAAAACAAAAGAAAAAGCAAGTAGGAGCTTAAGTTGTAAGCCCTAGTTCTGTTCACCCTCCCAATTTTTTTTTTCTTCTTGAGATGAGCATCATGCAAAGATTGCTACTCTTTTAATAATAGTAAATTAAGTAGCATTGTAGCTCAATTAGTAGAGTGCTAGCCTTGAACAAAAAGGCTCAGAGACAGTGCCCAGGCCCTCAGTTTAAGCCCAATGACTAAATAAGAGACATATTTGCTGGGCGCTGGTGGCTCATGCCTGTAATCTAGCTATTCAGGAGGCTGAGATCTGAGGATCGCAGTTCAAAGCCAGCCACTACAGGAAAGTCCATGAGACTCTTTTTTTTTTTTTTTTTTTTTTGGGTCCGGTCGTGGAGCCTTAACTCTGGGCCTGGGCGCTGTCCCTCAGCTCTTCAGCTCAAGGCTAGCGCTCTACCACTTGAGCCACAGCGCCACTTCCGGCTTTTTTCTTTTTGCTTATGTGGTGCTGAGGAATCGAACCCAGGGCCTCGAGCATGCAAGGCAAGTGCTCTACCACTGAGCCACCTTCCCAGTCCTCCATGAGACTCTTATCTCCAATGAACCACCAGAAAACTGAAAGTGCGCTGTGGCTCAAGTGGTTGAGCACTAGCTTCGAGTTGAAGAGCTCAGAGACAGTGTCTAGGCCCCATGACTGACCAAAAAAAAAAAAAAAAAAAGAAGAATAGTAAATTAATCTGTGAATTATGGCTCAAATATATATAGGCAAGGCTACAAAGCAAACCCAAGGAAGAGTACAGAGCAACATTGTTGTTGTTGGTTGTAGGGCTCGAACTCTCCTGAGCTCAAGTGGTAGAACACTAGCCTTGAGCCACAGAGCCATTTCCAGCTTTTTCTGAGGAATCAAACCCGGGGCTTCATGCATGCTAGGCAAGCACTCTACCACAGGCCACCTTCCCAGCTCCAAAGTGAGGCAAAAAGTAGTAAGCCTCTGGACTTACTTGACATCTGTGGGAAAGACTTAACTTCTGAGATAACCTCTTTCTCATCTGTTAGGAGAGAATTTGGCACCAATATTAAAGAACCTTTGGGAGCAATATTTTTTGGAACCCAGTATGGATTGGATTTAAATATTTTCAGCTTTGGAATGGATTCTAGTTCTAAAATTGGAATTGTAACTTTAGCTTAGAATGATCATTGTGTTCTGTAAAGATACTATCTACATTGGTGAAATTTTCATTGCTTCAGACTCCTTTGCTCCGTTTTTGGTTGTTTTTTTTTTTTTTTTTTAATTAAAAAATTTTTATTTTCGTACAGGTTTGCATGCATCCCCACAATGTTCTCTCCGATGTTGTGAACTATACCCTGTGGTTGATGGAATGTTCTCACGCATCGGGATGCTGCCATGCTACCATGTTCTTCTCAATTTGCTTCTCCTTCCGGGCTGTCTTGGAACTCTTTGACCGGTATGATGGTCTTCGTCGTCTGGTGAACTTGGTGAGCTTTTTTTCTTGACTTTTTCTTTTTTTTTTTTTTTGTTTTGTTTTTTGGTTTTTTTTTTGGTTCGGTTGTGGGGCCTGAACTCTGGGCTTGGGTGCTGTCCCTCAACTCTTCAGCTCAAGGCTAGCGCTCTACCCCTTGAGCCACAGCACCACTTCTGGCTTTTTTCTTTTTGCTTATGTGGTACTGAGGAATCGAACCCAGGGCCTCAGGCATGCAAGGCAAGCGCTCTACCACTGAGCCACCTTCCCAGTCCATTTTCTTTTTCTTTTTTTGTCAGTTGTGCGACTTGAACTCTGGGCCTGGGCACTGTCCCTTAGCTCTTCAGCTCAAGGCGAGTGCTCTACCACTTGAGCTACAGTGCCACTTCCGGTTTTCTAGTGGTTTATTGGAGATAGGAATCTCAGGGTCTTTCCTGCCTGGGCTGGCTTTGAACCGTGATCCTCAGATCTCAGCCTCTTGAGTAGCTAGGTTCCTCAGATCAAGGCTAGCACTCCTGGCTTTCTCTCTCTCTCCGTGTGTGTGTGCGCGTGCGTGCGTGCGTGTGTGTGTGCGTGCGTGCGTGTGTGCGTGCGTGTGTGTGTGTGTGTGTGTGTGTGTGTGTGTGTGTGTGTGTGTGTGAACTCTGGGCCTGGGCGCTGTCCCTCAGCTCTTCAGCTCAAGGCTAGCACCCCTGGCTTTCTCTCTCTCTCTCCGTGTGTGTGTGTGTGTGTGTGTGTGTGTGTGTGTGTGTGTGTGTGTGTGTGTGTGTGTGTGTGTGTATGTTGTGTGTTGTGTGTGTGTGTGTTGTGTGTCTGAACTCTGGGCCAGGGCACTGTCCCTCAGCTCTTCATCTCAAGGCTAGCACCCTACCAGTTGAGCCACAGTGCCACTTAGGGCTTTTTTCTGCTTATGTGGTCTTCAGGAATCGAACCCAGGGCCTCATGCATGTGAGGCAAGCCTCTACCACTGTGACAACTTCCCAGCCCCTTCTTTTTGTTTTTAATCACTGAGCCATATCCCAGTCCCATTCCTTTGCTCTTTATATGGTCTGAACTTACTGTGTCCTTAGATACAGAATCATCTTACAGGAGGAATTACTGCTGGTAGTTTTCATCTTCCCAAAAGCAACAGCTTTACAGGTACATGTAGTTTTTAAATCTCGTTAGGTAGCCCAGATTGGTTGGGAGCTTGCTATGTAGGCCAAGTAGGCCTTGAACTAACAGTCCTCCTGCCTCTGCCTTCAAAGTGCCAGGAGTATGGGAAAGTTAAAACACCGCACCTGGCCCCCTACATGTCCTTCAGCCCATTAAAAGCCATGTCATCTTTTTGATAAAGGTTTAACGTTTTGCTTTTCTGTGACTACACAGTATGTTGCATGAATATGGAAACTGTAATATTTGTCAGTCTTTCAAGCATACGAGTGTTTATTCATATCATTTTTCCTTTCCCTTTTTCTCCTGTCTTATAATTTCTGACTAATAGATCAGTACTTTGGAAATTCTAAATTTGGAAGATCAGGGTGCACTTCTAAGTGATGATGAAATATTCGCTAGCCGCCAAACTGGGAAACATACCTGCATGGCCTTGCGCAAGTATTTTGAGGCTCATCTGGCCATTAAATTGGAACAAGTAAAGCAATCACTTCAGAGGACTGAGGGTGGTATTCTTGTTCACCCTCAACCCCCATACAAGGTAAGCAGATGTAGGTGGTTTGGTTTTCTTTTTTTTTAATTAATGTATTTAAGTAATATACAAAGGGGTTTCAATTCAACATGTTTATGAGTACAGTGCATCTTGATCAGTGTCACCACTTCCATTGTTTTCCTTCATCTCTCCCAACCAAAGAGCCTGAAGCTCAAATTCATATCAGTGGAATCTCAATAGGACTCTGGGTTGAATTTGTTATTTGCCCTAGATGGAAATAGAACAATTGAAAATGGACATAACAGATGAATTCCAAGGACTGTTTTTGCTCCCACTTGGAAATTACTGTTTTTCTGAGATAATTAGAACTACCCGAATACCTGAAGTATTTCTAAAAGAGCTTTCTTTTGCAAAAAGTATTAAATATCCTGAGAATTTCTTTTGGGATAGTATGTATCTATAATCTCTTCTCTTTCATTTTGGAATCTGTTTTATTTTGGGACCACAATCAGTGTCTGTGTTTTTTTTGTTGTTTTTGTTGTTTTGTTTTTCCTTTTTTCTTTTTTTTTGCTGGTCCTGGGGCTTGAACTCTGGACTAGGTGCTGTCCCTGAGATTCTTTTTCTCAAGGCTAGCGGTCTACCACTTGAGCATTAGCACCATTTCTGGCTTATTCTGAGTAGTTTATTGGAGATACTCTTGAGGGCTTTCTTGCTTGGGCTGGCTTTGAGCCACAATCCTCATATCTTAGCCTCCTGAGTAGCTAGGATTACAGGTATGAGCTACCAGGACCTGGCAGTATCTGCATGTTTAAAAAAAAAAATCACAAATTAAGATAATATCAATTTCTTTGTGCTTTCTCCTCTTAAGCTGTGAAATGTATGCAGAAGATATTTTGTTATTTTGGAGGGAAAAACTTATTGTTTAGTTAGAAGTCACATGGATCATTGAAGAATTACGAAAAGCTATTTTTTTTTTTCAAATTCTTTATTGTGATTAAGTGATTATATCATTTCCCAAATTTCACATTATTGTGGGATAGTGATGCTTAAAGTCACAAACACATTCTAACTTTCATGGGGCAAATTGTCTATCATGGTCTATAACATTTATGAGTTCTATGAGCTTTGCAGTACAGTTATTTCTTCCACATTGGGTGATATGTACTTTGCTTTTGTTTTGCATACCATCAACTGTTCCCTCTTTCCCACTTGTTCCCTCCCTCCCATCGCTGCCATTGAGTTGCTTAGTTCATTTTCATCAATGTCCAGTGCAGCTGATGGGTCCCACTGTTGTATGTTTTTCCCTGATTACCTCTAGTTCTGTGTCATCCTCCTGGTTTCCCTCTGGTGTGCACATATATACCATATATGTGATCAGCAGCATGGGGTTATTTAGTAGTGATTTGACCAGATGAGTGGAAGTCCTTTGTTTCTTAAGTCTTGTTAATTTTGTCATATCACCTTACATTTTGGATTTAACATCCACTTATCAGGGAGACCATATGCCGTTTGTCTCTTTGCTCTTGGCTTACCTCGCTCAATATGATTTCTTCTAGCTCCATCCATTTCCCTGCAAATGCCATTATTGTGTCCTTTCTAATGGCTGCATAATATTCCATTGTGCATAGATACCACAATTTTTGGGTCCACTCATCTGTGATGGAACATCTGAGTTGTTATGGAAAGCTATTTTTAAAATCTGTTGGTCTTTTAAACCCCAAAACTGCTAGAAACAGTCCCCCAAAACCTGTTGGCTAGTGAGCTGTGCTTAAGAAGGCAGATGATAGTTATATATAATTTCTATCTCTCCATGTAGGCTTGTTCCTACACTCATGAACAGATTGTGGAAATGATGGAGTTTTTGATAGAATATGGCCCGGCACAACTCTATTGGGAACCAGCTGAAGTCTTCCTCAAACTTTCCTGTGTACAACTCTTGTTGCAGCTTATTTCTATTGCCTGCAATTGGAAGACCTATTATGCAAGGTGGGACCAGAGAGACTCAAATGACATATGATGCTGATTTTTGCTTAAAATTGATGTTGGTTGGTTTGTGTATGGTATAGGCAATAAACTTTTATTGAACTGAATCTGAGAAACTAGTTAAACATGGAAATGTAGTTTTTAATTTGTAAGGTATTTGTTCCTATATATGGTGTTAGTGAATGTAAACTTTGCACAGTAAGGAAGATCTAACTTGAGAAGTTAGGTATTTTACTTGTTTTAGCTGTAGAGCTGGGGATGAAGTCCTGTCTTGAGATTGCAGTCCTATTTTTTGTGCTTGGACATTAAATATCTTGCTTCTGCTTGAAACTATGTATAATGTTTATTTTACTGTCACATTAAAAAGTTCTGAAACAGTACCCTGGCCTTGAGTTCAATCCCTAGGCTGGCACCAAAAGCAAAAAAAGAAATTAGAACAAACTGAATATAGATATAGATATTTAGCCTGCTTTTTTAAACTCTTAAAATAATTTTCTGGGGAAACAATGAATAATGTGTAGAAAAGGCAGCTTTTGTACTATTGGTACTAAGTTTGGATTTTTAAAAACATTACTTTTAGACTGTTAACTCTGGAATATTTCTAACAGTATGGAAGCCATTTTCTTCCTTCATCGGTGTGCGTGTGTGTGTGTGTGTGTGTGTGTGTGTGTGTGTGTGTGTGTGTGTGTGTGTACGTGTGTACACATATGTATGTGTGCTAGTATTGGGGCTTGAATTCAGGGCCTGAAGCTGTCACTTTTTTTTCTCACAGCTGGAGCTGTACCTCTTGAACCATACCTCCAGTTTCAGTTTTTTTGCTGGCTAATTGGAAATAAGAATTTGGAGCATTTTGGAGTCTGGATTTTGATATTAGGCAGCAGATAAAATCTATGCATGTTATTTCAAAATCCAAAAAGCTCCCACTGAATTCTGAAGTATGTATGGTCCCAAGTATTGATAAGGTATACTTATCAGATATTCTTGTCTGCACATCTGATGATTTTCTTAAGACAAATTGGTGTAGGTGAAGTTCCTGAGCCAAAGGTTATGATTTTTTTTTTTTTGCCAGTCCTGGGCTTGACTTCAGGGCCTGGGCACTGTCCCTGAGCCTCTCTGTGCTCAAGGCTAGCCCTCTACCACATGAGCCTCAGCGCCACTTCCTCTTTATCTGTGTATGTGGTACTGAGGGCTTCATGCATGTTAGGCAAGCATTTTACCACCAAGCTACCTTCCCAGCTCCAGGTTCTGAATGTTTTAAGAATCAGGTTTCATATTCCAGATTATCTTCTAGATAGACTGTCTAGTATCTTCTCCACAGGTAAAGATTGAAGAGTCACACAGATGATCCAATCTGTTGTATCTCTTTCTTTTTAAGCAATTAATGTTTTGTATTATAATTTCCTGTTGACTAATTTTTCTTCCTGTCCAGGAATGACACCGTGCGCTTTGCTTTGGATGTCTTGGCTATTCTCACTGTGGTGCCAAAAATCCAACTCCAGTTGGCAGAGTCAGTGGATGTGTTGGATGAGGCTGGCTCTACCATCTCCACTGTAGGTAAGTTGCAGCTCACCATTGTTGTTGGATGTGGATTTGTTTTCCTTTGTTGTGCTCGTTACTTGCCTTAGAATTTGGGGATATTAGAGGAAGATTCTGTGTCTGTGCCCTGTAAGAAGACCATACAGTTTCCTAGGTGGGAATCATGCCAATAAACTCAAAGTTTGTGAACAGTTGAAGTATTTTTGGTATAATAGTACTTGTGAAAACGTTGTACTGTAGAATCTTGTAGTAAAAGTTTATGGGACTAGCAGGTTGAGGCGAACACTAAGAAACTTAAGGAGATTTGTAACTTGTAACACTGGAAAGAATTAGTAGTGGGTAGTTAGCTCCACGACTCAAGTAAATAGCACCTTTTGAAAATCTCCCTTATTCCAAGTAGGCTCAGGAGGTTGGTGCTTAGGTGAGTCTGTAGCTGTGTGACTATCTGTGAGTCTTTGGCTGTGCCACACTGAGGTATAAGTCCAAGGTTCAGGCACTTGTTTTTAATTTCCTTAATATGGGGTGCGAACAAAGTCCCCACCGCCATGGTGACAGCTTAGCTGAGGGCTTTTTGCTTTCCCACAGAAGTTTTTCATTCATTCTCGCTAGTTATGCTCTATTTACCTAGGAAACATTGCACATGAGTCTTGGTGACTGCCCCATAATACAGTCTCCATTCTGATTATTATACATGAGGTATTGCATTGTAAAGATACATTGTAGGAGAACTGCTTGCATTTATTCTTTGCACTTTAAAAAAAAAAGAGGGGGGCAGTAATTAAAAAAAAAAACCAAATGATAAAACTCCAAAATTTGAAACTGTCACCGCCACTGAAGTTCGCCATTAGTTTTATGAGGAATACTATAATTTTTTTCCCCCTTCATAGGTATCAGCATTATATTGGGAGTGGCTGAGGGTGAGTTCTTTATCCATGATGCTGAAATTCAGAAGTCAGCACTTCAAATTATCATCAATTGTGTGTGTGGCCCGGATAACCGAATATCCAGTATTGGCAAGTTTATCTCCGGAACGCCTCGGAGAAAGCTGCCTCAGACCCCCAAGAGCAGTGAGCATACCCTGGCCAAGATGTGGAATGTGGTCCAGTCCAACAACGGCATCAAGGTGCTTCTGTCCTTACTGTCCATCAAGATGCCCATCACAGATGCAGACCAGATCAGGGCTCTGGCCTGCAAGGCCCTGGTGGGCCTGTCTCGCAGTAGCACGGTACGGCAGATCATCAGCAAACTGCCCCTTTTCAGCAGCTGCCAGATCCAGCAGTTGATGAAGGAGCCCGTGCTGCAGGACAAACGCAGTGACCATGTCAAATTCTGCAAGTATGCTGCTGAACTCATAGAGCGGGTGTCAGGAAAGCCTCTTCTCATTGGCACGGATGTGTCACTGGCACGGCTACAGAAAGCAGATGTTGTTGCCCAGTCACGGATCTCCTTCCCCGAGAAAGAGCTGCTTCTGTTGATAAGAAACCATCTTATTTCTAAAGGGCTTGGAGAGACAGCAACTGTGCTGACGAAAGAGGCTGACCTGCCCATGACCGCGGCCTCCCATTCTTCTGCCTTCACCCCAGTAACTGCTACTGCTTCTCCTGTCTCTCTTCCCCGAACCCCTCGCATTGCTAATGGCATTGCAACTCGACTGGGTAGTCATGCCGCCGTGGGCGCCACTGCCCCTTCCGCCCCCATTGCCCACCCTCAGCCACGGCCCCCCCAGGGTTCACTCGCTCTGCCTGGCCCGTCTTATGCAGGCAACTCCCCTTTGATTGGTAGGATCAGTTTTATCAGAGAGAGACCGTCACCTTGCAATGGGAGGAAAATCCGTGTGCTGCGGCAGAAGTCGGACCATGGTGCCTACAGCCAAAGCCCAGCCATCAAAAAGCAGTTGGATAGACACCTTCCTTCCCCACCTACGCTGGACAGTATCATCACAGAATATCTTAGAGAGCAACATGCTCGCTGCAAGAACCCAGTTGCCACCTGCCCACCTTTCTCTCTTTTTACTCCTCACCAATGTCCCGAGCCAAAACAGAGGCGGCAAGCGCCAATAAACTTTACCTCGAGGCTAAACCGCAGGGCATCATTTCCAAAATACGGAGGGGTGGATGGTGGCTGCTTTGATAGGCATCTGATCTTCAGCAGGTAAGGAAGGCGCCCCACATCCCCTGGAAACTGGAATGCTTCTTCTACTTAAAACCGTTGGGAGCATGATAAGAAGGCCATTTGTTGGCTTGAAATACAACTGTTACCTCATGTGATACATGGGAAATGTAAATGTGCCACCTTTTACCCACCCTGGGTTCATTGTGTGACAGCAGTATACCGATGTGCTGATGCCTCCAGTATGTTGGCTCTGCTAGTTCAGGTTACCTTCCATTCTGATCCTTCGCAAGTCTCAGATGTAGGTCGTGGGATCACAGACATTTTTGTTGTTTCGATTTGTAAGTTATCTCATTTAAAAGGAACCACTGGAGGTCACCGTAATGTTTCAAAACACTTTTTTTCTTAACAAGTTGTTAAGAATGTTGTTGTTGGTATTAGTGGTGGTCATGGGGCCTGAACTCTGGGCCTGTCCCTCAGCTCTTCAGCTCAAGGCTAGCTCTCTACCACTTGAGTCACAGTGCCACTTCTGGCTTTTTCTGCTTATGTGGTTGCTGAGGAATCGAACCCAGGGCCTCATGTTTCCAAGGCAAGCACTCTACCGCTGAGCCACCTTCCCAGCCCCAACAAGTCACTTTTTGAAATGTAATGGTTATGTTCTTTTATTCCTTCTAGTAAAATTGCTTTTTCAACGATCCTACACATCCTGTGTTTGATTGTCACCTCTTTGTGTTTCTGCTTAGGTTTCGTCCCATTTCAGTATTCCGGGAAGCTAATGAAGATGAGAGTGGTTTCACGTGCTGCGCGTTCTCAGCACGGGAGCGGTTCCTGATGCTGGGGACCTGCACAGGGCAGCTGAAGCTCTACAATGTGTTCAGCGGACAGGAGGAAGCCAGCTACAACTGCCACAATTCGGCCATCACACACCTTGAGCCTTCCAGGGTAAGGGTTCCTTTCCTAGACATTCTAAGTCATCCTCACATGGACTGGTACGTTGGGGTTAATGCTCCTTTATGGGACTTTCTATTTGAGGAGAAGTTCTCAGAGTCTAGTTGACTCATATTTCAGAGGGAAACTGAAGAATATTGCCAAGTTTTAAGAGAAACCATCTTTGATGTCTTCCCAAGTTTTTTCCTCCCCTTTCAAACTGTTCCTGTATGTTTTTCTTTTCTTTTTTTTTTTTAACCAGTTTAGGAAGACCCAGTGTTCTCTCAAATTTAATTTTTCTCTCTGGTTTTTTTTTTTTTTTTTTTTTTTTTTTTTTTGTGGGGGCTTGAACTCTAGACCTGCGTACTGTCCCTGAGCTCTGTAGCTCAAGGTGAGCACTCTACCACTTGAGACACAGCACCATTTTTGGTTTTCTGGTGGTTAATTGTAGATAAGAGTCTCAGGGACTTTTATGCCTGGGCTGGCTTTGAACCGTGATCCTCAGATCTCAGCATCCTGAGTAGCTAGGATTACAGGTGTGAGCCACCAGCACCTGGCTACAAATTTAATTGTTCGCTACGACACTATAGGTCTATATATTTAAATCCTAGTCCTTTCTCAATATTGTTCCAGGAGTGTTTGTACTTTTTTTTTCAAAATAACAGTGGTGCATGTGAGTGTGGGTGTGTGCTTGCATGTGTGTGTGCATGCATGTGTATGCTGCTCCTGAGGCTTGAACTCAGGGTCTGGGTGTATCCCTGAACTTTTGTGAGCAAGGCACACAAAATTAGCACTCTAGTTCCAGTTTTCTGGTGGTTAATTGGAGATAAGAATCTCATGGACTTTCCTACCTACCTAGGCTAGCTTTGAACCGTGATCCTCAGATCTCTGCCTTATGTATAGCTAGGATTATAGGCATGAGCTACCACTGCCTGGCTTATACAGAGTTTTTTTCCTTTTCTTTTTTTACCCCAGTACTGGTGCTTGAACTTAGGACCTCTTGCTCAACTTTTTTACTCATGGCTGGTGCTCAACTGTGTGAATTACTTCTCTATTGGTTAAGAGATACAAGTCTAGGATTAATATAGGTGTGAGCCACCAGTGCCTAGTCTGATACTTTTTTTTTTCTGTCTGTTGTGGGGCTTGAACTCTGGGCCTGGGTGCTGTCCCTCAGCTCTTCAGTTCACAGCTAGCATTCTACCGCTTGAGGCACAGCACCACTTCCAGTTTTCTGGTGGTTAACTGGAGATGAGTCTCATAGACTTTCCTACCTGGGATGGCTTAAACCTCCATCTTCAGATCTCAGCCTCCTGTGTAGCTAGGATTACAGGCATGAGCCACTGGTGCCTGGCCTGATACATATTTTTAAAAATTAATTTGGTGGTACTGGGGTATGAACTTGGGGCTTTGGCTTGCTAGGCAAGTGCTTTACAGTTAAGCTACAGTGTATTTTAATTTTTTTTCTTTGAGTGCCAGGGATTGGACCCAGGCCTTGTGTGTACTTACCTAGTGATTTACCACTGAGTAATTCTTTGGCAGTTTTGTGAGATAGTCTTGCTATATAGCCCAGGCGGCCTTTAATTCATGTTCTTCCTCCTATAGCTTCCAATTGCTGGTATTACAGGTGTGCCTGTCATGATTGATTGTATTCATCTATTTTCAGATGCTAGTGACAGACGCTAATACCTGCGTTTATGTATACACACACACACTTAGTCACTTTAGTCTCCTCCTTTTAGGATGGGTCCTTGCTGCTGACGTCTGCCACATGGAGCCAGCCGTTGTCCGCACTTTGGGGAATGAAATCTGTATTTGATATGAAGTATGTATTTGTTTTTGCAGCCCAGTTTCTCTATGTTTACTTAATTTTTATCCCTGTTCAACTGATTTTAAGCTACAAGCCTTTTAGGAAAAGAGAAATGATGTGTGAGCTGTCGCCAACTTTCTTCCTCATTCAAATCATGTTGAATTAGAATGTTTTTCTTTGCCAGTCCTGAAGCTTGAACTCAGGGCCTGGGCTCTGCCCCTGAGCTTCTTTGGCTCAAGGCTAGCACTCTACCACTTGAGCCACAGCGCCACTTCCGTTTTTTTCTGTGTATGTGGTACTGAGGAATCAAACCTAGGGCTTCATGCATGCTAGGCAAGTACTCTGCCACTTAGCCACATTCCCAGCCCTGAATTAAGATTTTTATATCTGTTTTTGGTAATATTGGGGTTTGAACTCAGAGACCGCTTGCCACTGTGTAGTTGAGCTGTTTTCAAAACAACTGTGTTTTTAGGATAGGACCTGGCTTTCTATCCAGGCATGCATGTGTGTGAGCTGCAGTCTACTTCCTGTTGCTTGATGTGTTCATGGGTGTGGTTTCTATGATCCTCCTAGTCTCAGCCTCCCACATAGCTTGGTACACACCACTATACCTAGCTATGGGGTGAGAAGGATTCTTGCAGACTTTTTGCCTGGGCTGACAAATGGTGATGCTACTATTTTCAGCCTCCAAGTAGCTAGGATTACAGGTATGAATCACGGGTTGCTTTCTACCTGGCTAGGTTTTTTTTTGTTGTTGTTGTTTCAGTCCTGGGCTTGAACTCAGGGTTTGGGTACTGTCCCTGATAATTTTTTTTTTTGCTCAAGGCTGGTGCTCTTCCACTTGAGCCACAGTTCTACTTCTGGCTTACTGGTAGATAAAGTGGAGATGACAGTTTCGTAGACTTTCTTGGCCAAGATGGCTTTGAACTGCTATTTTCAGATCTCAGCCTTCTGAGTAGCTAGGATTATAGGTGTGAGCTACCAGTGCCCAGCTCTGGTTAGGTTTTTATCTTTCTCAATTCCAGTTCTCATATAAAGTTTCTACATTTCCATTATTCAACAGACCTTTCACAACCCTCCAAAAAAACCTGTGTACATACTTTCTTTTATTTATATATGACACACTTGCTGGTACATTTTCAAAGGCATCTGTGCAATATTAGCCATTTCTCTAACCAGGAGATTTTGTTAATTATTTGTGGTCTTTTTGGATGGACTCATGTGGATAGTTTTACATTAAGATGGAAATAACTCTTTAATTGGTTGAAAGGATATTTCCTGAAGATCTGTCATTTAAGTACTTGTGTTGTTTTCCATAGGCATTCCTTCACGGAAGATCACTATGTTGAGTTCAGTAAGCACTCTCAGGATCGGGTTATAGGCACAAAAGGAGACATTGCCCATGTAAGTACTTAAGCATCCATTGGCTTCCAGGTGATTTTCCCATGTGTTCATTGAAATCTTACAGATGGAATGTGGGGACTGTGTGCATAGGTTCGGTTAGCAGCTAGAAACTATTTACTGAAGACTGGGGCTACCTTGTTATGCCTCAGAAGTAGAGCGCCTGTGTAGCATGCACAGGATTCCCTCTTAAAAATAAACACACACGCATGCGCGTGCACACACACACAGAGTGAGTATGTCCCAGGGAGCTGGGCATGGTGATTTATATCTTTAACCAGCACTTAGAGGCTGAGGCAGGGAGATCTTGCATTTGAGACCAGCCTGGGCTATAATATTGAAACCCTGTCTTGGAGGGGGAGTGGTAAGTGAGAAAAAATTCAAATGAGCTGAATGTGGTGGCTCATGCCTATATCCTAGCTATTTGGGAGATTAAGGCAGGAAAATGGCAAGTTTGAGGTAAGTTTTAGCAACTTAGATTCTACTCCAATATAAATTTTAAAAAGGAGTGTGGCTAGGGCTATTGATACGATAGCTCATTTATAGAGAATTTGCCTAGCACACTGGCTACTATCCCCAACACCTCAAAAGTAACAAAACCACCAGAAGATATTCCTTCCTATTAGGATCTAGAAGTATAATTAAGTAGTTCTAAGCTATACGGGAGAAATGTGAACGAGCTGAACATGAGCTTAATCTGACAATTTGAGAAAGATACTAGCACAGTAGATCTTTTGTATTTTGGGACAGGGTCTCACTGTATAGCCCAGGCTGGCCTTGAACTCTTCAATTTTCATGTCTGTAAAAGGGTTTGAACTTGGGACTTTGTACTCACTGGTCTCTTTTTAAAAATTTTTAATTTTTAATTAAACTTAGGGCCCGGGCGCTGTCCCAGAGCTTTTTCACTCAAGGCTAGTACTCTACCACTTTGAGTCACAGTGCCACTTCTGGTTTTCTGGTGGTTAATTGGAGATAAAAATCCCACAGATTTTCCTGCCTGGGCTGGCTTCAAACTGCAATCCTCAGATCTCAACCTCTTGAGTAGCTAAGATTATAGGCGTGAGCCGTTGGCACCTGGTTACTTGCCTTTTTTTTTTTTTTGATCCAGTCGTGGTGTCTGAATTCTGGGCCTGGGCGCTATCCCTCAGCTCTTCAGCTCAAGGCTAGCGCTCTACCACTTGAGCCACAGCGCCACTTCCAGCTTTTTTCTTTTTTGCTTATGTGGTGCTGAGGAATCGAACCCAGGGCCTCATGCATGCAAGGCAAGCGCTCTACTACTGAGCCACCTTCCCAGCCCTTTTAATTGAAGTAGTTTTGAGGCTGTTTAAAGTTTTATTATAAAGGTAATGTACAGGGGTTACAGTTACAAAAGTAAGGTAATGAGTGCATTTCATTTCAAGCAGTGTTACCCCCTCCCTCTAGACAATTTTTTTTTGTTGTTGTTGGTTGTGGGTCTTGAATTCTGGGCCTGGGCACTGTCCCTGACCTCTTCAGCTCAAGGTGAATGCTCTACCACTTGAGCTACAGCGCTACTTCCGGTTTTCTGATGGTTAATTGGAGATAAGAGTTCATAGACATTTCCTACCCAGGCTGGCTTTGAATGGTGATCCTCAGATCTCAGCCTCCTGAGTATCTAGGATGACAGGCATGAGCTACCAGCACTCAGTTTAGACAATTCTTTTTTTTTTTTTTTTTAATTGTGAAAATACTACAGAGGGGTTACAATTACATGGGCAAGATAATGAGTACGTTTCTCATCAAGCATTGTTGCCTCCTCCTTTGTTTCCCCTTCCCATCCCTTCCCATCCTCCCCCTGCCCCCCTAAACAATTCTTTTGAAGGGTTTTTGCTGAAAAACCTAAGTAGAGAAATAGTATAGCATTTTGGGGGAGGATATGGGATGATAAAATTAGAACTTTCCCCTCAGTTTTTCCCTTGTAAATGTTAAAACAGAAAACCTGAAAGAATAGTATATATATACATATATATGTATATATATATGCACACACACACTAGATTTGTCAATTTAATATTTTGCATATTTTCTGCATAAATGTGTATGTTTTAGTGAGTCACTTAAAGTAAATTGCAGACATCATGGCTTTCTAAGTCTTAAAGCATCTCCTAACAGTACGTTTTATTACATAATCACTCTTGCCAAATTTTAAAGTATTATAGTAATCTCATCTAATTGCCATTCTACACTCAGTTTTCTTAACTGTTCCATCTTGATGTAACTTGTTTCAATTGCTGTTATTGTTGTCATTGTTTTGAACCAGCGTCCAGCCAAAGACTCACATTGCATTTGATTGTATGTCTTATTAGTGTTTTAAAGCCAAGAACCAATTCTCCAGGTTTCATGACATTGATTCTTGAAGAGACCAGGCTAGTGTGTCCCATGACCTGAATGTGTTTGTTTCCTTGTGATGTCTCAGTTGTTTCTAGATCAAAGGATTAAAATTTTATTTTATTTTTTAAACTAAAGCTTGGCCCTTTGACAACATGTTTGTAAGCTGAAAGATCTGGTCTCTGCATGGATTACACACTGTAGACTTTAAAAACTTCTAGTATGAGTAGGGCTAGAGTATGTTTCCATGGGGAGTTTTTTTGTTTGTTTTTTTTTTGGTCGGTCGTGGGGCCTGAACTCTGGGCCTGGGCACTGTCCCTCAGCTCTTCAGCTCAAGGCAAGCACTCTACCGCTTGAGCCACATCGCCACTTCTGGCTTTTTTCTTTTTGCTTATGTGGTGCTGAGGAATCGAACCCAGGGCCTCATGCATGCAAGGCAAGTGCTCTACCACTGAGCCACCTTCCCAGTCCTAATGGGGAGATTTTTAAGGAGTAAAGTTTTATGGCCTTGATGGTTCTCTCCAAACAGTAAACTTTAATGAGTATTCTATGGATCATCATTGATTGATCCATGTGAAGAATTTCTCAGTTTTAATGTTATAAACTTTGTTTCTTTTTTTTGTTGGAGACCAGGACTTGAACTCAGTATCTGAGGCTTGCTTTTGCTCATTGGCTGTTGCTCTACTACTTGAGCCGTGCCTCCAAGCCCTTCTTTTTTGTTTCTTAAAGGGGGAATTATTAGGAATTGTTTTATTGAGATTCCTAATATAATTTCATTTGTTTCTTAAAGAAGAGGGATTTTTGAAACGTTGAATGGGAAACTGGAAAGCACTTAAACCTAGCTTTCCATTACTTTAAATTACATTCCATTATTACTTTATAATGTCAGGGCTTTCATAATCCAGGGAAAGTTTGGGAGACGTATTTTTACACACAGATTTTCTTTACATTTGTCAATGAATGGCTTGGTCTGATTTTCTTTTCCCGCCCCTTCTTCTCTAAAGATTTATGATATTCAGACTGGCAACAAGCTGTTGACTCTGTTTAACCCAGATCTTGCCAACAACTACAAGAGGAACTGTGCCACCTTTAACCCTACAGATGATCTTGTGTTAAATGATGGCGTCCTCTGGGATGTCCGCTCTGCACAGGCCATCCACAAGTTTGACAAGTTCAACATGAACATCAGCGGTGTTTTCCATCCGAATGGGCTGGAGGTCATCATCAATACTGAGATTGTATCCTTTACACATCCTACTTGCCATTTGTCATCTGGTGTGCTATGCAAAAAGTATTTTAAGTATTGAGTTGTCTTTCTGTTTTTCTTTCTTTTTTTTTGGGGGGGGAGGAGGGTCCGGTTGTGGGACCTGAACTCTGGGCCTGGGCGCTGTCCCTCACCTCTTCAGCTCAAGGCTAGCGCTCTACCACTTGAGCCACAGCGCCACTTCCGGCTTTTTTCTTTTTGCTTATGTGGTGCTGAGGAATCGAACCCAGGGCCTCAGGCATGCAAGGCAAGCGTTCTACCACTGAGCCACCTTCCCAGTCCCTATTTTTCTTTCTTTCTTTCTCTCTTTCTTTCTTTCTTTTTAATTGGCACCATTGGGGTTAGAACTCAGGGCCTTGTGTTTATCTTATTTGTTTTTGTTTTTATTAGATAATATTATAAAGTGTTTTATGTAGGGGTAGGTTTATCCATCGTTCTGGCTGCCACCAGGCCATGTTGGCCCTCCACGGGGAAAGACAGGGAAAGGCCTGAGAAAGACCTGGGAAAAAGCTGGGAAAGAGCTAGGAAAAGGAGAGAGCTGGGAAAGAGAAAGAGCTGGGAAAGAGAGGGCCTTGTGTTTGGTAGGCATCTGTTCTACCACTTGAGCCATGTTTACAGCCCTTTTTGCTTTCGTTACTTTGGGGATATGTATGCGTAGGATGGTCTGGATGATGATTCTCCTATTTACATTTTCTGTGTAGCTGGGATGATGGGCATTTGCTACCATATCCAGCTTTTTTATTGGTCGAGGTAGAGTCATGTGAACTCTTTCCCTGGGCCAACCTGGAACTGTAATCCTCCTGATTTCCAGCTCTTGGGTAGCTGGGATGAGTCTCTGACTCATGCTAGGCATGCTAGGCATGAGTCTCTGCCCAGCTTTGAACTGACTTAAAGGCTTTTGGAAGCACTTTTATTTTTGCTCTATGGAAACTGGTTGCTGTCATAGAAGAGGAAGATGGAATACGTGTTTTGTGGGGAATGAACTTATGTAGCTTTTCAGGTCTTTTTTTGTTGTTGTTTCACGTAGCTTTTATATGTACTGCGATACTGTATAACATTTATATTTATTTTTATTTTTGTCAGTCGTGAGGCCTGAACTCAGGGCCTGGGTGCTGTCCTTGAGCTGTTTTTGCTGAAGGCTAGTGTTTTGAGCCATAGCACCACTTCTGGTTTTCTTCATGGTTAATTGGAGATAAGAGTCTCATTGCCTTTCCTGCCCTGGCTGGTTTCAAATCTTTTTTTTTTTTTTTTTTTTGGGTCCGGTTGTGGGGCCTGACCTCTGGGCCTGGGCGCTGTCCCTCAGCTCTTCAGCTCAAGGCTAGCGCTCTACCACTTGAGCCACAGCGCCACTTCTGGCTTTTTTTCTTTTTGCTTATGTGGTGCTGAGGAATCGAACCCAGGGCCTCATGCATGCAAGGCAAGCGCTCTACCACTGAGCCACCTTCCCAGCCCTGGTTTCAAACCTTGATCCTCACATCTCAGCCTCCTGAGAAGCTAGGATTACGGGCGTGAGCCACCAGTGCCTGTCCCATACATTATTTTTAGAGACATCAGTTAACTTTTTTTTGTCGGTTATGGGACCTGAATTCTGGGCCTAGGTGCTGTCCCTGAGTTCTTCAGCTCAAGGCGAGTGCTCTACCACTTGAGCCACAGCACCACTTCGGGCTTTTTCTGCTTATGTGGTGCTGAGGAATCGAACCAGGACCTCATGCATGCAAGGCAAGCACTCTACCACCGAGCCACCTTCCCAGCCCCATCAGTTGACTTTTAAAATACAAATATCTAGTAGGAGTTTAAAAAGTGCTATTTCAGGGGCTGGGAAGGTGCCCAGCCATTAGTCTTGTGCACAAGACACAACAGCTTGGCCTCTGTCCTCTCAATCTCAACCTCCCAAAGAGATAGGACTATGTAGGTATGAGCCCAGGCACCTGGCTTGTGAAATTGTTTTTCTTAACTCCTCTCCCAGTGGGACCTTCGAACTTTCCACCTGTTACACACGGTTCCTGCTCTGGATCAGTGTCGCGTGGTGTTCAACCACACGGGAACAGTGATGTATGGAGGTACTAAGCCATGTTCCTGGTTCTTCTCCCTTTATCCTGCCCCCGGTACACCTGGGTATTTATGGGGGGAAACAAGCTCTCACTTGTGGGGACATTTGGAAGATGTAACCCGAAAGAACATAATAATAGTACAAATGGAGACCAAAGGGAAGGCAAAAATTTTGCAGATGACAAATTTTGTATAGAAAGAAGTACTAGGTAGTAATCACGCACTTAAGAACCTGTACATTTGTCGTCTTGGGCTGTTCCCAGCCGTCCACTGTGTAAGCACATGTTGGGCGGCAGATGCAAGGTCGTGGATGTTATTGCCATAGGAGGTGAGATGCAGGGAGACTGAGCTGGGGGACGAAGGGGAATAGCCAGGAGACAGTTTGTTTACAAGGAAACTCACTGAATCTTGATTGGCCGTTAAAGTTTCTTGCGCTAGTACATACCAGATGTTTCTGATTTTAAATAAGTGTTTCACCCCCACTAGCTATGTTGCAGGCAGATGATGAAGATGACTTAATGGAAGAGAGGATGAAAAGCCCTTTTGGGTCATCCTTCCGCACGTTTAACGCAACTGATTACAAGCCTATAGGTAAGCACCAAGGGGCAGGCGTGGACTTTTTTTTTTCTTCTTTTCATGTTTGTTCCTTTTTGAAGAGCTACATTCCAATAGGTCCGTCACTTTTTTTTTTTGATCAGCAGAGGAGTTCTGGAAGTACTTGCAGATCAATCATTTTGATTTCCTTTGGAAGAAAAACAGGTTAAAAAAGGGTAATAGCACAATCCTGAATCTTGTCACCTTGTGTTTTTCAGCAACCATTGATGTGAAGCGGAACATCTTTGACCTGTGCACAGACACCAAAGACTGCTATCTAGCCGTCATCGAGGTGAGAGGCCTCCTTTGGGGGAGGCCCTGCACTTTTGTTCTGATGCTCAGGGTCATTTTCAAGTTACGTTGCATACTTTTTGTATCAGGTGTGTCATAGACAGTGGTGTTCCTGATGGTAGACCATTGATAACCGCCTCAATTAATAAGGTTTGGGGCATAGTCAGTACTAGAGAAATCATAAGGTGGTTTCAACATAAGATAGCACACAGTTCTGTGTACCAGAGTCACATAGTCATTCCTCTTCAGAGGAGTCATGGGGCGGAGTGGGGGGGCGGGGGGGGGGGGGGGCTTGTTCCAAGGATAGTGGCCTCTGCTGTCTTAAGCCTTCAAATCCTGTCTTCCCATCTCCTAGTGTGTCCTAGGTAGCTAAGAATTTCAGCTATCAGTGGCTTTGACAGGGTAGGGTCAGGTTCCTGGGCCCGCGTAAGAACTGAGGTGTATCACTGCTTCTCAAGGGCTGTGCGTTTCCTTCCAGAATCAAGGCAGCATGGATGCTCTAAACATGGACACGGTATGCAGACTTTATGAAGTAGGCAGACAGCGGCTGGCCGAGGATGAGGACGAAGAAGAGGACCAGGTCAGTGATCTCAGCGTTCTTTCTACTAAACACAGCTTCCTAGTGATTATGTTCTTTTGCTTTTTGCTAGCAAAGGCTGAGCTTCCAAAATTCACTCTAAATATAGATACTCTTAACCATTCACTCCAAATATGGTGCTCTACTGTCATACTTGGAAGGCTTATTGGGTGTTTGATGCTTAGAAGAGAGCAGAGTTTTGCTTATAAGACTGTCATTTAGCCAAGGTGGTTGTATGTACCTATAAGCTTAGCATTCAGGAGGTAGAGTCAGAAGGATCACAGGTGTGAGGCCATCCTGGACCATATAGTGTGAGAACTGACTCATAAATAAACACACAAATGACTGGGAATGTGGCTTAGCGGTAGAGTGCTTGCCTAGTTTGCATGAAGCTCTGGGTTCACTGCCTCAGTACCACATAAACAGAAAAAAACAGAAGTGGTGCTGTGGCTCAAGTGGTGGAGTTGTTGCCTTGAGCAAAAGAAGCTCAAGGACAGGGTGCAGGCCCTGAGTTCAAGCCCCAGGACAGACACAAACAAACAAACAAAAAAGAAAAATAATTCATCAGTATTTGATGATCCTGAATTCCATGTGTAATTTACAGCCTAGTAATCTCTTGGTTTTTATGTTAGCAATTCCCTTGTTCCATCCTTGCCTTCAGTGCCCTTTTCTGGCTTTAAAATATATCTCCCCACCTAGAACAAAGTATGTTAAGTGAGGAAGCCAAGCCCAGAAAGACCAGCAGTGTGTGCTCTCTCTCATATGGGGAAGGTAGATCTGACTTACACTGGATCATGACAAATTACACAGGGCCACAGGCATTTGCACACAGTGAGGCCCACGGAGGATGTTCTTAGGAGAGGAACACAGAGCTACAATGCTTATGTGCCTCTGATGATATAAAATAATATTTTTTGAAAGGAACTCCAGGAAATGGAAACGAGGGTTTTTCTTTGTTGTTTTTGTTTTATTTTTTCTTTTTGTCTTGCTTGTTTATTTATCTGTCTGGGAGGGGAAAAGAGGGGCACAGAAATGGAGGGACAAAGGGTGAACAAATGCAGCCATGACACTCAGTAGACATGTGGAAAACAAACTGTACAACTCATGGGTAAGAATGGGAGGGAAAAACTGGGAGACAGCGAGGGAAGGAGCGAAATGTACTCATTACCTGACTTATGTAACTTCAGTGCTGGAAGTGGCGCTGTGGCTCACGTGGTAGAGCACTAGCCTTGAGCTGAAGAGCTGAGGGACAGCGCCCAGGCCCAGAGTTCAGGCCCCACAACTGGACCCCCCCCCCCCCCACAAAAAAAATCTTGATATTTCTGGCCAAAAAAAAAAAATCTATAACTTCAGTGCTTTGTATGTCACCTTTATAGTAAAGATAAATTACCTAGCAGGGTGTGACATCATATGTCAGTAATCTTGGCCACTCCCATCAATATAGGAAAATTCTGAGAGACTAATCTGGACAAAGTCAAAGTTACAGAAGACCTTATCTTAAAAAAAAAGTAAACCAAGTTTGACCCAGCAAGGCGCTGGTGGGTCACACCTGTAATCCTAGTTACTCAGGAGGCTGAGATCTGAAGATTGTGGTTCAAAGCCAGTCTAGGCAAGAAAGTCTGTGAGACTCTTTATCTCCAGTTAACCACGAGAAAACCTAGAGCGATGGTCTTGAGCAAAAACAGTTCAGGGACAGCACCCAGGCTTTGAGTTCAAGCCCCCTGACTGACGTAAAACAAAAAATAAGTTTGAATTGTAGCCTAGTGCTTGTTATGCTGGTGCTCTACCACTTGAGGCATTCCCCCAACCCTTCTGGCTTTAGTTATTTGTGAGATAGGATCTTGTTTTTGCCTAGGGCCAGACTTGGACTGTGATCCTCCTTGTTAGGCCTTCCACATAGCTCGCAGTACAAGGGCACGTCTCCACACTGAGCTTACACTGAGGTCACACTTACTTTCTATCCTGGCTTGCCTCAGTGATTCTCTTGTTTTCTACCTCCTGAGCAGATGGGATTTCATACATGAGCTACTGTGCCTAGCCAGTACCATAGCTTTTTCTTTTCTTTCCTTTTTTTTTTTTGTTGCAATCTTATAGCATTATTTGACACTCACTAGTTCTCATCCACATTGACTGTCGGTAGATTTTTTTTTTTTTTGTCAGTCATGGGGCTTGAACTCTGGGCCTGGGCACTGTCCCTGCGCTCTTCAGCTCTAGGCAAATGCTCTGTCGCAGTACTTCTGGCTTTCTAGTGGTTTATTGGAGATAAGAGTCTCACAGACTTTCCTGCCTGGACTGGCTTTGAATGGTGATCCTCAGATCTCAGCCTCCTGAGTAGCTAGGATTACAGGCGTGAGCCACCGGCACCTGGCTTGTCTGTAGATTTTTGAACATGGTCACAGGAACATAGGTTACTGGAGTATAGAGCCTGTTTGGCGAGCCTTCATCCTCATTGTGTTTTATAGATAACCACACACAGATCTGATAGGGGACATTCCTTACTCCTTTGGGCCAGACAGCTTTGTTGAGCCATCGTTTTTTCAAATACCATATTATGAAGGATAATAAGGCTCCAAATGCTGCCAGGAGTTTCCCAGTATAGAAAGGATTTTCTTTAATGCTTTGCAGCTGCATTGTCCATAAGGGTCTTGGTTTCATGCGTGGCGGGAATCACCAGTGTTTAAAGTGTAAGTGAGTTATTGAGCTGTGGTTATGTGAGATTTCTAATTCATTAGTGACATAGATTTTTACGTTTTCTTGAGTGCTGTACTATTGAACTTACACAGGTAGCTAGTCTTTCTTGGTAACAGAGATTATAAGTGATAATAGATCCTTCAAGATCCTGTCTAACCCCAACCCCGAAAAAAGATTCTCTAAACTTCATGGGATTACCTTTGTTTTGATGCCTTGGTTGAGGTTTTTGTTTTGTTTTGTTTTTTGTTTTTGTTGTTGTGGTTGTTGGTCATGGGGCTTGAACTCTGGGCCTGAGCGCTGTCCCTGAGCTCTTCACTCAAGGTGAGCCACAGCACCACTTCCGGCTTTCTGGTGGTTTTTTGGAGATAAGAGTCTCATGGGCTTTCCTGCCCAGGCTGGCTTTGAACCAGGATCCTCAGCTCTCAGCTTTTTGAGAAGCTAGAATGACAGGTGTGAGCCACTGGCTCCCAGCTACCGTAAGTTTGCCTTGCTTTTGGGACACCATTTTTGCTTTCTGGAGACTGGCTTTCTCAGAATTAAGGGCAGGAAATTCTCTGCAAATTTACACAATGATTTAAACACAGCCCACGGTAATGCTAGACTGGAGCATCTCTGCATCTGCTGAGCCGCATGGTGTGTGCACAGGAATGCAACATTTCTGACAAATTTTGCTGTTGAAATTCCTTGGCCAGAACCGTGTGTGGTGAGTCTGCAGACAAGGGGGTTGCTGGGGCGCTGCAGGGGCTGGGGCAGCCCCGGCCCTCCTGCTCCCACGGGCTCCTTCAGCCACTGGCTGTCAGCTCTGTCCTCAGGCTGCTTCCCCAAGTGGTTCATTCATCTCCATCCCTGCCCTCCCACATCCCTGCCATGGAAGGCAGTGGGTGGACTGCGTTCTCTTCTGGGGATCATCCCCGGGTTCCTGGGAGGTCTAGTGTATCTTTGAGGGGAAGGTCAAGTTCAGAGGGAAGCTACGATTTCCCAAGGCACTCTGGGAACTGCGGGGTGGGGGTGGGGGGATGTGGATGTTCTGTGTCGGCTTCATTTTGCATGCATGGAGTAGTGAGGCTCTAGAGAGAGATGGCTGACTGTGAAGCATGAACACCCTGAAGGACCAGCCTGAGCATTCCTGTTCCTCACTGCTCCCTTCAGGTTGTGTGGGACAGGGAGAAACCTCCATCCTCCCCCTAGAAAGGGAAGAGATCCACGGCAGGGACTTCGGACCTTCTGGCCCTGCAGGCAGAGACTTGTGTCTCAGCACAGGCCGGCAAGGTCTAGACATATGGCCTCCACAGGGACCCAGTTTGTAGGAAAGTTAGAGAGGTCCGGAGCACTGAGGGGAGCAAGGCTGGGCATAGCCGTGTGACGTGGGTAGTTAGCATTGCTTCAGGATTTCTCAGGCTCTAGTGGTCTTTATTGGTCATGTGATGTATTTCCCGTCAAAGGAGACTCAGGTCACATGTCTTGGATGGGATAACATGCTTAAGTTCTTTCTACGCTTACATGTATTGGCCTGTTTACTGTGTAGAGTTGTTTTTTTTTGTCGGTAATGAGGCTTGAACTCTGGGCCTGGGCGCTGTCCCTGCACTCTTCAGCTCAAGGCGAGCACTCTACCACTTGAGCCACAGTGCCACGTCCAGTTTTCTGGTGGTTTATTGGAGATAAGAGTCTCATGGTCTTTCCTGCCCAGGCTGGTTTGAACCTTGATCCTCAGATCTCAGCCTCCTGAGTAGCTGGGATGACAGGCGTGAGCCACCATCGCCTGGCTATGTAGAATTCTGTAGTGATGTTTGGCCACATTTACTTCCTCATTGCATTTCTCCTCACTGCCTCTTTGTTTGCCAGTTTATTATTTTTTTTTTTCAGTTATTTTCCTTTATATGCCTCACCTGATTTTAAAACTAGAGACTTTTGGTTTTCATATGAGCCATTTGCTATTCAAAGTGTGTCCTAGATGAGAGTCATGCGTCTCTAGTCTTGGCAGATGTTCCGGGTATGACATTCATGGCTTAGGGATGCAAATACCTGTGACCGACACCTTTGAATTTGCCTTTTCTCCTTAATGAAACAAACTCACAAGTATGTGTGCCAAGCTCCCTTGTGCTAAAATGGTACGGCATAAAGTGCCTATATAAAACAACTATTAAAGAGCTTTGTAAAGACAGAATTTACATCCCACAGAAATAGTTCAAGCCAGGTGCTGGCGGCTCACGCCTGTCATCCTAGCTACTCAGGAGGCCGAGATCTGAGGATCTCGGTTCAAAGCCAGCCAGGGTAGGAAAGCCCTTAAGACTCTTATCTCCAACAAACCACCAGAAAACTGGAAGTGGTGCTGTGGCTCAACTGGTAGAGCGCTCACCTTGAGCTGAAGAGCTTGAGGGACAGCGCCCAGAGTTCAAGCCCCACAACCAACCAAAAAAAAAAAAAGAAAAAGAAAAAGAAATAGTTCAGGTGTTGGGACTCATGAAGTTTGGAGTTTTAACAGGAGGGGATGAGCTATACTCTGTGTTGAATGAGCAGGTACAGAAGAAGCCACGCTAGCTGTACACACTTGGTTCTAAGGCTGGCACAGTTGAACCACTTGCCCATTAGAGCTCATGTCAGTCATGGAAGGCTTGGTGTGTGGTCTTTGTGTGGTTTGTGTGTGTGTGTGTGTGTGTGTGGTGTGTGTATGTATGTGTGCACATGCCAGTGTGTACACGCATGCTGGCCCCAGGGCTTGAACTCAGGGTTTGGGTGCTTGTTGTCTGTAAACTGTAGCTGCTTCTTTTTTTCCCCCTTTACCTGAGCTTCTTTTAGTGCTCCACCTCTCGAGCCACAGCGCCACTTCCAGCTTTTTCTGAGTAGGTTGTTGGAGATAGGAGAGTCTCACAGCCTTTCCTGCCCAGCCTCCCAGCCTCAGATCTCAGTCTCCTAAGTAGCTAGGATTATAGGCATGAGCCACCAGTGCCTGGCTTGCTGTCTGTTTTAAAAAAAATCACTTCAGGGGCTGGGAAGGTGGCTTAGTGGTAGAGTCCTTACCTTGCATGCAAGAGGCTCTGGGTTTGATTCCTCAGCAACCACATAAGCAAAAAAAAAAAAAAGCCAGAAGTGGTGCTGTGGCTCAAGTGGTAGAGCACTAGTCTTGAGCTGAAGAGCTGAGGGGCAGCGCCCAGGCCCAGAGCTCAGACCAACCGAAAAATAAATAAGTAAAACCCACTTCAGTCAACTGTGTTGTTGGTTTTGAGGCAGATTATAAAGTCACATATTTGCAATTGATCGCTGTTTGTAGATTTTGAACAGTATATACCCTTCAGTTAATTGTAGTTAACATTAAATCTATAAAGCAAGAACAAGGGAATAATGCTGTCTTTTTTCCACTCCTTTTGGGATCTGGGACTCACTGTGTGCTGTGCTTGCTGTATGTTTTTCACTGCCTAGAAGCGGATGGTAAGAGTCTTTACTGACCCCACACCCTACGCTGCCCAAGCCATTGCTGAATATCCTGACTCCTGAGAGGGTCTTTGTTCCATTTACTAACAAAAACTAAAATGTTCTTGAGTTAGATCCTTCCAGCGAGGAAAGAAAAACAAACTCTTGGTGACCTTGAAACAAATATGTAGCTTTGTAGCTTTTAAGGATAGTTAATATCAGGAGCAAGTGTTAAAAGAAGTAGGAGTGTAAATTCTTCAAAATAGAACAGAGGGAAGGATCAAGATGGTAGGATTCGGTTTGAATTACATTTTTAAAAGATAATCTAGGTGTTTGTTTTGTTTTGTTTTTTGGTCAGTTGTGGGGCTTGACTCCAGTCCTGGGTGCTATTCTTATGCTCATCAGCTCAAGGCAAGTGCTCTGCCACTTGAGCCACAGCGCTACTTCTGGTTTTCTGGTAGTTCATTGGAGATAAGAGTTTCAGGGACTTTCTTGCTCGGAGTGGCTTCGAACTATGATCCTCAGATCTCAGCCTCCTGAGTAGCTAGGATGACAGGTGTGAGCCACTCTTGCCTGGCAGATATCCTAGTTTTTAGATTCGTTGTTCAAGTGTGGCGAGAAGTTTGGTTTCTAATAGACTTGGTTACAGCTTGGCAGGAAATGCAGATTGATTCCCCTTTGAAAAATGGGCATTCAAGAAGAGTTTTGAATGACCCAAAGACAAACGCTGCACTAAACAGCTAACAAATTATATCAAATGCTGTTGAAGTCTTAAAGATGTAGCAGACTAGCAGGGGAACACCTGGACTCCGCCTGGGTTTATCTAAGAAAGGGCACTCCAGCTGTCAGCCTGGTACTGGTTCTTAATTAGGGGTACACTTCAAATTCCCCGACAGCCTCTCCACAATCCACTTGCACAAGCTTGATTTAGCAAGACCGACTCTGGTCCTGCACCGTTGTTGCGGGGTTAGGCAGTGTCCGTTTGGAAAAAGTTCTCCGGTGATTGTGATGGTCACACCTGAATAAGCCTGTGATGGAATCAAACCAGGTCACGTAAGCAGAAACTGCAGTTCAGAGACCTTGCCATTTAATAGATGTTCAGTAAATGGTCATTGTTTCTGTTGCCATTCTGTATGGGGATGTATCCTACGCCTTTGGGTCATGGAAGGATTTAGGGAGATGGAGAGGCTGGGGGAGAGGGCACAGTAACTGAACGCGAATGCTGCACACTCCAGATTCTGAGAAGCAGAAATGAACTGGAACCAAAACCAGAGGACTGGACAAGGAGGAAGAGATGTGTTTGAGATTTTGGACGCTGGTAACAGAGAGAGGAGTAGAGAAGCTGCTAAGCCCCCGTGGTGGTTGGAGTGGAGTTGTAGAATTCTAGGATTTTTAAAGTTTAAGTGGTACTGATAGAGAATGAGTGTTTCAGGTTTATAAATGATAGATTATAGGAATGTAGAAATACTACAAGTTGGAGGAATCCTTGTGCCTGGGGAAGGGAGCTCTGGTGGAGACCGGCGAAGTTTTCAGGCAGGCAGCCCAGGTTGGAGACCGGGACTGGTCATCGGTCATTCCCTGTAGAGGAGAGCTCCGTGGTTGGTGTCTGTGTAACAACCAAGCAACCAAACCAAAGCAACCAAACTTTCAATGGAGTTATTTTGTTTATGTCAGGCACTTTCCCAAGAGAGCTTATATACCCATACACTCAAAACAAAAACAAAAGCTTAAATTCTAACAGCTCTATGAAGGTAAGTGATTTGCCTGAAGTTGATAATCACGCTGATGGACTTGGGGTTTGGTGGAGGCAGCCTGGCTCCAGGACAGACACCATTAACCAGCCCCGTGTGGATTGGTGCGGGCACAGCCGCACTGTGGCCCTGCGTGAGAGGAAGAGGGACGGCAGCCCAACACCACAGGCCAGCACCAGAGCGCAGCCACTCCCTGTGGAAGTTCTGCTTCTAAGCTCTAAAAGCACTCTGGCCCAATTAGATGAGCCAAAACCAAACCCAACCAAAAGACAGGATTTCTAGCTCCATTTGAAGCACCGTTTAGAGGACCAGGTACTTGGCGAGCAGAGCACGTGCCTAAAGCTGCTTCCCGGCACCACCCGGTTCCACCCCAGGTTCCATTTTGGGTGGGTCTGCTGAGCCTTTGCTTCATGAGCTAGCCTTCAGATTTTAAGATGTAGAAAGTGGCCATTTAAGCTTTAGCGTTTGTGGCCGTAGCCCTATGTGACAAAGGGTGTGCTGAAGTAGCTCTGATCATTAAACACGAAGCAGAGACCAGGGCAGTGGCGTCCCTTCCCTTCCCATGCCCTTCCTGTCCCTCATCACACGTGATGTCCGCACAGCCTTCCAGGAAGAATAAATAAGCCTTCTACGAGCTTTAAGAGGCGATGTGGTCTGTGGCTGGCCAGCAAGCCATGGCGACTGGTATTTGTGATGTTAAAGCGTAGCCCCTGCCTGCCCGACCGCCCCGCATCGCTTTTGATGTGGAAACTGTTTCTCAGTTCTTCTGGCTCAGCCAAGCTCGATGTTCTTAAGAAACAAAAGCATCGAGAACAGTTTAACCAACCCACTTAACTCCAGTGCCTAGAGGAAAGCAGTTCCATGATTTCTGGTGGTTTTCTTGACTTTGGGAAGTTGTCTTAAGGATGGAGGGAAGGATGGATGGTTTCCGGAGTGTGCTCTTTGGTTGGTCACAGGAAAGGTGGGTCTGTCATGTGAGCCTGCGTTAGTTGGTGGCGTGTGGAGAGAGAACGCGTCCTTTTATGTTAGCGCTGTGAATCTTAACTCAGTGCATTTGCTTTGGTTGATTAGGAGAGAAAGAAAGGGTCCCTTGGGCTCCCGGAATAGTGATGGCTGAGAATTCCGTGAAACAGGTTGTCTGTCTGCTTGCTGATGTCAGTGTCCACAACCAGAATGCCTTTGTGGGGTGAGCCGCCCCCCTCGTTTGAGAAGTGCTTCGAGGGCCGCGGGGTGGTGGAGGCGCCTGCCAGAGCCCCCACTGACAGGTCTGGCCGGCTGCAGTGTGGGCTCTCCCGGGCGCAGTGTTGGCAGGAGTCCACGTAGCTCCCTCGGTTAGGTCTCTGTCCGTCCTAATGGCTCCCGTGCTTTCTTCTCAGGAAGAGGAGGAGCAGGAGGAAGAGGACGATGATGAAGATGATGATGACACTGATGACCTAGATGAACTCGACACCGACCAGCTGCTGGAGGCAGAGCTGGAGGAGGACGACAACAATGAGAACCCCGGGGAGGACGGGGACAACGACTTCTCCCCCTCGGACGAGGAGCTGGCCAACCTGCTGGAGGAGGGCGAGGACGGGGAGGACGAGGACTCCGATGCCGATGAGGAGGTGGAGCTCATCCTGGGCGACAGTGAGTATAGGGCCCACTTGGGGCCGAGCCTTGGTACCCAGGGCAAAGCCCTCTCTCGGGGGCGCACCCGGCCCAGGGGGCCGCTGTCCCTGGGTTCCGGGCTCTGCTGATCCACCACCACTGGGGTTTCCTCAGAAAAAAACTAATGACGTCACTGGTCCCTTGTTCTCTCTCACCAGCCTGTGTACCCACACCAGAGCTCTGCTGCTTTAATGCGCAAGCAGTCATAGACAAACACGTAAATGAATGCTTATGGCTGTGTTCTAATAAAACTTATTTACAAAACCAAGTGGTAGGCTTGGAGTTTGTCAACCCTTTCCTTAGACTGAGTGAGAGGCCCCGCAGCATAGCCCTCCTCTGTGGGTTTGTCAGGAGCAGCACGTCCTAGCGTGCTGCTCCATCCATCTATCCATCTACCTATTTATTTATTTTTGTGCCAGTACTAGGGCTTGAACTCAGGGCCTAGGTGCTGACCTTTAGGGTCTTCACTGAAGGTTAGCCCTTTACCACTTGAGCCATAACTCCACTGCTAGCTTTTTGTGGGTTCATTGGAGATAAGAGTCTCATGGACTTTCCTGCCTGGGCTGGCTTTGAAACGCAGTCCTCAGTTCTCAGCCTCCTGAGTAGCTAGGATGACAGGTGTGAACCGCTGGCACCCAGCTCTTTTATTGTGTAATGTTTCTTAAGATTGTGTCCTGTGTTCCATCCGTTCTGTCTCCCACTCCATCGCCTGCTAATGGGTGGTCTGGGGTCGGGAGCGCTTACCCCAGCTGGGTCTATAGCAGTTCTGTGTAGATGTGCAGTGCTGGGACCACTTATTCTTCCAAATATCGGAACACATGGTTCCTAACTTGTGTACGGTAGAATTAAGTTTTGATCATGAGACATACTTTCGGTGCTGCCATCAGATATTCTTCTGGAAGGAATAGTTCAGGTTTTAAAAAGTCCCTCTCTGAAAGGGGGAGTTGTGGAGCTAGCAGCGAGCACATGGCGTTGGCATGTCTTGCCTTCGGCTTGTGGATCAGCTCCTGCGGGGTGGGGGGAGCCCTCTGCTCCCAGCTGGCCTCTCACCCCCGCGCTCTAGTGCCGATGTCACAGACGTGTGCCGCCAGGCCCCGCTCCAGGCTTTCCACTCTTCATCTGATTCTTGAGCCTCTCCAGTTGTAGTTAGCAAGATGGCCCCCTCCTTTTGCTGTTTGGAAAATTCCTTCTCTCAAAGCAAAGATAATCTGAGAAACTTGTGTCTGCCGCTGGCTGGGGTGTGACTATGATTTAATAGCGGACATTTCAGCCGGGACTCTAGAGTGGAGGTGCAGCTGTGGAGGTGGCATTTGCCTGGGGCTCTGGGAGACACTGCCCCGCCCCAGCAGCTTTCAGCGGGGCAGCCAGACCACAGCAGGAGCAGCAGCTCTTAGCTTTTTTGATGTTCTGGAGTTCTTTGAAGGTATGACAGAAGCCATAGAGAGAATAATAGGAAATGTCACCAGTGGGTCTCCATCTTGCCTTTTTTGTTTGGGGGAGGGGAAGGTTGGTGTTCTTACTGACTGGGACTTGACCTCTTGGGGCCTGGGTATTGTCCTGTTTTTGTTGTTGTTGTTTGTTTTTACCTCTACCATTTGACCCACACCTCCACCTCTGGGCTTTTTTTTTCTTTTTTCTTGGCCATGGAGCTTGAACTCTGGGCCTGGGCGCTGTCCCTCAGCTCCTCAGCTCAAGGCAAGCGCTCTACCACTTGAGCCACAGCGCCACTTCCGGTTTTCTGGTAGTTTAATGGAGATAAGAGTCTCATGGGCTTTCCTGCCTGGGCTGGTTTCAATCCTCAGATCTCAACCTCCTGAGTAGCTAGGATAACAGGTGTGAGCTACCAGCGCCCAGCTTCTTCTGGGCTTCTGTTGGTTAATTGGAGTTTAAGTCTCAGGGATTTTCCTGCCAGGCTGACCTTGAACCACAATCCCCCAAATCTCAACCTCTTTGAGTAGCTAGGATTATAGGCACAAACCACTGGCACTCTCCTGCAAGGATCCCAGATACAGGGGTGCAAAGGAAGAGGGAGAAACACCCTGATTCTGGGGTCTTTGGTTGTCTCTGCTTGCATTCCTTGCCTCCTATCTTGTGTTCCTAACCCCTTCCACACACACACATCCCCCCCCCCCCACACACACACCCCTGACAACAAACGTAGCAAATTTAACACTGCAGGGGTGTTTTTGTTTTTGTTAGTCATGGGCTTGAACTCTGGTCCTGGGCGCTGTCCCTGTGCTCTTCAACTCATAGCGAGCACTCTACCACTTGAGCCATAGTGCCACTTGCGGTTTTCTGGCAGTTAATTGGAGATAAGCGTCTCAGGGATTTTCCTGCCTGGGCTGGCTTTTGAATCGAGATCCTCAGATCTCGGCCTCCTGAGTAGCTAGGATGGCAGGCGTGAGCCACCGGGTGCCCTGCTATGGGGGGTGCTTTATCGTTCATCTGCTTTTGCTTCTCCATCCTTCCAGAACGGGAGGTCCCAAACGGTGTCTGGGATTGGGTCATTTCAGTGACCTCAATGAGGGAAAAAAACGCGAAGGAAAGTGGAGAAAGGAGTCCCATGGCCGCCTAGCAGGTGGGGAGTGTGGGTGTGCAGGCCCAGAACCCGGAGCCAGCTTGAGCGCTGACGCCACCCTCGCTCCCTGCTGCGGCCGCCCCGCCTTATTTGTAGATCCACTCATTGTTCCTTCTCTGGTAGCGCGGCAAGCTCTGTTCTTCTCTGGGAATTTGCTCTCCTCAGAGTCTGATTCAGAAATGACAGAATTGATACGAGCATCATGTTTCTTGCCATGGTGTTGTCTTCTGAGGACTGGGGAAGGGAGTGGCTAAGGTGAAATGCGTGGCTTAGATTCAGCCTGCCTCTTTCAGGGGCTTTGGGGGACAGGCATGGATGCTGCTAGAGGCCTGGGACTGGGGGGCTTCAGCTCAGCCCCACCGCAGCCCGAGTGACTCAGGTAGAGGCTCCAGAGGGTGCTCGCCCGATCCCTTCGAGGCCTCCCAGATAGGAAGCAGAGCTTCTGAGATGTCCGGGTGCTGTGAAAGGTAAGCGAGCAACAGGTCCCAGGGTGACAGTTGTCAGCAACAGGTGCTTTTCTCCAGAGCCAGCTCCAAGGAGTTAATTGGTGTTGTGTGTGTGTCTTTCTTTTTCTGGAAACTGGTAATTAACCGTGCTGAGGCGTGGGTATGTGTGAAAGCAGAGCTTCCCTGTCGCTCTAGTGTGTAAATCGTTCTCTCTTCTCTTACCTTGCAGCTGACAGCTCAGATAACTCTGATTTGGAAGATGACATCATCTTATCTCTGAATGAGTGAGGTGCTGTCCCCACTTGGAAGCGATTCTTGGCAGGCGAGAATGGAGGCAGATGAATTCCGAACACCTTCCCTTCCCTCTGTCCCAGGGCCGTTAAGGAACCGCACGTCCGGCATTCAGAGGACTACGGTTTAGTCTCACCGGAGTCTGAGGTCCTTCTAAAAATAACAACCACAAAAGACAACAGGGATTAGGCCCTATTCTACCCCGCCCCCTTTTCCTGGGATGGACATACCTTCCCTTAAGGGAAAAAAAAAAAAACAAACAAAAACCAAGCAAACATGTCTCTGGGGTTATTTCACAATATATTTTCTTTGTATAATGTTCTTTACTTAAAAGAACAAATAGTTTTTTATAAAACTTAAAAAAAAAAAACAAAAAAAAAACAAAACCCCACAAAAAACCCAAACAAACCCCCAGGCATTTATAACCGAGGGTATGAACTTATATCCACAGTCTCCTGTCCCTACACTTCTAGAAAATGAAGTCTAAAGAACAATCTAGAGGCATTTTTACATACGTATTTAAATGAAAAGGAAAATCGTGGTTTCATAAATTGATGAGGATTAAGAATATTTTATTATAAATATAATATATGATTTTTTTTAAACCTATTTTGTTGCCTCATGCGCTGCCAGGTTCATTTACCTCTGTGCCAGAAGCGGAGGGAAAGGTGCCGCTTGTTTGCCGAGTAAATGCCTAATCTCATTCCCGCCGTGGCTTGGGCAGCGTTGGTCACTGTGGCTCTTGGTTTCGTGGGGTCGAGCGAACTTAGGATGCAAGTTCCCTCCCTCTTACTTTCCTTTGTGACTCAGTTTTCCAACATCTTTCCCCCCACCTCCCTTTCTCCCCAATGTGGAAATTACAAATCAAAGGCCTTTTTTCTTTCATGTAAAGTGTATTTATTTAAAAAAATACAAAATAAACAACAAGTCTGTCTTTGTTTATGGCCTTTCCCTGTTCTCTTTCTTCAGAGTGAGGTGTCCCTTTCCTTGCAGCCCTAGCCATTCACACAGAAGACACTTCCAAAGGAAGCAGAGCAAGGTAGTGGTGGACGCCTGGTTTAGAAGCATTCCCATCCCCCCACCCCGACCCCGACCCCAGGGAGGAAGGACATTGGCTCAGTCCTCCTGAGCCTGGCCTGCAGTTCCGGGGGAAAAGGCCCGCTGGAAGAAGAAACAGAATAGTCTATGGTGCTTGAGGGGGGGGAGGAGCCTTCCAGGCAGCGCCCCTGTGGACACATGTCAACCCCCCAATCCCCCCCCCCCCCCCCCCCAGCACAGATCTGATGGATCTGTGATGCTGCCAGAGCCCAGATCATTCCGGAGCAGGGAAGCTGCTGACCAGCTGGGGGCGCAGGACGGGGGACAGGAGCTCTTTTCCAGTCCTGGTGGTTGGAGTCTCTACCTTTCCACTCACCCTACCTCCTTTCCTTCCCACAATAAATAGAAGATGCTAGTCTCTCTCGCTCTCGCTCTTTTTTTTTTTTGTCCAAATGACAGCTTCTTGGTTTCTGTTGTATAGGTATTACACAGCTAAAGAGGCTTTTCTCCCTTTACTGAGAGAAGAAGGGACACATTGCTTATGACGTAAACAAGCAACACAGGACGCCTAAAACTCTCCGGGGGCAGGTAAAGTCCGTTGGGCCCCAAAGGACGCACACTTCATCATACGCGCGGGGCGGGGAAGGGGCGCTGCGCCGTGCCAGGGCCACGGACGCCAGCGGGCACAGCAGAGGAGAGCAGCCACGGGCCAAGAGCAGCGGGAGCACCGAGCTCCGCGACGGGCAGCTGAGCCCAGGGGCCCCAGGGAGCACCCGCAGGTCGCAGACGCGCTTCTGGTTGACATGACAACACTTCTCTCAGGAAAGAGCCCTGGGAGACGAGCAGCACCTGCCGGCTGGCCTCACTCTCCCTGCGCTCAGACCTGAGCCACTGGGGAGGAGGGGCGCACCCTTCACCAGCTCAGGCGGCGCGCGTGGGCCCGGCTTCCCCCTGGAGCCCCGGGCCGCGGCCAGCCTCTGCCCCCTGTCGCTGCCCTGGCTGAAGGGGCTGGGAAGGCAGGAAGGAGCCACGCCATGGGGGGGCCTCCTTACCCAAACCTGGCTGCGACAGCCGGGGCCTGAGGGCCCCCTTCTTTGAGATGTATGTGAGTAGGCACTGACTGGCGAGGCACCTCCTTTTCTTGGTTCTGCCGGGCAAAGGGCGAGGTGTTTGCTGAGGCGCAGCAACCTCACTCTGAAAGAACACAGGTCGTCCACACGGGCCCCCGTGGCTCTGGTGTGCAGATCTGCAGGGAAAACGACTGCACCGACCACACACGAGACTCGCGCCCGCTGCTGGAGGAGCCGAGCCCCCACCTGCGCTAACACTTGGCCCCGGCGCCTGCTACCCGCGGGCTGTCCCTGTGAGGCCCAGCCAGGGGCCGGCCTGCACACGCGCGAGGCGCCGCCCCCACTCCCAGAGCAAGCTTCACTTTCCCAGGCCCGGAAGACGGCTCTGCCCTGGCTCCAACAAGCACTGCCTCCATTGCCGCCTTGAAGAACCGCATGGACGTGGTGGTGCGTGCGTGTTGGCCTTCCGCTGTGGAGAAGGACGCGCGGCTGCGTTTGTGGTCACAGCTGTGGCTTTCCCGCCTGCTCCCCGATCACCGCCCAGGCCGCCTTCCCGCCCCTCTGCCCGCAGACGCCAGGACCCGGAGCAGCTCGCAATCGCGTCCTCCGACCAGGCTTGGCTGACAGCTCCCACGGTCACTACAGCAGACAGCAGCTCGCGCGCCAGCGGCCGCCGGACCAGGGTCCCTTCCTCCTCCCCGTTGTAAAAAACCAAACAAAGCCCCTGCGCGCCCATCCCGCGCCCCCAGGGTCTGCTCGGGAAGTGTCCGGGGCCGGGGCGCGGGGCAGCCGGGCTAGGCCGCGTCCCGCACGATCACGATCACCATGTGCTCCTCCTCCAGCTTGCCCAGCGTCCGCAGGGCGGCCTGCAGGTACTGCTGCGAGAAGTCGCAGGGCGGGAAGGCGTAGAGCATGCCCGTGCTGTCGCGGCCCTTGGAGCCGCCCACCGGCAGGCTGATGACGCCGGCCGCCTGCTTCTGCTTCAAGTAGGAGACGAGGTTGCGCAGCAGGCGGCGCTGCAGGCCGGGCTCCACGGCGGGCGCGCCGGGCTCGGCGCCGGGCCCCGCGCCGGCCGCCTGCGCCTGCGCCTGCGCCTGCGTGGCCAGCAGCACCGCGTAGCCGTGCGGGCTGCCCTGCCGGATGCGGCGCGTCACCTCGTCCAGCTTGGGCTGGTCCAGCCGCAGGCGCTGCGCGATCTTGAGCTGCGTGAGCTTGCCGCCGGACGCGTGGTCGCGGAGCAGCGCGCCCAGCACGGCGGGGTCGCCCTCCAGCACGTGCATGCAGGTGGGGAAGCAGCTGTTCTTGAGCACCAGCAGCCCGCGCCAGCCCAGCGGCAGCGTCTGCGCGAACTCGCCCAGCGTGGCGGGCCTCCGCGCCTCGCGCCGCGGCTCCTCGGCCGCGCGCGCCTCGGCGGCCTCCGCGGTCCGGTGGTTGCGCTCGGCCTCGCGCGCCTTCTTGCCGTCCGCGGCGGCGCCCGCGCCCGCGTCGCCGTGGTGGTGGTGGTGGTGGTGGTGGTGGCCGCCGCGCTCCTCGGCCGCGTGCCGGCTGTTGCTCAGCGCGGCGCCGCCGCCCGCGCCGTCCTTGGCGGCGTCGCCCGCGTGGTTCTCCTTGCGGCCGCCGCGCTCGGGCGTGCGCTCGGCGCGCTCGGGCGGGCCCCCGCCCTTGGTCCTGCCGCGCTCCTCGTAGGGGGAGTGGGCGGCCCGCGCGCGCTCGCCCGACAGGCTGCGGCGCTTGCGCCGCTCCTCCCAGGGCTTGGGCGGCGCGCGCTCCCCGTCGGCGCCCCAGCGCTCCCCGCTGCGGCTGCGCGCCGAGCGCCCGTAGCCCTCCAGGCTGGTCCTGCGGTCCGAGCCCTTGCCCAGGCCCGGCCAGTCGCCCTCCAGGAAGGTCCGGTCCCGGTCCGAGTAGAGGAGGTGCGGCGGGGTGCGGTCGCGCACGCGCAGGTCGGCGTCGAGGCCGCGGTGGCGCGCGTAGCCGTCGGCCAGCAGCTCGTAGTGCACGGGCAGCGGCGCGGGCGCGTACTGCGGCGGGTAGCGCGTCTCCTCCGCCTTGGCGAAGTCCACGCGCAGCCGGCGGTCGGGCCCGCCGAGCGGGAAGCCCCGCATCTTGGCGCAGGCCGCCTGGGCCGCGTCCAGGCTCTCGTACTGGATGTAGGCGAAGCTGTCGCCCTTGACGTGGTCGATGGTGCGGATGCTGCCGAAGCGGTCGAACTCGCGGGCCAGCGCGGCCAGGGAGGTGTTGGGCCCCAGGCCGCCCACCCAGAGGCGGGTGGTGGGGTTGGCCTTGCCGTAGCCGATCTTGATGGGGTTCCTGCCGATCACCCGGCCGGACATGGCCACCTTGGCCCGGTGCGCCATGTCCAGGTTCTGGAACTTGAGGAAGGCGTAGGCGCCGCCCTGGCCGCGCGCCGGCCTCTTGATCACCACCTCCTCGATGATGCCGTACTTCTCGAAGGCGCGCCGCAGCTCCACCTCCGACACGCTGTGGTCCAGGTTCCCGATGAAGAGGTTGCGCGTGGCGCGCTGGTCGTCCTCGGGCATCAGGTCCTCCTCGCACACGGCCGGGTAGCCGTAGGGGCGGCCGCGCTCGTCGTAGAGCCCGTAGTAGTCGAGGGCGCGCTCGCGGGACAGGCCGGCGGCGGCGGCGGCGGCCGCGGCGTCCAGGGCGAAGGCGGCGGCGGCGGCGGCGGCGGCGGCGGCGTGGCGCGCGCGGGGCTCGCGCAGGGGCGGCGCGGCCACGGGCGACAGCGAGCGCTGCTTGTAGGCGTAGCCGCCGCCGCCGCCGCCGCCGTGCAGCGGCAGGTAGCCCAGCGGGTCGGCGGGCGCGGGCGGCCCGGGGGGCGGCGTGGAGGCGGCGGCGGCGGCGCTGCTGCTGCTGCTGCTCCGCCGGCCCCCGCCGCCGCCGCCGCCCCCGCCGCCGCCGCGCAGGTACACCGGCTCCACCTTGAGCGGCCGGTCGTAGAGCAGCAGCTGGCGGGCCAGCGCGTGCTGCCGCGCCTCGCGCGCGTCCTGCGGGTGCCGGAAGTTCACGTAGGCCACGCGGCCCAGCTCGGGCGTGTGCGACAGGCGCAGGCTGATCTCGCCGAAGCGCTTGAACTGGTGGAAGAGCCGGTCCTCCAGGTGCTCGGCGGGCAGCGCGGGGCTCAGGCTGCTGATGAGCAGCGTCTTGTACTCGGGCGCGCTGGCCGAGCCGGGGCCCGCGGGCTCGGCGCCCGGCGGCGGCGGCGGCGGCGGCGGCGGCGGCGGCAGCGGCGACGCGCGGGGCGACGCGCCCGGGTCCCCCGAGGCCTTGCCGGCCCGGCCCCCGCCGCCGCCGCCGCCCGAGCCCGACGAGCGCCCGCCGCCCGCGCGGTGGTTCGCGTCCCCGGCGCCGCGGCCGTCCCGGTGGCCGCCGCCGCCGCCGCCGCCGCCGCTGCCGCGGGGCTTGTCACGGACCCGGGCCGCCGCCGGGTGCTTGCCGCCGCCGCCGCCGGAGGCCTTGTGCGCCGCCCGCCGCCCGCCCGCCTCCGCCTCCCGCTCGCGCTCCCGCGGCCGCTTTGCGGACGATGACGAGCTGCGCCCGCCCGGGCTCGACTCGCGTTCGCTCTGCCGCTTCATGGCGCCGGCGAGGCGGGCGGGCGGGCGGCCCGCGGGCCCCTCACCGCGGCGGCGCTGACGGCCCAGGAGGCAGCGCCCCCGGCGCCGCCATCTTGGACAAAAGGGCTCGGCGCGGCGGCGGCGGCGGGGCGGGGCGGGGGCGGCGCCGAGGGGCGCGACGGTTGCGTGGTTTGGCTGCGCCGGGGCGTGTGTCACGTGACCGCGGCGGGGCGGGGCAGCAGTCGCCTCCAGGACACCTCATCCGGCTGCGCGGCCCTGCGTCACGTGACCCCCGCGGCGGCGCGCGCCGGGCCGCGGACTCTGGCGCCGCCGCGCGGTCAGCGTGCGGCACTGCGCGCAGCCGCGGGCGCTGGCGGCGAGGAGCGGGCTCTGCCAGTAAGTGCAGCGGTTCCGACTCGACCTCCCACACCCGCCACCGAGCGGCGTCCGAGCACTGCGGCCCCGCCGCTTCCTGCAGGCCCTTTGCATCCAGGGTCACCAGTTCCCGTCCCAGAAGGGCCACACACCTGGTCGGATCCAGCCGCAGCAAATACAGACCGCACACCTGTAGCTTATGAGAGATGGACTCGTTGGTGTCCAGCCAGAGCAGGCACAAAGCAGGGCCCATGGCCAAGGTACCATTTCTTGCCACACTGACTGCTCGCTGGCCTGTCCACCTCCAGAGGCCAGGTGAAGCCTATTGGGTGTTTTTCAATCAGACAAGATGTACCCGGCCCAACTTCAGAGAACTCGTAGGATGGGGAGTGCACCCAACTTTTTCCTCTTCCCACACATAAGCAGTTCTGTAGAGGCGGAAATGGTCTTGGAGGAAGATAGCCGAGCTCCATGGCAGGTCCTAATGGCCATTACAAAGCGAACTTAGGGAACTACACAACTGAAGCGATCGGAGGGGAGGCCAGCTCTTTAGAAAGCAAGATTAACTCTTAATCCCTCTTAGTCTGTGGGCAGGTGCCTCCACTGAGCTGCAGGCCACACTTACCACCAAGTAGAGTAGCTAAAAACCATGGGCTGGGAAGTTGGCTCAGTGGTAGAGCGCTTGCCTTGCTATGCCTGAGGCCCCACATAAGCAAAAAGAAAAAATCCCTCCTCTTAGTCTGTGGGCAGGTGCCTCCACTGAGCTGCAGCCCACGCTGACCACCAAGTAGAGTAGCTAATAAACCTAATAAACCCTGGGCTGGGAAGGTGGCTCAGTGGTAGAGGGCTTGCCTTGCTATGCCTGAGGCCTGGGTTCGATTCCTCAGCACCGCAAAAGGAAAAAAGCCGGAAGTGGCGCTGTGGCTCAGTGGTAGAGCACTAGCCTTGAGCTGAAGAGCGACAGCGTTCAGGCCCCCACGACCGGACACCCCCCCTCCCCCCCCCCCAAAAAAAAATCCAAGTAGGTTCCCGAGGCTTGATAGGAGCCCCAGACCCAGGCAAACGCCGATGAGCAGGTAGGTCCAGGCATCTATAGCAATATTAACACTGAGCACACTCCAGCTGCCTTCTGTCTGGGTGCACTCAGCCCCGGATGGGCTCTCCATATGCTCCAGACAGCCTGTACCAGAACTGGCAACTTCCAGGCCCCTCATCCTGGTGTCAAGCCCAACCCCTCCCCAGGCTGAGATGTCAGGCCTTGGCCTGTGTCCTGGCCCTGGCATTAGCACTGCTGGGCTGATGGGCAAATGAGTATTTCCCCAAACTCTTGCTGTAAAGCCTCCTCAGCTGGCAGGAGCTGTGTGAGCACTCACGGTTAACTCTCCAAGGACAGCTAGAATTTTTTTTTCCCCCTTTAATAAAAAAAAATCCCACACACGTTTTGAAGTCCTAGAGCAACCAGCAACAGAGGAAGTGAACCTCAAGGTGACAGGAACACTCTAGGCTTCACATCTGTATTGTCAGGAGCCCACTTAAAAAATAAATTACAAAAAGGCTTTTTTTTTGGGGGGGGGGGAGCGGGGGGAGCCAGCTGTTTTCCCCCTCAGGTGCAGAGATTGGGTAGACTACAAATCAGTCCGAGCGCTGGCTGCCTTGGGGGCATATTTAGGCATCAGTTCGTTTATCTTCCGGATGTAGTCAGACTTTTCCGCACAGCCTTTGCACATCTCCCCCCAGTCATCCAGAATCTTCTTCAGCTCTTTCACCCGGAGTTTCTTCAGGTCCACGGTGCTCAGGTCAATCTGCTTGTCTGCAGGGAGAGTGGGAAATGAAGAGTGGTGGCAGCTTCCCGTAGAGCTAAGATGTCACTCCTAAGGGCCAAACCCTTCCTTAAAATCACCAACTCTACTGGCTGTTGGGGTCACTGCCCTTTACTGACAGTGCCCACCGCAGGGCGTGCAGTACAGAGCCACCCCGTGGCGCCCCCGCCCCCCGCCATTCTTCACAGAGTAACGTGGAGTCAGTTAACCTGTGCCAGGAACACTCTTAGAAGAATACCAAGAATCCTTGACACAAGTGGGAAAACACAGGGCCCTGGACATTTCAGTCACCACAAAAACAATGACCTTAGACTGTGCCTATGTTTGTTCAGCCAGAGATGGGCTCAGTCACCCAGCTGTGGTAGCCTGGTCCCTCTTGGGCTAAACATGTTTGGGTCTTTGGAGGTACAGCACTGACAAGCTTGAAAAACTCAAGTCTGATTATACTGCTTCTCTCAAAACTTTTATACTGCTCAAAAACTTTTAATGCAGCCTGGCGCCGATGGCTCACGCTTGTCATCCTAGTTACTCAAGAGGTTGAGATCTGAGGATCGTGGTTCAAAGCCAGCCCTGGCAGGAAAGGCCATGAGACTCTTATCTCTAATAAACCACTGGAAACCGGAAGTGGCGCTGTGGCTCAAGTGGTAGAGGGCTCTCCTTGAGCGGAAGAGCTGAGGGACAGCGCCCAGGCCCAGAGTTCAAGCCTCATGACAGACAAAAACAAAAAACAAAACTTCAAAAGCTCCTCAGCTTCATTCAGATCAAATCTAAAGTTCTCATCAACTTATAAGGACCTCTGTGGCCTGACCACATTCCTGTCAGCTGCAGGTGCTTCCCAGCCGCCTGCAGTGCGCTGGCACATACCTTCCCAGTGGCGCTGCAACACCAAGTTCCCTGGCATCCCCTCACTCTGAGTACCACCTATCGCACCCCACAACACACTCACAATGGCCATTACCACCTTCTTCCACCTAGAGAGCAAGCTCCGACCAGACATGTTTGTTGACCTCAGACTCACCATACTTCAGCTCGCAGATCTGGCTGTCCTTCTTCTTCAGCTTCTCACAGATCTTCTCCACAGGGATGTGGGCGGCCAGGGGCTTTGACACCTCGTTGATGATCTTGGTGGCTGCATCATCTGTGGCCCCAATGTAGTAGCACTGCAGCAAGAACGGACAATAGCTTTTTCTAAGTCATCTTAGCTGGGCACCAGTGACTCGTGCTTATAATCCTCGTTACTCAGGAGGCTGAGAACTGAGGATCATGGTTCAGTGCTGGTCTGACCAGGCTCTCATCTCCAATTAGCCACCAATAAATAAGTAAATAAATAAATAAATCAGAATTGGAGCTGTGGCCTAAGTGGCAGAGTGCTAGTTTTGAGCAAAAAAGCTCAGGGACAGCCAGGTGCCGGTGGCTCACGTCGGTAATCCTAGCTACCCCAGGAGGCTGAGATCTGAGGATCACGGTTCAAAGCCAGCCAGGGCAGGAAACTCCTTGAGACTCTTATCTCCAATAAACCGCTAGAAAACCGGAGGTGGTGCTGTGGCTCAAGCAGTAGAGCGCAGGGACAGCGAGCACCCAAGCCCAGAGTTCAAGCCCCACAACTGACAAAAAAATAAGCTCAGGGACAGTGCCCAGACCCTGAGTTCAAACTCCAGGACTGGCACATGCATGCAAGGCATCTCAGACAGGTGCCTGCAGCTCACCTGTAATCCGAATTACTAACAATGCTGAGATCTAACGACTGAAGTCAGTTGGGGCAGAAAAAATTCAAGACAAATCAACCAGCACAAAGCTGGAAGTAGAGGCATGTCTCAAATGGTATAGAGTGCCTACCAGTGAAAAAGCTGAGCTAGCCCGGCACTGGTGGCTCACGCCTGTCATCCTAGCTACTCAGGAGGCTGAGATCTGAAGATCTCAGTTCAAAGCCAGCCCGGGGAAGGAAAAGTCTGAGAGACTCTTATCTCCAATAAGCCACTCAGAAAACCATTTAGTGGTGCAGTGGCTTAAGTGGTACAGCACTAGCCTTGAGCTGAAGAGTTGAGGGACAGCGCCCAGGCCCAGAGTTCACACAGAAAAAAAAAAGGCTGAGCTAGAGGCTCAGAGTTTAAGCCTCCTTCCCTCCCCTGCAAAAAATCAAAACATTTATCTCTCTCTTTTTGAGCCTTGGCACAGACTGGCAGTCAGATCCAGTCAGTGTAAATCTGAGGTCCTCACACATCAAGCTCTCTGGTACCGGGCAGTCACGCTCCCTTGTCTCTTCTGCCCAGGTGGTTATGTGAGGATTCCCTTACTCCCACTTCAATGACCTTTCTTTAACTGACCCTTTCTGACCATGGTCTACCCACTGACCGATCTAGGGCTCTCTTCTTCCCAGGGCTAGATGTCTGTCTGCCTGTCATTTTTCTCCTCTGATCTTCCGAGCACTCAACTCACAATAGGCGTGTAATAACTACCAAACAGAACCATCACCATGCAGAGTACCTGATGCACGGCCTCAGAACCAGACCTACGGCCCCATCAGCAGACAGGTGCCAGGGGTCAGCTGGGGTCAGTAGCTACTCACCAACCGATTCTCTTTGCCTCTTGCTTCCCGGCAAAACTTTGTAAGTTCTTTTTCAATAGTAGCTGGTGAGAATGTGACATCTCTGTCTTTGAGGTCCTGGTAAAATCTTCCCAGATATGAAATACAGACTGGAAAAACAAAGAGAGAAAAGGAATTGGAGAAGCTCAGCAGTAACCAGATAGGGACTCTCGACCCTTAGAGCCGTAGCCACTTGGGCTACAGAATTAGTGGCTTTTCCAATCACCACAGGTGCCCACGGATGTCCAAATTCGGCTCCGGGATCCCTCATCAGGGGATGTATGTGTCTGTGTATGGGGGGGAGGGGGGGGGGAAGGAGGGGGGGAAATCACCCCATGAGCCACCCCCAACATCCTGTTCCACTTGGGCTTAAAAAGCCCAAACGAGACCGTGTCCTTGAGCCAGGGACTCACAGTGACCTCGCCAACGGACCCGAGTCTGAGAACGCTCACAATGCTGCTCACCTGCGCTTACAAACTGCGACGCCCCCCCCCCCGCCCCGCCTCCAAGGCCGTCTGGGCCCGGGGGGACCCGGGGACCCGGGATGAGGTGCGTGTCAGGCCAAGCTGCCTCTCAGCACGACCCCCCCCCCCGCCCCCCGCCGTCGAAGCAATGTTATTCTAGGCCCTTCCGCCGGCGGCCCCCTGGGCCCCCTCGGGCCCGGCCCCAGCCGCCCCGCCCGGTCTGGGCCGGGCCCGAGGCTGGTTTCGTGGGGTGAAGGCCGCCGTCGGGCCGGCCTCCGGGAGCGGACCCGCGCCCGCGCCCGCGCCCCCACCCTCCCGCACCTTCGCAGTCGCCGGGCCTCAGCGACCGGCCGCCCGGCAGCACGCTCAGAGCCAGCGCTACCGCCAGCCCGCGCGTAGCCCACATCCTCCTCCTCCGCCGCCGCCGCCGCCAAACACCGACTGAACCGCACCCGCCGCGCCGCGCCGCGCCGCGTCCGGGACCCAGGCTGCACGCCAGGGCTCCCCATTGGTGGAGGGCCTCTGAGCCCTCCCACATGCCGCCGCCTCATTGGTCTATATGCCCCGGAGTGCAGACCTACCGCTCCACGCTGCCCTTCCCCATTGGCTGGCGGCGTGTCGGCCCTCGACAGTTGTCGGCCGCTGATTGAACCGGGCCGGCAGGCCGGAAGCGGCGGAACCGCCATCTTGGATAGGGGCAGGTGTCGGCTGCTCGGGCTCAGGTGGTGGCCGTCCTTCCGGCACGTGCCGAGTCGTCCAGCGTCCCGTCCCCTCCCCAGCCTGGGGCCCGGACACCCTCCCGTGAGGTATTAAGGACCTCTCCACCGTGACCCCCGGCTTCCGGCGCAGTCGCCGGGCACGGGGAGTAGCGGCTGGTCGGCAGAGCTCGTGGGGATTCTTTTGCCTCCTTGTTTTGAAAAGCCACGTGGCGAGGGGGCCAATCCCTGGCCGCCAGCAGTCACGTGGTCAGGGGTCGAGCGCGGGGCTGTGGGCCGGCGGAACCCCCCGCGCATGCGCGCCCGCCAGCTCGGGAAGGGCGTCGAGCCCCCGGCCGTCCCCGGCGCCCCCGGCCGTCCCCGGCGCCCGCCCCCGGCCGTCCCCGGCGCCCCCGGCCGTCCCCGCCTCCCCGGCCGTCCCCGGCCGTCCCCGGCGCCCGCCCCCGGCCGTCCCCGGCGCCCGCCCTCCGCCCCCCCCCCCCCCCGCCCCCCGAGCGGAGCGGGTCCCGTCCCCGGGCCGGAGCCGGAGAGGGAAAGGCACTGCGCCGCCCCACTCACGAATCAGTGTTCGGGTATCAGGTATGTATCTTTAATTCACATCACAGCAGTCCAGGGAGCGGGGAGCAGAGTCCGGGGGCATATTTACATCTGAAAGTCACATCACTGGCTGGATTTCGAACATGCTACCACAATATATACAGCAGAGAATCTCTCGGGACATTGGTACAAAGGGTTTTTGTTTAACTTTTCTGGCACAGGTAAATTAAACCACTTTTTCTTCAGACATGAATACACAAAGGAAGTGGTTAGTCTTCTTGTTTTAAATAAGCACAGAATGCCAGAGGTTAAAAACACATTTATAGGGCTGATTACCAATTGGACATCACACTCTATACATTTTTTGCTCAAATTCCTGTACAAATACACAGCATTCAAATAGGTATTTACAAATAAGCTTGAAAGAATGAAAATCAGTATTTCACAATCTTTTCAAAGGATTCTTATCTCCGGCCTCCTATTTCCCCTCCAACTGGCTGATTCTTCAACAAAAGGGTATCAGAATGTGTCCATTTCATCCAGTTAGGGAAAATGGGGAGGAAAAAACACAAGTTTGTTTCACCTTGGAAAAACAAGGCCAAGGAATCTACACTCCTCTCTTACTCTTGGGCCACCAACGCAGAGCAAGGTAGGTGTCTTCCATGTAACTGCCTGATCTGGGGACGTGAGAGTCAGAAGTGCCTGAAAAAAAATCTAAAGATGTCCTATCTAAGAATCAAATGCAAAGCTAACCCCTGACCCTCTGACCTATGTGAACCCCAGATGGTCCCTAGACACAAGACTGCAAGTGACTCTAGGCTCAGGAACAGGTCTGCCCTTCGAGCTTGGAGCTGCCTTGACTGTCCACTCCTGAGTAGCCCCTGTCCCACGCAGCATGGAGTAATCCTGATTGGATGAGAAAAGCCCCTCGCTGGTCATAACCCCCAGACAGACACCTCCGTCCTTCCCCATAGGTTACTTGCTGGCATTGCTGTAAAAGAAGTCGGCATTTGCTTACAAGAGCAAAACACCTTGATCGATGGCCTTTTCTGTTTGGAAAGGGGTTGTGGGGAAGGGATGAAGGTCCAGGGCCCAGCCATAGAGGCCAAAGGAACTGGCAGCAACACACCTGTGCAATAAGAAGGCAATCATGACCGTCAGTAGTAATGTGAACTCAAGCAAATGAAAGAAGAAATTTGTCTTAAAGACAGCTTTTTTTTTTTTTAAAGTAACTTAGAAGCACCCTGGTAAAATAGTACTATACCCACCCCACCCTGTTCCCCCACAAATAATACACCAAGAGGAAAAATCAGTGCCCTGACCTGAAAGAGTTTCCTATAAAGACAACACTGCACCCTGCCCAACAGACTGGAGAGGCCGGAGAAACTATCGTCCTGCCCGCCCCAAACGAACCCTGAGTGGTGGTCCCCATGGGCCTAGTGCGGGGTGCTGTTACTTGGCTACTTGGAAGATGACAATTCTGTTTGGCTACTTCCAAAGGGAGAAGTTTCCTCCCACCCCTTTTACCCAAGAGTTTACTGCATGTGACCCACACACGTCCTCAGGGCCTGGAAGCCTGGCTGGGCAGCCAACCCCATGGCTCAGAGGTAGTGCTGAAAATCCCTGATTCAGGAGCTCATGGCAGGCATTCTAGCCACCTGGGAAAACTTAGTAGCTTTCTGGCCCCTGCCACACACAAGCCTCACTCTTACACCATCTCTCTCTAGCACATGAGAAGGGGCCTAGCCTCTAGGAGCGAGAGCCCTTCTGGCTCTGCTCCTCCAGAGATCCAAGCCTCGGCGGGTGGGAGACGACCCTGCAGATCCATTCACCGGGGAGGCTTCTGGAGGTGTTCTGATTGGAAGGGAACAACCAGTCAAATACAAATGATGAGACAAGTCCAAGGTGGACCAGGAGACAAGGCTGGCCCATGGAAGCCTGGCAGTGTGCCCTGGGCATGCAGTTAGGCTAGTCACGTGCCTGAGTTGGGTTGGCCTGACCAGCCCCTCAGTTGCACACTCCTGGATGGAAGAGTGGGCAGGCGGACAAGCATTTGTGCAAAAACAGCTTGTGGCCTCTTTGTGTCCACCTGTGACCTGTAGCCCATGTGGTCCTTGCAATCCCTGAATGCAACCATGAACTTTCCTGTCCACACAGCAAAGGAAGAGGTCCCTAGTGCAATTTCCATTCTTCTGTGCATCTCAGCCCTGGAGGGAGAACCTGTGCTCCTGCTCCCGGGCCCTGCAATGCTGTAAAGCAATTCATCTGTGCAATATCTCTGTTTAGCTCCACGGAGTCTGGAACTGCAGGAGGAAGAAAGCATCTACTGCATAAAGGAAAAGAAAGGAAAATTCATAGAAATGGAAAGCGGGGGAAAAAAAAAAAAAGAAAGAAAAAGATACCACAACCCTTCATGCTGCTGTGGCCTCTGAACATGGCAGCACGTGAGTTCACGGCAGTAGAACAGACTCGAGGCGGTTCTCTCCTGAGTGCCAAGCCTCTCCAGCTCCCTGGGAGGGATTTGCTTTTCGGACCTGGAGTGCTGGGTCAGCTGCTCACAGAAGGTGGCAGCTGCCTCCTAGCCCTTCACTGCTCCCCTCGGCCGTGCTCCCAGGCCATGCGGGCCTGCTCCTCCTTGGTGCTCCCAGGAGGCAGTGAGGCCTTGCGATGCAGGCCTCGCGGCCTCTCGGTCTCTTCGCGCAGCAGCATGCCTTCGTCATGCTCCAGGGCTGGCAAGCGGGGGTGATAGGGCTTGGGTGGCAGCGCAGGCGGGTCCATGGGGTCCTGAGGGATGACGCACCCCGGGGCTGAGTGGCTTCTGCATGGTTGGACCTTGATGGAGTCCAGGACAGCCGACTCGGAGAGGCTGTAGTGGACAGGGAGGTAGGGTGGCTCAAGGTCTTCATCGCCATTCCAGGCCTGGCTTGGCATGGAGTCCATGGTGTCGGTTCGAGGTGGGGCCTCGGAGGAGTGCCCAAAGTTACTCTCACTCAAGGATGACACACCACTGCTGGCACTGCCAGACAGTGTAGAGTTGCTGCCATCCAGGCCTGATTGAGGGCTTGTGGGGGAGGCTGGGATGGGATGGAGAGGTGACTGGGAAGGAAAGGGTGGGCACGTTAGAATCCCTCTCTAGACAGGCTGACTGGCCAGCCACGTGGAGGTAAGAGTCTACGTTACAGTGTTTACAATGTAAACTTTCACATTTCTGCAGCAACCCTTGTCCCACCCAAGCAAGCCAAGAAGCCCCAGAATCCTTGTACTCCTTTGCCCTGGCTGGGTGCACCCTGGGGCCAAGTTCTAGGCTGTCTGTGGTTTGAGTTATTGACAGAAGGCTGAGTTATCAGGCTAGTTGGGGAGGGCAGAGAAGACCCTGGAGTCATGGTTCTGTTACTAAATAGTGTCTCCCCCCCCCCCCCGGCCCCCCAGTCCTGGGGCTTGAACTCAGGGTCTGGGCACTGTCCCTGAGCTTCTTTTGCTCAAAGCTAGCACTCTTGAGCCACTTCTGGCTTTTTCTGTGTATGTGGTATTTAGTAATACAATCCAGGGCTTTGTGCATGCTAGGCAAGCACTCTACTACTGAGCCACATTTCCAGCCCTGTTACTAAATTCTTTGACCCAGTCTTCTCATTTGCAGAAAGATTTTTTTTTTGGGGGGGGGGGTTCCAGTCGTGGGGCCTGAACTCTGGGCCTGGGCGCTGTCCCTCAGCTCTTCAGCTCAAGGCTAGTGCTCTACCACTTGAGCCACAGCGTCACTTCCGGCTTTTTTCTTTTTGCTTATGTGGTGCTGAAGAATCGAACCCAGGGCCTCATGCATGCAAGGCAAGCGCTCTATCACTGAGCCACCTTCCCAGCCCCTGCAGAAAGATTTAACACCAAGGCTTAACTTAAACTTAGAAGTTTGACTTTATGAAGCTTATTAGCTCCATAAAGCTTTGGTGCCTGGTGCTTCTCACTTTCACCGCATGCTAGTTTAAAAGGCTGTATGAGCAACCGTGGGATGTTTACCTAGCTACTTTCGAGAGCCTGTGGTATTCAGCTCCCAAGTTCCTTAGAGCTCTGTGTCCACGTACTCTTGGTACTGTCTTTTGTTTCCAAGCTCCTCTGATCTCCCTGTCCTCATCAGTTTTGTTGCAAAGTTTATCGGTTACCTGAGGCTCAAGTGTGGCTCTAGCACCACCAGCTTCTGCCAGCTGGATTCTGAGGGACAAGTGAGCAGGGAAGGGCTCAGGTTCCTCTTGTTGACCCCAGGGTGACTGTACAGCAGATAAAGCCATGGAAGGGCTCTTCAGTACGTTACCTTGCGCAGGGTTCTGGCAGGGAGGGCTGGGGGGTTATCACCCAGAGGATGGTGGAAGGCATCAAAGTGTAGGGAATAATGACCTGCAAAGGGAACAGAACCAGAGTTTCAGCTGGGAACCCTGCTAAGCTGTACACCAGCACCATTTTGCTGAGCCAACTGGGCAGGTGTGGGAGGAGTCCCTTGTGGATCTCTCTGCGTTGAAAAAGAACTTTTCACATTGATGTTCTTGAAAACACAGGCTGCTGGTGCAAAGAGCTTTCACTGCACACAGGAGGCCATGAAAAATAAGTGCTTCAAACCTATGGGACAATGGATTGCATGTAGCAGCAGCCTAATTGGCTGGTCGATGACAGCTGATGAGTGGCGTACTTGACAGAGTTGAATTCTGCAGTCTTCAGCCTCCCTGGCTGGTGCGACCTTACTGAGCTAACCTGCTGGACTCAGAAACTTACTGACCCCAAAGCCTTGCAAGATCTTTCCTGATGTGTTCTCCTTGCCTGTGCTGGCCCAGAGACTGCCTTATCTTCTCATCTTACGTGGCCGTTGATCTGGCTCTTGAGCAGTGTCTGAGACCAAGGACTATTTTAGGGACCCACTGGAGGTCTCCTTACCATGCAGCAGGCTTCGGGGAGGCACTGGGGGAGCCAGGATGTGCCCCATGTGGGCAGACAGGAAGGGCTGGGCCTCGTGGGCTCCGCTATCCAGACTCCAGCTGCTGGGGGCTGCTGGCACCGCTGAAGGGCGGAAAGAGATGGCATGAATGGAGGTTACTTCTTGAGCCACTCTCCAAGAGAAGCCTGTCCTATGATCTGTGGCTTCTCCAAGTGTGCACTGTATGTCCAGTACACATGGGAGTGGCGTGCCAGCTCTGGGAACTAAAGGCTGGCCAAACAAGGCACAACAGCCCACAGGAATGGGGCAAGGAATGGAAGCTGGCCCAGAGGATGGCAACAGAGTAAGATGATGTCTGAAGAGTGCTCAGGATGTGGCAAGCTGACAGTAAATGCAAGAAGCGAACATCTGCAGTCTCAGATCTGGCAGGAGAAGAGAAGGCAGAGGACAGAAGACCACAGAAGAGGCTGAAGAGACTGAGAATACATAAGGCAGGTCACAGCTCCTTACCAATCAAAGGTCAGGGCTCTTCTACCCAGGCCCCAGGGGGAAAGCAGGGAGCAAGCCAGGTGATAAGACTATCCTTCCAGGGCTTCCAGAGCACAGCCAGGGAATACACATGACTTGTCTCTTAAACTGGCCCCACAGGGGACCTGTGGTGACACTGAAATTGACCTATCCCTGTTGCTCTTATGCCCACTGGTTGGGTTTGGGGATGACACAGTTTGTCTAGGCAAGGAGAGGTATGCGATGCAACTGTTTCAGAAAAGTAGCGAACCCAGCCTGTTGGATCCATTGCTTCCTGAGAGGTAAGAGAGGCTGTGGAGCTTTGTGGATGCTTTGGGACATCTAGAGAGGTTCCCACTGGCCACAGATACAAAATAGAGTGGGCTCCAGATGAAGGAAGAAGCCCAGTGCCACCCTCAGCAACAGATGTAGGGGACAGAGGGAGAAGAACAATGGTTAGAACTTAGGGGATCCACTCTGCAGGTATAGGAAAGGTTAATTCCTCCTGGAGAACTAACGTCAGCAAGAAGAAACATGCCCTTTCTCTGGAGCCTTATGGGCTATGAGCAGCAGGGGAGGGCAGCAGGAGCTAAAGGGAAACTAGAGGCACCAGAGGCTTAGGTTTTCCTGGATCAGTCACTAAGTTGGGGATTCCAAGGCCTGCTGGAGATAAGAGTCTGGACTTTGAGGAGAATGGCTAAAGGGGATGGGCCCATAGTGATCCAGGAATAAGGAGCTGATAGGTCCTTTTCCTTCTTTCTCAGGGACAGCAGTGTAAGAGAGAATGTTACTATCCAAACAGCCTGAGTTCCAAGGCTGGTTCAGCCAGGTGCTGTCTAACATGAGGAAGGAGAGCTGTGGCAGCCCAGCTGTTTCTCACGCAGGGAGGAAAGAATCCCAAGTCTGATGAGCATCAAGCAAGTTTCTGCACATGGCATCACTGGCTTGAGCCACCCCAAGAGCAGAACTATTCCTGCTCATGCTCCTTCCAAGACATGGCAGGAGCTACATGTTCTTAAGTAGTGAGGCAATCTTTCCTCCAAAAGAACTGCATCATACCCATTAGGAAAAAAAAAAAAAAGTCATGGATCTGAGGGATCTGATGGATCAGGATCTCTAATGTATTACAGCCCCTGGAAGAACTGTAGGGCTGCAAAAGTTGATCCACAAAAAGCCCCATGGAATGTAATCACAAGGAAGAATGTGGAGGAAGGACGCTGGCAAGGCTGTAATGGTGTACAAAAGGGTGTCCACCTGGGCTGCTCCATGTGAACCAGAAGCCATCAAGTGGGGCCTTAGCCTGCTGTTTGCGAGCAGTGAGGCCTGTGGACCGTTACCATGTACAAGGGCTAAGACAGGATGACTTATCCTAGTTGAATAGCGATTCCCCTGTATCCTCTAGCATTATCTGGCCAGCACTGGCCTAAGGCCCCCAGTGCACAACAAGCAGAGACAGGATTTCCTGGTGGAAAAGACATTAACCAAAAGGTCTATGCAAGTGAGAGGTAGGGTCCTTATGGAACCCACGATGTTAACTTACAAGAGAATAGCCACCATATGCACAAGAAGGTACAGTTTCTGGAATTTTCAGTTAGGAATCTAGGGCAGATGTGTTGCTACCAGGCAAATACCTAATTTGTTGTGTTGTGGACATGGTTGCTCTTGGTGTATCCTGGGTTCTGGGACACTCTGCCTTTCCTCCAATACCCAGGGTAGGCTTATCTAGCTTCTTGCTACAGTGTGCCTGAGGCTGAGGCTTTTCTCTGTCCAGTTGGCATAGCATCCTGGTCTGGCCACTAACACTCATTTGAGATCTGAGACTATGTGAGCTCTTGGCTAGTTCTTAACTGCTCTGTACTTCAGACTGAAGAAAACCCACTGTGAATTCTGGTCCTCAAAGCCAAAAAATGTACTGTTTTGGCTCATAGGTGCAGGAGCCCAAGGAGTGGCTTGTTTTCATAATGCGGAGCCTTGAGTCTGGGAAGGCATCTTCAGCAACCCCTTTTGGCTCATCGTCTGGCATCAATATGCCCACCAGGCACTGAGGGTGTGAAACCAAGTGTTTCGTCTCCTTAAGTAAGACACAGAGGTCCTTGTCCTCCAGGATCATCAAGTGAGGACCAGGAACAGTGAGGTCAGCAGGTATGACGTCAGGATGGAAACCTGGAGGGACAAGTTCTGACAGGACAGGGGACAGCCCCCTGGAGTATGCTATAAACTCCAACAGGTGGAAAAGAATCCAGGGGACAAAGTTTCTGGGTGGCAGAAAGCTCACCACTGTTCCCATTTCGGTACTGTTCTGTGTTAAATTCCATCTCAAGCGTCTAGGGCTTGCTTTAGGCCAGTTATAAGGGTCATACAGGCACACAGGAGCAGAGCATGGGGTAAAATGCCATGTGCTCTAAAGAGCTCCAGTTCTGAGGACTCCTCAGTCTTGTGGAATGGGCGAGTGAAGGCCTTGTAATTTAGTATACTCATGGCAGCTGTTCTCCAGAGTGGCTATAGAGCAACTGGACTCTTCTGGAGCACTGACCGCTTATGGAGAACCTGAGCTTTGGGAAATTCATTTTGGGTGTGTCCTTTTCATTCCTGTTAGGGCTTTTATGGGCTTGTTCTGAACTCCTAGGAGAGGTTTCCGAGAGACCAAAGGGATCAAAGGGCTTGTTAAATTCTGGGGGCTGGTTAAGAAGAGCCTAGGGGGAGGTTACCACCGCAGCCCGAGTTTGCATGAAGTTGGGTTAAGGGTAGCTGAGGCTTCTCAGAGGAAGGGACTGGGCGAAAGGGATACAGACAAAACAAGATCCAAACCAGATGTGGGTAAAAGGGTGAGCTTAGGAATTGGTTAGCATTAATGAATAGTCTCGTTGGGGTATGGTTCATCCCTTGTCAGCTGGAGGGACAAGACGGACTTTCAGTGTGGTGATCAGCATGTAGGCAGTCCTGGAGAAGGGGAACAATACCTTTCTCAGCCATGGACAGATTGGGGTCACTGCAGGGTTTGCAGGCTCCAACTACTTGCTGGAACAGGGCCCGCTGGAAGTTTGGTGGCTGAGAGAGAGAGGGAAAAAAAAAACACCCATCATTGTGTGAAAATAACCAGCTACATCTTGGGAAGTAGTAGGGTGGATTGCAGGAGTCAGGATCTTCTAAGAACAGATGAGCCCAAAGCAGTGGGGGGCTCATGCTTGAGATGCACTGAGAAGCTGATGCCAGCCCTGGGGAAGACTTGCAGGACATTTGAGGCACCATCCCAAGCTGTCTTGTGTAGGACTCAGGCACCTTGGGCCTTCTACCTGTGCATACATCCACCTGTCTACCAGGGAGATCTCCTTATAGAAAGGACTGGAAGATCCATTTTTCCCAATGAGCACTGATAGATGTCACCTCCTAGAGAGGCTTTGTGAACTCCATGTCAGCACCAAGGGGAGGGGAAGGCAGCCACTAAGCCTGGAATCACATGCTGTTCTAGTGGGAGCTTGGCAAATCTCCCTGGGAGGGCTGATCGGGAACAGAGAGGTGCCACTGAGAAAATCCTGGCACTTGGCGGTGCTTATTTGAAGGTGAGTTTTATGTACTCAGAAGGGCAGGTGCAGCCGGGTGCTAGTGGCTTACGCCTGTCATCCTAGCTACTCAGGAGGCTGAGATCTGAGGATCGAGGTTCAAAGCCAGCCCGGGAAGGAAAGTCCAATAAACCTCCAATAAACCACTCAGAAAACCAGAAGTGGCTCAGTGGCTCAAATGGTAGAACGCTAGCCTTGAGCTGAAGAGCTGAGTTCAAGCCCCACCTGGTTCAGGCCTCTAGGCAGGGTGTTTGGGGAACTGTTGTAAAAACAGTGAGGCTGGACAGTTAAAAGAGACAGACCTGTCCAGTGAGGATGCCCTACACACAGCAAGGACATCCTCCTGACCTACCTTCTTCACAGCCACTTCGGGATGGGTTGCAAAGAACTGATTTCAACTGCCAGATGCAATGAGTAGTCCAGGAAGCTAGCCAGAGGAACAGATTCAAGCAGTACTGGGTCCAACCTTACTGCCATCCTACCTACACCCGTACTCTGTGTGTGTGTGTTTCAGGTACACTGCATGCCCTGTGTGTGTGTGTGGGGGGGGGGGGGGGCCTTGCCTCCATTCAGGAGCTCAGCAGCTTTCTTATGTGTGTGTGTTTGTCAGGTACACTGCATGCCCTGTGTGTGTTGGGGGGGGGGGGCCTTGCCTCCATTCAGGAGCTCAGCAGCTTTCTTATGTGTGTGTGTGTGTGTGTTTCAGGTACACTGCATGCCCTGTGTGTGTGTGTGGGGGGGGGGGCCCTTGTCTCCATTCAGGAGCTCAGCAGCTTTCTTATGTGTGTGTGTTTCAGGTACACTGCATGCCCTGTGTGTGTGTGTGGGGGGGGGGGGGCCCTTGTCTCCATTCAGGAGCTCAGCAGCTTTCTTATGTGTGTGTGTTTCAGGTACACTGCATGCCCTGTGTGTGTGTGTGTGGGGGGGGGGGGGGGACCTTGCCTCCATTCAGGAGCTCAGCAGCTTTCTTGTGTGTGTGTGTGTGTGTGTTTCAGGTACACTGCATGCCCTGGGGGGTGGGGGGGCCCTTGTCTCCATTCAGGATCTCAGCAGCTTTCTTATGTCACAACACAGGAGGCATACAAGACAACACAGAAGGTCCATCAAATGCAAAGAGGGGAACTCAGGCCAACACAATGATAGCAGAGGGCAGTCAGCAGGCAGGGGCTGCTACCTGTCCGTTCTCCAGGATGGCTGCTGGATACATGGCACTGCTTGGGCGGTCCCGGTGTGTAGGCAGCAGCAACATCATTTCCCGAGCATGGCGGTACTTATCTGGCAGAGAGGGAGAGCCTGTAACCAAGTGAGAACAATCACGCACAGATGACAAAGCACAGATGGAGGACTCAGTGGTCAAACGTCCCCGTACAGTTGGGGTGAGCTCAGCAGATCGAGAGGAGTGAAGCAAATCTGGAAGTTAGGTGGTTGTGGGGACTGCACCTGTCACCCAGCCAAGGCATTCCTGCTGGGAAGCCCCCTCCCCCGGCCATACACTGTGTTCAGAGGCAGAAGGTCAGGACAGTTGACAACTGGAGCAGAGAAAGTTAAGGTCTCTGCAGCGAGTGCTTTCAGCTCAGGGTGTGGCCTGGATGCTTGGCTCTGCTAGGAATCCCAGGCACAGGTGTGGGCCGGTTTGTGATGGAATCATCACACAGAGACAGACACTTAAGGAACAGCCACATCGTTTTGACATCACACACTGGGTCTCTACATACTTACCTTCTCCCAAAACCAGTGACACATAGCTCCCTGGACCATCTGCCAGAGATCTCCAGCACCTGGCCTCTGCCTTTCTGCTGCTAATCCTACTGCAGCCCTAGAACGAGGCTGTCTGGGAACCTGTGGCCCTGTGTAGAGTGGCTCTGATATTCCCTTCAGAGAGCTCAGAAGAATGGAACCCTGCTTTAACCCAGGCTCCAGAGGTAAGTTACTTCGTGTTTTATCCTCTGAAGGCCACACTCACTATACCTGTTGTGAGGCGACTGTCATCAGATTCAGATTATAGGACTAGGTAGAGAACTTGCATAGAAGCAGTAAGAATGACTTGGTGGATTTCTTGGGGTGTGGGTAATTTGGATAGTTATCCAAATGTTCACTGCTAGATACCAGCACATCTAATAAGAAGCCAAGAGTGCACCAGTCCATTTGTGGAGAATGCTGGTGCCTCGGCTGGCTCAGGTGGTGAAACCCCCTCTGTAATATGCTCTTAGAACCTAGACAGTTGGGACCAGCCCTTGGGCATAGCTCACCAGCTCCTACAGGCTATGCCTGGAGTCTCTGGGGTCTCTGGGGTCTTCCTGGGGCGGGCAGTGCCAACATGTCAGAACACAGCTAAAAAAAGTTCTGCATGGGCTGGGAAGGTGGCTCAGTGGTAGAGCGCTTGCCTTGCATGCATGAGGCCCTGGGTTCAATTCCTCAGCACCACATAAGCAAAAAGAAAAAAGCCAGAAGTGGCGCTGTGGCTCAAGTGGTAGAGCACTTGCCTTAAGCTGAAGAGCTGAGGGACAGCGCCCAGGCCCAGAGTTCAGGCCCCACGACCGGACCCAAAAAAAAAAAGGTTCTGCAGCCAGCTTGCCTTGGGTTTCCTTGAGAAGTCTCTCTATTCTAGTCCAAGAAGTCAATAGTATCAGTAATGTAACTTTCCCCACAACTTCTTCCATTGTCGAGCTGTAGAATCTGCAGAACCTCAGGACTGGCTTGAAGACTTAAGTCTTTGAAAATAACCTTCATTTGATAAAGGAATTATTAAAGTATAACTGGAAAACTTGGCTTGAATTTTACTGACTTGCAGGTTTGTTTTTTTTTTAACCAAGTGCTTTTAGGCAACCACAAGAAGATGGCTATGTAAAGAAAAAGGGAAAAAAGCTCCGTGTCCTGTTGATCTGTCTAGGGGCTTCTCAGTGAGAAATTCAGAACACCTTGGACAGGGCTTGCTTCCTTTCCATTTAGCAAGCATGAAACAACGCACAACAAACCCCCAACCTCCTCACAGCACCTTTACATCAACTCAGTCACATCAAACTACTACCTCATACCCATCCCACACCAGGCATGTGTTGAAACTTCCTCTCTCAGGCTGTCCGTGTTACTGCAGCTCATGCGCTCAGTTTGGCTCAGGAAGCCAGCCCCACATCTGTGTACTCACTATTCCTGATTCAAGTGAAGGTGGAGGGACATCAGTGTGCAGGTCCAGGCAGGGCTCAGGTGCTTTGCTGAGGATTTGGATTCATGTTACAGTGGCTTTTCTGGTGCTTAGTAAAGGGGTACTGTACTTGTTTTTTTGTTTGTTTTTGGTCAGTCATAGGGCTTGAACTGTGGGCCTGGGCACTGTCCCTGAGCTCTTCAGCTCAAGGCAAGCACTCTACCAACTTGAGCCACAGCGCCACTCCCAGTTTTCTGATGGTTTGTTGGAGATAAGTCTCATGGTCTTTCCTGCCCAGGCTGGCTTTAAGCCGTGATCCTCAGATCTCAGCCTCCTGAGTAGCTAGGCTTACAGAAGTGAGCCACCAGCGCCCAGCTTGGTGCTGTGCTTCTTGTCCAATTCTATTGGCTCAATTCCATTCCACTGCCCTCTATCCTACACAGCTAATTCTATGGTAGGAGAGGAGTGATGATAACTTCCCATGAAGACATTAAAATGTGATGAGGGCTTCTGGCTTTTGAACAATTTCAGTTGTACTCTGATAATGGAGGCTACACCCTACTTAGATTGGGTTCAAAAATCGGTTCTCTGCCTCTAAGCAGCCCTTAACCACCAGAGGGAGCTGCTGACTTACAGTAGTTCAGACTGTCTTGTAAGCTATTCATCTCAGAGGGTTCCAAAGCAACTGGGTAGACAGGGTGGATGGGTATGGCACTGAAGGACGTTGGTCTCATGACCACTCCTGATAGTGAAGAAGTAAATCCAATGAAGACTTTGCTTCAGACCGCCTCCATGAAAGCCATCCCCTCATCAGTAACAAGGGACGTTAACCTCAGAGTAGACGAGACAGTTCCCTTCCTTCTTTACCCAGACTGCATCTGCATTTACTTCTGCTCTGCAACCTTCATTGGAAAACATGTCTTATCCTATGATGTCATATAGCTTGTTTTTCTCTCATATGGATTGTGGGGCTTGAACTCTGGGCCTGGGCACTGTCCCTGAGCTCTTTTGCTCAAGGCTAGCGCGCTACCACTTAAGCCACAGCGCCACTTCCAGTTTTCTGGTGGTTCATTGGAGGTAAGTCTCATGGACTTTCCTGCCCAGGCTGGCTTTGAACCGTGATCCTCAGATCTCAGCCTCCTGAGTAGCAAGGATGACAGGCGTGAGCTACCAGCACCCAACTTCTCATAGGGCTTATTAACACTGTGCCTGACAGATTTCGGACCTGCATGCAATACGGGTTAGATTAATACTGTGGTATAGAGGTCACTACAGTCCTCAGCTCCCTCCTACCCTGGGGTCTATCTAGTAAGCACTTGCTTGAACTATATCTCAGAAATCTTTTTTCTTTTTTGTCGGTTATGGGGCTTGAACTCAGGGCCTGGGTGCTGTCTCTGAGTCTCCTTGTGCTCAAGGCTAGTGCTCCACCACTTGATCCACAGCACCACTTCTGGTTTTTGAGTGGTTAGTTGGAGATGGGTTTCATGAGGACGTTTCAGCACAGGCTGGTTTCAAACTCTGATCCTCAGATCTCAGCCTCCTGAGTAGCTAGGATTACTGGAGTGAGCCACCTGGGTCCAGCTTTTTTTTTTTTTTGGCCAATCCTGGGGCTTGAACTCAGGGCCTGGAACTGTCCCAGAACCTCTCTGCTCAAGGCTAGCACACTACCACTTGAGCCACATAGAACTACTTCCAGCTGTGTATGTATGTGGTACTGAGGAATCAAATCCAGAGTTTCATGCATGCTAGGCAAAGCTCTCTACCACTAAGCCACATTTCCAGCTCTCTCTCTTTTTTTTCTTTCTGTTGGTCATGGGGCTTGAACTGTGGGCCTGGGCACTGTCCCTCAGCTCTTCAGCTCAAGGCAAGTGCTCTACCACTTGAGCCACAGCGCCACTTCCAGCTTTCTGGTGATTCAGTGGAGGTAAGAGTTGCACGGGCTTTCCTGCCTGGGCTGGCTTTGAACCTCAATCCTCAGATCTTAGCCTCCTGAGTAGCTAGGATTGCAGGCATGAGCCACCAGGGCACAGCTTTCATTTTTCTCTTGTTGGGAGTTTTGCTAACTTTGTTCAGGCTGGCCTCAAACTCAAGATCCTTCTGTCTCTTCAGTGAATAGTTGGTATGGCTCCATACTCAGCTGTCTTCCTCTCATTCTGGTTGCATCTACCCTTGCCATCCTTCTTTGTTCGATTTAGTCATTTTGTTTACTTTTGCCAGTTGGGCCCAGTTCTGTGTAGTTGTTTTGTTTACATTTGCACATAATATCTACCCAGAAAGGGAGAAAACTCTTCTCAACCTTCCCTGAGTGTCTCTAAAAAATGTCCATTAATGCTTTTCTTCCCAAAACACCCATGCCACTTCTCACAACATGGGGATAAGCAAAATGAGGTAGACCCTATTCACTTTCCTGAGGGGAGGGGACCTTAGTGATTTGACTGGTCAGTAGAAATATGGCCAGGCAGCTTCTGCCTGGGTTTCTTGGAATGCTTGCTTGCTCTGGGGAAAATCAGTAGCCATGCTGAGAGAAGCCTAGGGTCACTTGGAAAGTCATATGTAGGAGCTCAAGTTGACAGTCCCAGCTCAGCTCCCTGTTGACAGCCATCACTAACGGAAAGTGATATAAGTAAGCCCTCTTGGACATCAAACTCAAATGAGCCCTAGGTGACATCTGATTCAGTGAGCCCTGTTAAGGCATAGCCTGGTGAGAGATGGTAATGAATTATTTTAAGACCCTTGTATTTTGAGTTTGGCCTACTGTGCACAACAAATAACTAAGCCATTTGAAATTAAAAGTTATTTCCAAAGGAGGAGAAAATAATTCCTCTTCTAGTCTGATGTAGTGCTTTACTTAAGGCAAGATCGATGCAAATTCCCCAGTAAGCACTTGGTAAGAGCTTGGTATTATGAAGAGACCAGTAACTAGTAAGCTAGAAGGATAAAGGTAGTAAGAGCCAGCATATAACTTCCCTGATGGCAACCGTATCTCAGAAGAATATCTAAGCAATGCCAAAGTAATACAATCTTTAACAACAATCATGACTCAGAGATCTTTCTTAAGAATAGCCAGATAAAATTGAAGATCTAACTAAGACTATCTTAAAAATTTCAGGTTAAGGAAAACAACAACAAAACTCAACTGGGAGGAGGGGGTGGTAACTAAGTTTGTTTCTACAGCTTTAATCAGGAGTGTTTTCTGCAAGACACTAAATGCTGACCTCCTAGTAAATGTTCACATCTACTTCCAAGGTTTCCTTCCCAAAGCCATCCTTCAGTGTTCTGTCTCTTCTTTATTTTTGCAGTCTTAACAGACTAACAAATGTACCAATTTGTTGGTTCATTGGTTTAACACTTGAGAGGACTGCTCCCAAATGTTGGCTCCCCTCATATGGATCCCATAGTTCCTACGAGGAAGGCAGCATGAATGATAGAATGCCATCAGACTGAGGGCTGGTGTGTATAAAGACCTGTAGTTCACATTCAGCTTCTGCCTTCACTGGACCTGTTCCCCTATGGAAATGTGCAGCTAGATAAAGGTGGAAGCAGGTGACTGCGCTGTTGTAACTCACATTTCCTTCCTCCACATTGTCACAGCTTTTCACAGTTGGTCACTGACATTCCACTGTGTCATACCATTTCCAATCTTCAAATCTCTTCAAGGTTTGTGTACTTTGAAGAGAATCTTTCTTTAGTAATCTTCCAAAATGTAAATTTATACCATTTTTCGTTCCTTTTTTTTTTTGGTCAGTCATGGGTCTTGAACTCTGGGCCTGGGCGCTTATCCCTGAGCTCTTCAGCTCAAGGCAAGAGCTCTACCACTTGAGCCACAGCGCCACTTCTGGCTTTCAGGTGGTTAATTGGAAATAAGAGTCTCATGGACGTTCCTTCCCAGGCTGGCTTTGAACCTTGATCCTCAGATCAAGGATTGTAGCTAGGATTATACCTAGCAAAAGACTTACTTTTTGCCTTGACTGGATGCTAATTCTTGCAAACATTTCAGTGGGAAAGAACTGAGCTTTCTTCTGGGCCACGTCATTACTGAGGTAGAAAGGCAGCAGTGCTGGCTAGCCAGGGCAGCACAGTAGCCATAGCAGTAGACACTGCCACAGCAATGTCTCTAGTTGGCGAGCCAACTAGAGACAAGGGTCTGGAGGCAGGAATCCTTGAATCCTTGATGCTAAAAGTGCAAACAAACATTCTCCAAGACACAGAGCACTCACAGAAGACAGAGGATGAGTAGAGATCATGAAGCCCTCTCTTCAAAGCAGTTCCCTACCATCTTACCTCGGGCACTGGAAGGAGCAGAGGTAATCATCTGGGATGGTGCTGAGTGAGTGGAACTCAGGCTGGAGGAAGAAGGGCTTGCCTGGGACGAGGACAGAACAGAGACGTTGGTGACTGAGCCCTGGTACCTGGGGTTGTGATACGTGAGCTGCAAAGGGAGAGAAATCAGCAGGACAGAGTTCTGAATGTCCAGGACTGAGGGACTGGCCCAGAGTTGGCTTCTTCATGCCCTGAAGTATCTAGACCCAGTGCCTGATGTGGTATCCTGGACCCTGAGGGAGGCCAGGCTGATGGCTAGAACTAAGAATTACCCAAACCACCCACATGGAGGAAAACTGTTGGGTTGGTTCTACTAGGTACCCATAGAGGATGCAGAACCTAGCCATCAGGAACATCAAGCTAGAAAGTAAGCTGGCAGAGGATCTTTCTCATCAGTGAGAACAGCCAGGACTGACTGGAATTCCTTCTTGGAAAATAAGGCTCGAGGACTGAGACTTGGGAATGGTATGTAGAAAGAAGGCAGCTTTGCTAGTTCTGGTGAGGGGGTTTACAAAGTCAGAAACTAGAGAACTAGGCAGCGTTGCCAGCCCTCAGACCAGATCCTCCACAGAAAAGTGAGTCCTCTAGGCATGGTACCCTGCCCATTCTCCTTGGACAGCTCTGGTACCTGCATGTGGTGGTACAGGTCCTCAGGAGCCTCGCCCATGGAGCTGTCGCCCATCATCACCATGTTTCCCGCTTCACTAGACGCATGTGAGGAGAGAGAGGATGATGAATGGCGGCCTGTGCCCATCAAGTTCATGGGGCTGTGAGCAAGAGTGGGGAAATAGGGAGGAATCAGGCCATGGCTGAGAAAGCATGCTGGGTAGTAGGGACAGCGGAGGGATGTGCATATGGTCATCCCAGGCCTTGGCCATCATTGATTGGGAGTGTGCTGTAGCCAAGGTTGACATCCATCTGAGCTTGGAGCAGTCCTGGGCTTCACTCTGCTGCTCAGGAGCCCCTGACCTGGGAAGGACTATAATGGACTGGCACAGCTCTACATAGAGCTCAATGGATTATGGCCACTCAGTCTGGTGGCATTCACAGTTTATCGAGAGGAATGATACTCAGGTCAAGGATTTCACCTCCCTCTTGCTATGGGTTTGCTAGTCTGAGCAGTTGCCTATCCCTATCCACAACCATGATGAGATCTTCTCCTGTCAGAGATGTCTTCCTGGTATTGAGACCCTATCAAAATAATTGGCAACGAACTATCTGTGGGTTTCCTTCCACACCAGACTCCATAGGCATGTCAACAGTTTTGCTCTATCAATACCAGGAAGCCCTTCATTGATTTGTTCTTACTCATTCACTGAGTAGCCACTCTTGTTTTGGGCTGCCGCTCATGGTAGAAAACAAATCTAAGCAATAGATCTCTCATTGTTCTCTCCCCAAACCTTGTCCTCCTATCCTACAGACTGAATATCCTTCGCTGAGCTCAGCCAGGCCAGAACTCTTGATTTTCAAGCAGTCACACTTTGAATGTCCACATCTTTACCTCATTCTCTTCCATAAAACCAACTGCTAATCCTCATTTGCCTTGGGGTTAAGCCCAAAGATCCACATGAAGAGGCCCATGCAGAGCTGACTCTGCCCTGGCTTCCATGCCCTAGAGTCCTTTACTACAGCCACTTGGCTTTATGAAGTACTGATCAAAGTGGCTTGTTCACACCTTAAGGGTTCTGCATGTGTCCATTACTTTGCCTATATCTCATCACATTGTTTTCCTAACCTTTTTTCTGCATAGCAAGTTTCTAACTGTCCTTCAGGATTTAACCTGATGCTACTTCCTCTGTATTCCCACAATAGCATGTGTATACCCAGGACAGTGACTGACTGGATGCAGAGCCTGGGTCCTGTGACAAGAGCTGCGTGGCAGGGCTGTGAGGGAGTAGAGGGGGGAGGTAACAGGGAATTCAAGAATACACACGCACTCTCTAGAACTCTTTTTCTCTGATGCTTATCCTCCAGACTTACCTGTCTGGAAGGAGCCCTCCCCAGTCCTAAGGCCGTACCTGTGCCGGTGGGTCATCTTGATGTTTTCAGGGCTCATTGGACCATGTGATGCCAAAACATTTCCCCGGGGAGTGCTGGAGCCTGAACATGCAGGACTTAGTTTATCCAAACCTGGAAACTCCTGTTGAGAAACGCATGTGTGTTCACAGAGAGCAAAGAATCGATCGGCAAAAGGTAAGAGGGATGTGCTGGCTGGTGGTTAAAAATGTAAAAAAAGAACCATCATCTGAACTGCTGATTTCTTTTAGGTGATGATTAAACACTCCCCTAACTATACTAGAGGCTATACCAGAAGCCATGAAACCCTGGGTGGACTCTGCTAATAGAAAGCATACCTAGAAATAAGCTGAGGTTGGTTTGCGCATAAAGGACTGTGTTAATGACTTTCTCTTAATATAAAATAAAGTGCAACAGGGCTGGAGAGGAGGTTAGAGAAGAGGAAGAACTTATTATAAGTTGTTAGTGAGAAGATCTTACATAAGGATTGGGGCTGTGTTTTATTGGATTGCTAAATGGACCAGTTCTTAGTGAGCTGAGTTAAGTTGCCTGTGACATGGTCTATGGGGAAACAGGAAACAAAGTCCTGATGTAATTGAAAAACAGCACAGTTCAATTTTGGCATAATTAAATTCTTACTAAGTATGTAGACTTCGTGGCAGCAACTTCTAATCTTAAACCCTCCTGGGTAAAGGCATATTAGTCTGTCTCTGTTTGTGACTCAAACAAAGCATGACTTCCTCAAGTCCTTCACAATCTATAGTCGACAGGGTTCTAAGTCTACAGATGTTTCTGAGCTTGGTCTGAAGAAGCAGCAGGTTGTCCTCACTTCCAAAGTGTTGTGCCTAAGGATGAAATATACTTATGCAGTCTAAGAGGACACTTCCATGTGTGCACATGGCTGCACTTGCTGTGTATGCACAAGCATTTTGTGCTTTCTGACACAGTAACTGGGCTGCCCAGGTGACAGAGCACAACTCCTGTGGCTAGGCTCTAGGTTGCCTGGTCCACCTGCTGTGATGAGGAAGTCTGCATACAGTAGAGACAAGCCAAGCTAACAGGAGACACAGTTACAGGTAATAGAATATCTATCATGGAGTGATACTACTCAAGTTCTTTTTTAAGTAGTCAGTTTATAGTTTTAAGGGGAGGGTATTAATTTTCTTCACATTTCACCTTGAAACACCATGGGAGAATCCTGATAGGAAGGAGAAATTTTAGGCTCTAGAGGCTTTCCTCTGAAAAATATGGTCTTCATTTAAAATATGACATTATTCTTTTCCACTTTTACTTTTCATTCTGTGCTTATTTGTACAGAAACAGGCTAAGACTTGCACTGGAGACTGGCGGGACTAAGATGACTTATAGCATCCAAGAACAAAGTAGGTCCACAAGGAGCAGGCCCACTGAATCTGAGTGGTCCATCTATAGCCTCTGTGGCTAGGGGTCATTCCTAAAGAGTAACTTCTTGTCCATGACAGCCTGGCTCAGCATCTAATAGTTCTACTTCTGCCTAGTAATAGATAATATTAACAGGTGGCAAAAGAAGAGCTTGACTGAGAATGGGATAGTATAGCAGGTGGTTTGGGATCATAACCTTTGAGGTTTGGGAGCCAGCCTTAAACTTCCTACAAAGGAAGGCTTCTCTAGGATACATATAGAAACAGCCCCATGGTTAAAAAATTGGGTAAAAATATGTGAATAGGAGGCTCAGGACTATCTGAGCCCTATCCTTAGCCAAGTAGAATTTCCTGTAAAGACCCTGCCAAGGAAAACTGATCTTGGAATATAGGTCCTACCTGTGTCCATCAGGCCAAAGGGCAAAGGCCAGAGTTTGGGAGGCCTCTAGGGCCAGGTCTAGCCACAGAATCTGCCTGATAGTTCTAAAAGCAGCCAAGAGGAAAGTACTGGGTGCTAAGACTTTCTGAGATATGAGCCTGGGTCACTAGACATCATAGAAGTTGAGATGGAGGGGAGAGGGAAGGAGAGAAGGGAGTCAGAGGAGAAGAAAAGAAAGGAAGAGTGGGAGAGGGAGAGAGAGGAGAAAGAGAGCTGCCTTAGGTCATATTTTAAATCTTTTAGGCTCTTGCAAAGAAAATAATCTCCAAATAGACCCCTTTGTGGAGGCCACATACTTTAATAACACTTCATCTACATGAGCAAATCTCTATTCACTAGCCTGGCATCCTAAAAGAAGTTTTTGTTTTGTTGTTGCTGTTTGTCCTTGACTCTGACTCCTCATTTGGGAATGAGAGGATCCTGATCACCTTTGCCCTGAATAGAGCACCCACACCTGACTCCTGCATCACTGTGGCTGGGACAGCTTCTCACTCCCACCCTCCCTCCTAGTTTTCTTTAGCTTATGGCATGGGTCTGGAGGCAGTACCGCAGGGGCAGGTCAGGGATCAACTTACATGGTACAGACTGGCCCGCATCATTTGGAACTGATCGATCAACTTCTTATGCAAAGGCCTCATTTCTGGGTGTACAAACTTTTCATGGACTGCTAGCCCAATTCCAAGGACATGGACCTATACAGGGTGCCAAACAAGGCCTCTGTGTTAAGCAGGGAAACAGACTTAAGAACTACAGTCATCCTGAAATATTTGGCCTTTCCCACTGGTGGCAGGCCTCAAAATCCTGCAAGCTATACCTGCTCCTGCATTAGCTCTTTGAGTTGGGCAATCTTCTCTGCGTCTCCTGGGTGTTTGGTGATGTAATCTTTATCAAAGAAGGCCTGTGAAGAGAAAGGCCAGATAAGAAATTATTTTCCTACCTAAGATGGGGCCCCAGAGACATGAGTTCAAAGGTGACCCTAAAAGGCAGCTAGGCTGCCTCCTCACTAGTAACTTGAAGCTCTGGTAATTGGGATTTATTATTATTATTATTTTCATTCCTGAGCAGGATTGGCGGTGACCAAGTCACCTTAACTGGGATGCTGGCCTCAGTGTCTCACAGAGCCTGCATGATCTGAATCGGGCAGGCAGGAATGATGGCCTGGGTTTGGGGACTAGCATCTTAGCCAGCCTACAACTCATTTTTTCATAAAGAGATGGCCCTGGGAGGCCACTTAACTTTCTCCCATAATCAGATGGATTAACCACATGACAGAGCTCAGGGAATAGAAATGAAGAACAGGCCCCATTAGAAAGCTGTGTCACGTCAAGAGCTTATAGCTTCACCTTAGAACTATCTCATGCTAGCTTAATCAGAAGATGGTTAGCTGGGAAAGCTTCCCAGGATGGCTGCAATTTTGAGAAAAGGAGCTTCTGAATGGTCTTCTTAGCCATGTTGCCTACGTGGGTCTGATCTAGGGTCCCAGCTTACCTCCTGGTAGCGTGCAATGCCTCCATTGACAGCTGCATCAATGACACCATTCAGGCACATGCTGAGCAGGTTGATATTGCCATGCACCTGCTTGTGTTGGTACTGGCTAATCAGGGCTCGAAGCTCCTGGTTCTTATTCTCAACAACCTGGATGGCATTCTCCAGAGGGCTCACCTCCACCTGGGGACACAAGAGCACAGAGTCCTCCTAGGAACTATGATAGTCCCACATTACATTTCTGAGAGCAGCATTCTACCCCTGTAACGCTGATTTCCTTTGTCCCATGGCCTCAGGACTTCCTGTGCCCTTTCTACTTTTTTCTTCTGAAAGGTCCTTATAGGTACTTGGAAATTCAGCAAGCAGTAAGAGCACTAAGCTCACAGAAACCAGAGAGCTCTGGTTTCATTGAGAGACTGTTTTCTTATTTGTAAACAGGGAGGTTAAGGTGTGCTAAGGTGTGCTGTGTGGTTTAGATGAGAGAAGGCACCCAAAGCTTCCATCATAGGATTGACATGGGAAGCTGAGGCTAGGCAGATGGCCCAAATTCTTTCTTCCTTCAGTCCTTAGAGAGAAAGCTCCCCAGAGTCATGAGGGAGTGGCTGTAAAGCGTAACTCACCAGTTCCCTCCTCTCCACTTCAAACCACCGAGAGATGCCAGGCAAGCTGTGGGTCAGAGTCAGTGTGGTACGCTCAATCCACAGGCTCTGCAGGGAGGGCACAGTCAAATAGCATGCAGTTAGGCAAGTTTTGCACCACCTGCCTGACCCAAGAGATGCAATAGTGCTGATTTCCCAACAAAATCAGGCTAGCGCTTGCACTTGTGAGCACAGCCCCTACTTTCCTTTATTTGTTCACCTTGAACTCATTCTCCTTGTCCTTGGGGCCTTTGTGAAAAGGCCTGTCATAGCGGAACTTCCTCACATTGTTGACTCGATAGAAGCTCTTGACACGATCTGGTACTCTATCCATCTGCAGAACATCCACATAATCTGGAATGGGTGTCACTGCATAGATCTGCAAGTCTGGGCGTGGTATGGAGTGAAGGGAAATCCACACTTATCAAAGAGAAAGACCTGAGTAACTGACCCCTGTTAGTACCTGAAAGAAGATGCACTATAGCCCCTGTTCTCTACTGGCAGCAGTGTTGGAAGCAGTTAACATATTTGGAACAGATGAGGCCTAATCAGAGTCAGACAAATTATCTTCTTTTCCCTGATCAGCAAGTAGTCTTAGCAGCACTCAGCCAACATGAGATGGTAAGAGCTACGTATTATCTGCTTCCTCTTTAAAAAATAGGGGAAAGAGATCAGAAGAATGCTCGGAGAATGTTGCAAGGGTTTGGGCTGGCCCATAACAAAAGCCCTAACAGGATCCCAGTTACACTGTATAATAATCGCCCCTAACCATCTTGGCAGGCTCCTCATAGGGCAGGGTGAAGACTAAACTGCTGATAGGAGCTAGCTTGAGAAGCTATCTCTTTTCTTGCTGATGACCACTATATGGCCACCTGTGGCTAAAGGTGTACCACTTCACTGCCTGTTCTGAGGCCTCTATGTGGAGGACATACCTCAGATTGAGGACTTGGGCCATGTGGGTAGGTTGAATGCCAACTGTGGGGTTGAGGAGCCTTGGTTAGACTCACCACCCAAGATCCCAGCAATCCCCCCTCCACCAAGTGTCAAAAGATACACTGGGCATCACACTGTAGGATGGTATCGTCCGGATGGTTGGGGTGCTGCATGGCGACAGCCTGTGGAAACTCGCTGAGCATCCTTTGCTGGAAGGCCTCAAGCCTCTCGTAGTCATGGCCCCGGCACACATATTCTTTGTTCTGCCAAAATAGCATACTCTATGCCTTGTCTGTACATGGGAGTTAGGAGTTATTCATCTCACAATCATGTCCTAGGAGCCTCCTCTGTACCAGGCTGGAGACAGGTACAGGGCACAACACTCAGTCCCTGTCTTAAGAAAAATAACAGTTGAAGAGGGAAGATGAAAGGAGAATTGCACTGTGGTGTGGCAGCTCTGGGGATGAGGCACAAGCAGTAGGAGCTTGGAGGAAAGAGGAATACCTTACTTGGGCAAGGGAGCAAAGTAGAGCCTGGGATTTTAGAAAACAAAATCAAATGCAAAACCAAAGTTTTTTTTTCTTTGTTTTTAAAGTCCTAGAAGGCCCTCCTACAGTAGCCTGCTAGAGAGGAGTAGGGAAAGCAATTTGTGGTAACAGCCAGAGCCAACTATGTGCCAAGGAATGACTGCTATGGGTAATGCCAAATAAATTGGGGAAGATCATTGTATGCTTTTCTTTTTTTTTTTTTGTCAGTCGTGGGGCTTGAACTCTGGGCCTGGGCGCTGTCCCTCAGCTCTTCAGCTCAAGGCGAGCGCTCTACCACTTGAGCCACAGAACCACTTCCAGTTTTCTGGTGGTTTATGGGAGATAGGAGTCTCAGGGTCTCTCCTGCCCGGGCTGGCTTTGAACCGCGATCCTCAGATCTCAGCCTCCTGAGTAGCCAGGATTACAGGCGTGAGCCACCAGCGCCCGGCTCATTGTATGCTTTTCAATGACACTTTGTCAGCTAGGAAAAGAAACCTAAACACTTACTAGTTCCCAGATAATATTCAGTCATTGGTTATTGCATTGATAAACTCCATTGGTAACAAATTCCTTTGCAAGTAAGTGAGTGGAATGAATCACTGTCATTCTACCTATACATTTCTTAAAACTTTTTGCTATGTCATATTGGGTTTGGGTTAGTTTGCTTTTTGTGGCAAAGTCTTCTTGTGGACAAGATACTCAAAGCCCTGCTACTTTGCCTGCCTCACAGCTGGTCATGCATGATAGAGGAAGAGGTCCCACTGAGGCCACTGCTGAGACTGCCTACCCAGCTGCCTTACTAGACCTATTTCAACAAGCAGTCAGAGACACTGGCAGCTCTTCCTGGCATGTTGTCCCTGTTGTATTTACATTCTCACATGGGTTATTCTTCCTTTTAGCCTAGAATAATTGCTTCTGGGAAAAACATAGGCTAACTGAAATTGGTTATCTTGGACTTCTGTGGCTTCTGTGAACTTTCCAAGTTGTTTGCTGAGATTTGCAGACACTGAACTTTAAGAAGACACTTGAATTGGAACAATCAGACAATCAGAACTAGTCTTAGGGTTTTTTGTTTTTTGTCGGTGGTGGGGCTTGAACTCTGGGCTTGGGCGCTGTCCCTCATTTCTTCAGCTCAAGGTGAGTGCTCTACAACTTGAGCCACAGCACCACTTCCAGTTTTCTGGTGGTTGACTGGCGGTAAGAGTCTCACAGACTTTCCTGCCCAAGCTGGCTTTGAACCACAATCCCCAGATCTCAGCCTCCTGCAAAGCTAGGATTAGGAGTCTGAGCCACAGGCACTCAGCATTTTTTTTTTTAAGTAGTGCTAGAGTTTGAACTCAGGGTCTCAAGTTTGCCAGGCAGGCATTTTTGCCACTGAGCCATACCTCTAGCTCCAATCTAGGTCAAAGCTGCAGATCTATGGCTCATTCCTAAGGACAGCTAAATTTTTATGGTATATAGCTTATGGGCTCAAGATAACTACTGTTTGAGCTTCTGGGTTGTGCTAAATAAATAAAATCACATGCTGCCTCTGGATTGAGCCATGATGGACATTCTGAGGGCGGCCGATCTACGGCCTGTGTTCTGCACCATTTCCTATGAAACCATGATCCCTATGTGTAGCGTTCTCTCTTTTTCTAATACCTGCAAGCACCAACTGACATTGTTTTCACCAGCAGCTTGTCGCAGATTCAAAAACAAGGGAAAAGAATAGAGAATGGAGTGGCACTGAACAGAAATTAATGTGGGGATGAGGAATGCTAAGGATGTCCAGGTACTGAAGAGGAAACACAAGTTTCCTTCCTGATAATGCAGGCCATTTTTCACTGTAGGAAAACTTCCATAGTCAGGGCACAGTGAATTGGTCTGATGATGGCATTGTGAAAGGCATAAATAGGAACAATTTGGAAAGCCAGTTTCAAGCTACTGACGCTGCCAAGAAACTTATTTTCTAAGGAAAAATAGCCCTGCCCATGATAAACAACATTATCTAGCTTGTTCTGATTCCCAAACTTAGGTCCTTCTTGAGAAGAGCTGATTATAATCTCATTCAGTCTAAAACTGTTTGGGCTCTCACAAGCCAATACTATTGTCCTATCCCAGGAGTGGTCTCTCTGTTGGCATCTTTCATGATCAAGCTATATGGGCCAATCCTTTGAAAAGATGTATTCAGTAGACTAGGCTAAAAGGAAGAGTGTAAGTTATAAGTGAATTATGAGTAAGAGTTCTTGTGACCACCTGACTGGACTCACCCGAAGGAAGAACGGAAACTTCCTGCCATAGAAGCCAACCCGAAAGAACTCAGGCTCCAGGCGCTGCTGCTCTATAATGTTATCATAGTAGCTGGCTTCCATTTTCTGTGAACAAGAAAGGTGATTGCCTTCAGGTTGTCTGACTGTTGTTGGTATCCAAAGAAACTTCTCCTAGACCCATCTGAGACTGTCTTCTGGAAAGGGATTAAGGCAACTCTAGGTAAGAAAATAAGTGCCTAGGTATGACCAGTCTTCCTTCAGGGAACTGCATTATGAAAGAGGAAATCCTCCTTCATCACCACCTGATAGGTAGGGCAGGGGAATGTATTTAATATGGATTCTTTCTGTCCAGAGACTTCTGACTTTGTGGGGATTTTTTGTTTTGTTTTGTTTTTAACAATGTAAGGCCTCTCACCCTTACTCAGCGTTGCTTGTTTGGCTGATGCTTTACCACTTAGGCCGTATTTCCATCCTGTGATTTACATTTTTGACTGATATTCATTGTATTAGTTTTGATCCCGAACTAGGGTTGCTTATAACTACTATCATTTCTTGTCAGTACAACTGCATCTTCTCATTCATCTATCACTTAACTAACAGTACTAATAACCATGGTTTAAAAAAAAGGCTCATTTGTGAGCATCACCGATACTGGTTCCAATTTAGGAGATTTTAAACTTCAATCAGTCAATCGACTGATTGATTCATGGTAAATATTTAAGTCTGGCTGACCTGGCTTCACATTAAGGTAAAAGTAACTGAAACTGGGGAGAATAGCACTAATGAATTCAGCCTACTGGAGAACAATGGCCTTCAACAATCAGTGAAGAAATTACTTGTAAGGAACCATTTCCAAATCCCAATTTGGATCAGGGAACTGAGCAGAGTTAGCCCCGGGATGAGGGTGAAGGGAATATAAACTGAGAATGCTACTTTCTTTTTGCTGAAGAAATCAACCACTGTTATGATTCAAAAACTAGTATAAGCAATCAGGAAAAATGTGTGCAGACCTACAACAATCATGGGCATTGGACTTAATTTTTGACTATTTTGCTTCAAAACAAAAGAAGAAGGACAAAGTGCTTAAAAGTTACAAGTCATGGGCTGGGAAGGTGGCTCAGTGGTAGAGCGCTTGCCTTGCATGCCTGAAGCCGATTCCTCAGCACCACAAGCAAAAAGAAAAAAGCCGGAAAGTGGCACTGTGGCTCAAGCGGTAGAGCGCTAGCCTTGAGCTGAAGAGCTGAGGGACAGCGCCCAGGCCCAGGGTTCAGGCCCCACGACCAGAACACCCCCCCACCCCTGGCAAAAAAAAAAAAAGTTACAAGTCATGGGGAAAGATCTAGTAACACAGCTTTTAGATAAAGCATTCTTGCGCAAATTATTTCAAGAAAAGCTTCTTCAGGAAAGTGAGCAGCCATCTTGAAACCTCTTAGCTTATTTTGCCTATGCTGCTCTTCTCAGAGTAACCCTTAGAATCAAGACCATAAAAAAAAAAATCATTTACCAGGTGTGTTTTGGTTCCCTTGTCAGACTGAAAATACCTTGAGGGCAGGATCTTGGCTTCTGCTTCTCCTGTACTGTCCAAGGCACTAAATCAGGGGCCCATTTCACTCAGAATGCTCGCTCAAACTCATGCCATGAGAGTCCAGGCACCTTTGGACACATCTTGGGATGGAAGATGGGATAAAGCTCACCCGAATCCAGCTGAGGCTCTGATAATCGTAGAGACTCTCATACTGACATGCCAGCTCTCTGCATAGTGGGATCCCAAACTCCCAGCTCTGCATCAGAAATAGAAACAGTGAATCAGCATGTTAGGCATCCTCAGAATGGCCTAAGCCCATATCAAACATACCAGGCAACACAACAAAAGGCCTCCTGCTAGCTCCAACTCATACAAAGGAATATAGGCTTCAAAAACAACTTATGGAGCATGACACACAGCACTGTGGCTTTCTAGATAAAGCACAGTTTTCTGGTCTCTACTTAGATGTTGTTGGGTGCTTCCAGGCTTTCCCGGACTATCCTATCATGAATGGGTACTTTTCTGTACCTGTTTTCTGTTAGTTGTATTTACTTAAAAACTTTGTTCTTGTATTAGTCTCTATTAGATGATAAACTGCATGGGAGCAGAAACTATTTACTTTAGCTTCAGACTGTATTTTTTTTAGTTTTTTAAAATTTTATTTATTTATTTATTTATGTCAGTCGTGGGGACTGAACTCTGGGCCTGGGCGCTGTCCCTCAGTTCTTCAGCTCAAGGCTAGTGCCCTACCACTTGAGTCACAGTGCCACTTCCGGCTTTTTTCTGCTTATGTGGTGCTGAGGAATTGAACTCAGGGTCTCATGCGTGAAAGGCAAGCACTCTATCACTAAGCCAACTCCCCAGCCTAGCTTCAGACTCTAGAATGATGCCACACACACAATATTTATTTAATGAGTTAAAGGGATCACTGATAACATTAGTATCATTTAAGTTTAGAAACAAGTAAGGAAATTGAAAGGAAAGAAGCTAACAAAAACTTGGTAGTAGGCCTGACAACTTCCTTTATGGAAAGACTTGAAGTTTAAATTAAGATGTAAATGATATTTGACCCTGCCAGATTTCAGGCTGTTTCTGTGAGTGGCTCCTGTTACAGCAATAGCCCCATCAAAAAATGCCTGAGGAAGGCTTCAGTGGAGTTCATTAAGATGCAATATTGTCCATTAGCACGTGTGTGTACCTGTGTATGCGTGTGTGTGCGTGCATGTGTGTGTGTGTGTGTGTGTGTGTGTGTGTGTGTTACTAAGGATTAAATTCAGGGCTATAACCTGCTAGCCCAGCACTCAAGCACCGCTGAGTTATAGTTCTATCTTCCTATTCTTTTTTTTTTTTTTTCGAGTCTGGTCCTGGGGCCTGAACTCTGGGCCTAGGCACTGTCCCTCAGCTCTTCAGCTCAAGGATAGCGCTCTACCACTTGAGCCATAGCGCCACTTCCGGCTTTTTCTGCTTATGTGGTGCTGAGGAATCGAACCCAGGGCCTCATGCATGCAAGGCAAGCGCTCTACCACTGAGCTACCTTCCCAGACCCTCTTCCCCATTCTTAATACAGAGTTTTCTTTCTCTTGGTTAGACTTGGAATCATCAGTTTACTTGATTTTACCCAGACTCTTGTCCTAATTTCTAAATACATACTTAAATCTATTTACAACTTTCATGTAAAGTAGAGGGTACCTGGCATCTAGCTTCAATAATGACCAACTCGGGGCTGGGAAGGTGGCTCTTGTAGAGCACTTGCCTTGCATGAATGAGGCCCTGGGTTCAATTCCTCAGCACCACATAAGCAAAAAGAAAAAAGCCGGAAGTGGCGCTGTGGCTCAGGTGGTAGAGTGCTAGCCTTGAGCTGAAGAGCTGAGGGGTAGCGCCCAGGCCCAGAGTTCAGGCCCCACGACCGGACCAAAAAAAAAAAAGACCAACTCAAGACCAATCAAACATCATGTATACTCTTATCTACTTGCTCCTCCCCATAGTTTCCCAAGCAACTCTTAGGTATCATATAATTCTACCAATAAATACCAGCCAAGACTGTATTTTTAATAATACTATCTGAAACAGCATCAAGGAGAAGGAAACCAATCTCCTTTGAGATTGTATTTTTCTAAAAGAGCATATTATTTTTATTCTTTGAAGAAATCAATACCAGATGGACTAAAACTGCTGGTCCAATTAAAAAGACAAATAAGACATGCAGGATTTTAAATAGAGCCTGGCTCTCTGCCCAATACATTGCCTCTGCCTCAGGAAGCTAAGAAAACCCCTTGCACCATCGCATTGCATCAGTCCTCTTTCCAGCTCCAGGTGCTACTTGAGCAGGCTACAGCCCAGGACCTCTAACAGCATGCCTGAAAGGTAGTTCTACGGGGTAGCTTAGCTACTTCTTTCTGGCCAGTCTGTCAGGAGCTGCCCATGAGCTTACTTAGGTGATGAGGGCTCCATGTCAGCTTGCTGACAATGGTTCCAATTTGGATAAATGTTCCTCTATCTTCTTGGTACCTCAGTTCTAATTTGTGACTTTGGTGATCCAAGGTATCCCCTTCCCCTACCATATCTTTAGAGCACAGCAAAACCAAGAGTTTAAAGACATTCTGCTAGTCTTTAGGGTGTGTAAGGGCTTTAAGAGCTGTCTCTGGGCACAGGTAACGAATGTTCTGCAGGTATAATACATCCTTTGCTACTTCTTTTTTGCTTCTCTCCTTTTGGCAGGAAACAAGCTAACTATAAAATCCATTCACTTCTACCAACTCTGGAAGATTGTGTGTGTGTGTGTGTGAAAGAGAGATAGATTTTTTTTAATGCATCGTAACCCAAGACGCTGCCTTAGCTTTCCACAGAGGGCCAGCTCTCACACACTAGACAAGAGAGGAAAACTTCAGGGACAGGGTGTGGCAGACTGGGAGTTGAGACTTGAAATGTCCCTCATGAAGGGGTTTACCAAGCAATTTGTAAAATCAAGGTAGAGTTTCTGGAAGAAGTGAAAAGATATACAAGAAGCTGACTTATGAAGCCTACTGGTCTCTCTCTCCTTTCTGAACTATAATTTTCTATCATGCTTTGCGCATTACTCCCTAGTCCATATTAAGGTTTAATCCTGATTTTCTATGCATTACTATAGTGTGGGATGCATTACTATAGTGTGGTCATTATTATCCTATGTTCTACCAGCAGTCAGATCAGGATTTCTCTTTAACTCTGCCCTATGCATCTGTGGAAAGAAATTAATGTACAAAACTACTCATACAGATGGACAGTATGCTTACATCTCTTTGTTATGGGCAAGCTTGCTGGGCCTGTGGATAGCAGCAGCTCCAGGTCAACTAAAGCCAGGAAGACAGGCCTAAAACCAGACTAGTGAGAGGCCCTAACTCAGGCTCTGGACCAGAAGGGGTAGAGGCTCTGAGACAGCACTGTGGATCTGTTAGTTGGGCTGGATGAGAGAAGAACAAGAACCTCTCTTGTAAACTAGGCTATAGGAAAGCTTTTGCAGTTTTAGAAAGGCTTTTGTGCCTCTCTAGTATATCCTCTGCATAGGTGAATGTTTTCTTTTCTAAGTGAATAGTTTTTGGTTGTTGTTGTTTTTCCTGGCAATACTGCGGTTTAAACTCAGGATGTCACATTGCTAAGCTAAGCTGAAACTAACGGAGTATCTAGTTTAGCCACTGTCCCTGAGCTCATTGTTCAAGGCTAGTACTCTATCACTTTGAGCCACAACTCCATTTTCAGTTTTCTGGTGGTTTAATGGAGATAAGAGTCTCATGGACTTTCCTGCCCAGACTGGCTTTGAAACACGATCTTCAGATCTCAGCCATCTAGGATTACAGGTGTGAGCCACCAGCATCTGGCTGAGAGAACAGTTTAAAAAGGTTATATATCTCTAATCTTTCTAGTGCATAGGACACATGCTATGGGTAAGTTCCAGAGGATCTAGGAGGAGCTCTCCAGAGATGGGAACAAGATGGCTGAGAAACCCCCAGGAAACCTCCTGAACCAGCACTGACAATCCCACAGAAGCAAATCTGTCTTAGAATAACCACACTGATAGAGAAGCTGAGACTACTCTGTAAAAGAAATACAAAATAAGAATGAAGACAATGAAGAATCTCATCTCTAATCACTTTATATGTCTACCTATGTTAATAATAGGCAGTGTAGACCTGCTTTGGCTATGATTACAATCCATTTGATCTTACCAATTATTTTTTCTACAGAAAGCATTTTTTATATTTTTATTTATCTATCTATCTAATTATCTATTTATTTATTTTTTGTCGGTCATGGGGTCTGAACTCTGGGCTTGGGCACTGTCCCTCAGCTCTTTAGCTCAAGCCTACACTCTACCACCACTTGAGCCAGAGTGCCACTTCCGGCATTTTTTTCTGCTTATGTGGTGCTGAGGAATCAAACCCAGGGCTTCATGCATGCAAGGCAAGCGCTCTACCATTGAGCCACCTTCCCAACCTTTAAATTATATTTTTATTGTCTTCAAGTAGTTCAAGGAGTTACCATTCAACAAATCAGTTTGTAAGTATAAGGCATCTTGAGCAATGTCACCCAGAAAAGATTCTTTAAGTATATCTAATACAGACAGGGTCCCAGAAGCCCGTTATAGGAGCTTTAGCAGTTATCATTTTTAGATGCACAAAGCTGGCATTTGAGGCTCTTCCAATCTGGAATCAGCTTTCAAGCCATAGAATTAAGCTTTCTTTCTCTTTTTTTTTTTTTAAAAACACTGGGAGAAAATTACGCTGCCTCTAAATCTGATACATACATATGGGCACCCACCTACTTGCCTCCCCACACACCACCCTCTACAGCTGCTGCCAACTGTACAATGTCAAGATGTCATGCACTACAGCAGCAGCTGAGGGCTGCCCATGACACCTACCTTGCCCTTGTTGAAGTAGTGGATGATCTTCCGGCATAGCCCCTCTTTCCGCTGCCACTCGGTCTGGGATGGGTAATGCAGGAACTCCCGCAGTGGCCGATCCTCCCACTGAAGCAGCTCACAATAAAGGAGCAGGGTGAATGCAGCCTCTGTGAGGATAGATAGCATGGAGGCCTAGGGCTTCTTTTCAGGGGCCCAGGAATAGCCTGATCTAAGCAGAATACCAGGGCAAGATATGCATCGGCCAGGCTTTGGGAGATTTACGAAAAACTGCCCATGAGGAGTGACACCGAATTGAGGATGCTCTGAACCTGGTGCACCAGAATGTAGGTCATCTTTGAGTCCTCAGAGGGGTGGGTAGGATGGAAGGAGAGTGAAACAGCCTAAGAGAGTGGAGGACACAGCAGAAGGTGGAGTTTTGCCTGCTCTTTCTCCATTTACCACAAAGAAGCTGAGGAGAAGGAGCAAGGTAAAGGGATAAGATGGGTCCAACACTGTTGAGATTTGGCAAGCACCAGTTTGGAGCCTTTCTCTGCCAGCTGTATATATTGATCATTCTATCTTCAAGAACACTTACCTGTATAGTTTTCAGCCTGTAAATGCATGTCACAAAGCTTATGGATGTATCGAATATACATTTCTTCTTTATTAATTTCAGATTTGTAAAAGTTCTGTGTGAGAGAAAATATACACATAAGATGAGAAAGTCTGCCACCTTTGGAGGCCACATTTGAGCCTACTTTGAGCCTGCCAAAGCTCTGGATGTGCTAAGCAGGAAGAGAAGGGGAGGTCCTGGAGGCATCAGAAAATGGACCAGTCAGATAGGACACTTGCTGGGGTTGAGCCACGGGTCAGTCTGTGGGAGTCCTAAGTGATATTAAAGAGGAAGTGCATCAGAGATTGGGGATCAAGGAAGACTATAAATCAGGGTATGTCGGGATCAGTGGTACCTTTCCAAGAGGCGAGGCTAAAACACTGCTACAAAGAAAAGCTCCTTTATTCTTGTCTCAGGTGGGAATGTTTCTGATAAGGCTCAATTCTCCAAGATACCAGTAACCGAGTTGATATCCTGACTCAAAATTTTAAACCATGTAACCTATATGTAGAAAGGCCAAGCCAATCCATGCAGGGTGAAACTATTCTCTTGGGCAGACAGAAGAGAGAGGCCATATCCTCTCACCATTAGGTTAACAGTACAGCCAATCTTCTTGTTCTCTGTTTCCTCTCCTTTCATGCAGTCCCTAGGAGAGAAAACACAGATTAGTGCTTGTGATATGAAGTGGTACTCCTGGAGCAATACAAAGAACAGTACTGATCAAATTTTAGATAAGATGCTCTCTAACAGAAAGTACCTCTATAGATGAGGATCATATTATGAGTGCTTTGGGAACTTTGTACCTATTCATTCCTGGGGCTCAAGGGTCTCCATTTTCATGTTTAATTTAATTTACTTGTTCTGGTGGCAGAGTGCAAAGCCCAGCTGATAAATCAGGGCATTAAGTTGTATCTAACAACATCCTTAGCACAGGAGAATGTGTCACTAAAGTATAAGGCAAAAAATAAAAATAAAAAATGAAGGCACAAAGTTCTTTTTAAAGGGCTTTTTTCTTTTTTTTTGTTGGTTGTGAGGCTTGAACTCTGGGCCTGGGCACTGTCCCTCAGGTCTTGAGCTCAAGGCAAGTGCTCTACCACTTGAGCCACAGTGCCACTTCCAGTTTTCTGGTGGTTATTGGAGATAAGAGTTTCAAGGATTTTCCTGCCCAGGCTCGCTTTGAACTGTGATCCTCAGATCTCAGCCTCCTGAGTAGCTAGGATTATAGGCATGAGCCACTGGAGCCCAGCTAAAGGGCATTTCATGGGAAACCATCGAGTAGTAGCTAAGACCCTCTACTCAAAGGCCCTAGCTTCAGAATCCTGTAGCCATAGCGACCATGGCACAGTTGATGGGCTGACCAAATAATTAGTATTTCTTAAAACCCTTTGGCATTTGTATATGATAAAGCATTATTGCTTGGAGGTAGGTTTCAAGTCTGTCCTTCCTATTTGCTCTTTTTCACCTTTTTCTTGGCTCCTAAAAGGCACCCTTAGCCACCACCTGAATGCTGCTGAGAATAATTAGAGCTTCTGTGGTTAATTCATTGTTAAACTTTTGGACAACTTCAAAAGCCATGACTGGAATGACAAGTATTCATGAAAAATTTTCTAATTCCACATGAGGTCTCAAACTGGAAAGACTTCCCACTAATGGACTGTTTCATCTAATCTGCTCATTTCGGGGGACAGAAATAGAATTTAAGCAAAGAATAAGTCATGAAAAATGGGTGACCAAAAGGTCCTCCCTGGTCATATTTTTGTATAGCTGACCCTACCTATCTGCCACATGGCTCTGACAAAGGTCTGCACTGAAGTATGACAGGTGCTTCCTGTCTTGTTCTAGAGATAGCTTTCTCTACTCTCTTGCCCATTCCTCTGAGCCTTAGCTATTACAGGTAGAAGATCTGATGATTATATGTCCCTGGGAGGCCTCCTGAGTGCATGTGTCCACGTCTTGGGCAGATCCTGGAAGCCTTGGTCTGCCCTTGAGGAAAGGCACTTTGTCCCTGATCATTGGCTGACTTCTAATGACTGGTAATAATATCTAGAACAGAACAGTTCTCTCTGTATGAAGGACATGATCTTTCTAGGCAGTCCATGCTAGCCTTGAACTCAAGATTCTCCTGCTTCAGCCTTCCCTATGCTGGGATTAGAGGCATATCTCATGTGGCCTGTTTTTTTGTTTGTTTGTTTTTGTCAATCGTAGGGCTTGAACTGTAGGCCTGTGTACTGTCCCTCAACTCTTCAGCTCATGGCTAACGCTCTACCACTTGAGCCACAGTACTACTTCCGGTTTTCTGGTGGTTCGTTGGATATAAGAGTCTCACGGACTTTCCTGCTCAAGCTGGCTTTGAACTGCGATTCTCAGATCTCAGCCTCTAAGTAGCTAGGATTACAGGCATGAGCCACCAGTGCCCGGCCATGTGCCTTGTTTCAAGGTCAATGGAATACCTTTGCAGGAGAGGTTATCATCCTAGTGAAGAGAGTGGTTAGGTTCCTGAAAAAAATTACCTGTAGTCAAGAAGGCGTTCCATGAGGCGGGTGACTGAGGTAACAAAGGAAATACCCGTCTCACGCCATGTTTCCTGTTCAACCTTCTCCAGCAGGCTATTGAAAAAGATGAAGCAAATACAATTCATAAGCTATTTCTGGGCACAAGAGTAAGATGTAAAAGCCCGTGGGGACTGTGATCAATCTGGAGACAGATTTGCCACACTGCATTCTTACCTGGGGTATGGCCCAAACAGCTGGGTTCTACTCCATGAAGCAGAAAGCAAAGACAAGGAGGTTATTGGACTGGAAGTAACAAATACATCTCCTGTTTCTCTATACAGGTCCCTAGGGATACCTCTGAGGTGGAGCCGTGTGTGATTCAAAGCCCCAACCTCTTCAGACATACACCTGGAAGTCTGTTTTCAAGGAACAATGGAGTAAGATAAGGGACAGGGGCTACAGAAGAACATGTCTGGCTTTGCCAATTGCCTAACTGCCTCTATGGCCCAGAGGCAGCTTCAGCGAACAGTCAAACCAAGCTCTTCATGTAAATCAAGGGAAGGTTGTCACCAGCCTCTGTTGCATAGCATGAGGGACAGAGAGCAAGTCGAGGAGCTACACTCAGCCAAACACACTCTCAAGGGATAGTGCCAAACAAACCAGCACAATGCCATTTTTTTTTTTATTTTAATGTGCCAGTCACATGCTCCTGTCACCTTGGAGCAAGTCTCTGGCTTCATCATAAAACCTGGCTTTTGAGGTCTTTTGGTCTCTTCAAGGGGATGATGACCTATTTCTGCTTGCTCTGATAATGAGCTCAGGTCCAGGTCTCACTCCACAAACTACTCCCTAATTCCATTCCACACTGCTTCTTGCTCTCTAAAGTTGAGAGTGGCCTAGAGTGACTGGCCCAACTGGAGGCAATCACTGAGGAGTCAAACATAAGGCTGATACTAATACTTTTTCTGTGACATTCATTTCCTTGCAGACCATACACTACGGTCAAAGTTTCAGGGGAAATGAGGTTTTCCCATGGGATCTAGTTTGCTGGGGAGAGAAGGAATGACCATCAACTCCGGTCTCTAACCTGCACAGAAGAGGCCATTGTACTAGCATGTCTTTTTTTTTTGGTCGATCGTGGGGCTTGAACTCTGGGCCTGGACGCTGTCCCTCAGCTCTTCAGCTCAAGGCAAGCGCTCTACCACTTGAGCTACAGCGCCACTTCCGGTTTTCTGGTGGTTTATTGGAGATAGGAGTCTCACGGTCTTTCCTGCCCAGGCTGGCTTTGAACCGTGATCCTCAGATCTCAGCCTCCTGAGTAGCTAGGACTACAGGCGTGAGCCACCAGCGCCCCGCTTGTACTAGCATGTCTTAAGCTGATCTATAGAGTTCTTTGGTCCTGGATGACAGTGAGCATGGGAAATGCTGGTCACTCTCTTGTTTTGCAGTGTTTTTATACCGTTTTGCATGTTAAGGGCTATGAGAAGTCCTTTAATACAGCAGCTTGTTCAATTTTGTGTTTTTTTGTTTTTTTTTTTGTCGGTCATGGGCCTTGAACTCTGGGCCTGAGCGCTGTCCCTCAGCTCTTCAGCTCAAGGCTAGTGCTCTACCACTTGAGCTACAGTGCCACTTCTGCTTGTTCAATTTTGTTTAACTCAGTCTTTTCTAATCTAATTTAATTAGCCCAGGATTCTTTTTCAGTGTTTCTATAAATGTCTTCTGAAGATATAAATTGGAAAATGTCAGTGGTCTTCAATTCTCAGGATGACTTTAAAAGGGTTTATAGGGCTAGAGGCATGGTTCAAGTGGTGGAGTACCTGCCTAGCAAATGGGAAGCCCTGAGTTCAAGCTCCAGCACCACATACACAAAAGGTGTTGCAAATAGTATTTGTTCATATAATTAGTAATTGTGGGTTCTTTTTCTTGTTTGTTTTTTTGGTTGGTCGCAGGGCTTGAACTCTGGGCCTGGGTGCTGTCCCTCAGCTCTTCAGCTCAAGGCACCACTTCTGGTTTTCTGAGTGGTTCATTGTAGATAAGAGTTTCACGGATTTTCTTGCCCGGCTGGCTTTGACCTGTGATCCTCAGATCTTAGCCTCCGGGGAATAGCTAGGATTACAGGCGTGAGCCACCACACCCAGCATGGGTTCTTTTTTTTAAAAATAAGTTTTCCTTTGTAATGAAGTTATTTACTTATTCCTTATTTCTATAATTAGAATCATCTTCAGTGAAAAGAAACACTAAAGGATGGACTCATTTTCATAAATTATAATTATTTTAAATGTCAAAAATTCATTAAGTAAATATTTAAAAGTAAGATAAATTAATAATTTTCCTCTTGAAACTAGACGATCTGGGCCATCCTTTCAGAGGAGTTACCTTTTATTGGCCAGGTAACTGATGGCTTGCAAGCACTTCCTTGAGCCCCGGCTAAAGTGGGAAGGATGATATCTTTACTCTGCTCCCCTTACAGGTATGTTCTAAGCTAACACTCAGTATTTGTACTGAAAAAATAGAGATTTGTCTTCAGAATGGAATTCAAACAGAAAACAACATCAATGCTGGAAATAAGGATACTCTGGAACTTGAGATTTCATTTTTAGAGCTTGAGCTTGCATTTTTAGAAAGATAAAAGAGCAACATGGGAGGCCACAGTTTCTCTAAGGCCCTCTTTTGGACTCAAGCCTTACAAGACCTGCCTCAAGGCTGTTACCTTCCATCAACTCAAGAAGGAAACCACAAAACGGTGGTCCGAGGGGAACCCTGACATCATCTAATACTATTTCATTTCACAGAATAGAAAATGGCTTGTCGAGACAGTGTAAATAATTGAAAAGCCCACTGTAGTATTTTCTAAGCTGATTACAATGTCTTGCAAAGCAGGACAAACAGGAGCCCCTCTTTTAGAGGAGAATTCCAATCCTTTAAATGTCAGTATGGAGCAGTAACCTAAGTCTCCATGAGTGATTGGCCTAAGTGGATGCATTGCCTGTGGTAAAGATAAACAATGAGCCTCTTCCTGTCAACTAGCTGAGATATTTTCTCTTCTTAGGCAACTATGGCCATACCCTGAAAGAGCCTGCTTTCTTGATAGAAAGCAGCAACACTGCTACTACCAAGTGCTAGGTCTCTTCTCATACCCAACCTCTGACACCTGCCTAGCACAGACAGGCTTTGAACCTTCATTGGCCCATTTTGCCTACTCCCCAGATTTGGGATTCCTGGGACTGGGGCAGCTTACAGCAGGCCGAAGAGCTCCCTGTAGCTCTCATCACCTTTCCCTTCTGAAACCATGCTGTCCAGCTTGTCAATCAGCTCCGCCTCCACCTAGAAGAAAACAGACTTCATAAACACAAACTGAACTCAGAAAAAGAATGAGAAATCTCTAGTGTCTTTGCTGGGTAAAGATCATGGGAAACTTTTTTACATTTTATTCTTGCTCCAAATTAATTCTAAGGAAAAAAATTAATTCTAAAAAAAATTCTAAGATCTTTGCAGCACCAAGAAACCACCACCTGTCTCTAATTAGCAAGGCCTCCCACCCTAATGGTTTAAATAGGACACAGGACTTAAAATTTTAAGGTACTCTTTAAGGTACTAAGTGCCGATGCTTCTATCATTTGAGGAATGCCTCCAGGCTCTTTTTCCATTTCTTTTTTTCCTCCAAGGTAGGGACTCACTTTATGCCCAAGCCAGCCTGGGCTTTCAATTCTCCTGTTTATGCTTCCCCACATCACTGTGTATGCCAGGAACATGCCACTGTGTTCAGATATTGTGCTTCCTGTAGATGGCATAACAGGCATGTGCCAACATGCCCAGCCACTGGTTGAGATGAAGTCTCACAAACTTTTTGCCTGGGTTGGTCTCAAACTTTGATCCTTTCATGTTCTACCCAAGCAACTAGGATTGCAGGCTTGAACCACTGTACCTGGCTTACAAAAGCCTCTCAATTTGATAGAATCTTTCAATTATTGTTCTTCTTTCCTAGGTTACTAGAGTCTTATTTTGGATGCCTTCATCTTGAAGTATTTCTCCTATGTTTTCCTCAATACTTTTCAAGTTTCAGGTCTTACATGTTAGGTCTCTGATCCATTCACAGTTAATTTTTATACAGAGTAGGATCATACACAGGATATCCAGTTTTCCTTCTTATATGCATGTTTTTGTTTTCATTTTCAAGAATCAGATAGCTGTAGCTGCTCAGACCAGCAAAGACAAATTCTCATCTCAAAGCAGAACAAATCAAAGTGGACACTTCATGCTGCTACCAAATTATTTCTTTTCTAAGCTAAGACTAACCTCCCTAACAATGGTCTGTATTGATCCTAGTACTATTCCCTGGAGCTACAGACATAAAGGCAGGAATCATCTCTACCACTTCAGTGGTGGCAGAAGAATTGCACAAGGGGAAAGCATAAAGCGCTCAGTCAGAACTGTCTCCTAGATCCACAGACTGGGAAATCTTGGACTACTTTACCTGGTCTGGCTCCAGCCTTAGAAATGCCTGCACTAGGTGAGAGGGGACATGAAAAAGAGTAATAGGGGCAAATTTGATCAAAGTACATTGTATGCATGGGTGGAAATACCACAATGATACTCCTTTGTACAATTAATATACACTAATAAAAAAGAGGAAAAAAGAAAAAAAAATAAATTGCCAACTTACTTTTCTTAAAAAAAAAAAAGTCAGGACCATACAGTGGAGGAAGGTAACATGCTCCCAGGGCCATCTCCTGAGTGAAACCAGGCTTTGTTATTCTTTACTTCACCAAAAGTTCCTTTCATGTGATGTTAGTCCCTTTCCTCTGATTCTGTCTCTCTCTGTCTCTCTCTCTCTGTATGTGTGTGTGTGTTTGAGGTAGTTCTGGGGTGTGAACTCAGAATCTTGTGCTTGCTAGGGAAGTGCTCTAACACTTTGAGCCATGCCCCAGACATTTTTGTATAATTTTCACATTTATGTTCAAGCTGGTATGGACCTCAATCCTCCAATATACACATCCCATTTAGCTGGAATGACACCCATGCACCACCATGCCCAGCTTTTATTGGTTAAGACAGTGGTCTTACTTTTTGCCTAGGCTGGTCTCAAATAGTGATCCTCCCAATCTTAGCTTCCCCAGTAACTAGGATTACAAGTGTGATCCAGCATCCTGGATTTTCTCTAATTTTTTTCTTGCTTCTAACTTCATGAAGATAAATCAACAAATCAATTATGGCCAGCAAGTAAGAGAAAACCCTTGAACAAAGTTCAATGACCACAGTACAGCCCATCATCACTGGAACCACACCTAACCATTTGGGCCACCTGCCTGAGAAGAATGGGTCCATAACATCCTGAATAACATCCTGAACACAGCCAGGTGTCCTTTTACCTGTTTGAAGTTGCCATTTTTCCTCTGCTCCCAGTCCATCATGTCATGAAAGATGGGGATCATAATATTCCGCACTTCTGGCTGAGGGACCAGAGTTACCCCCAAGAAAGGACCAATCATTCCGGGAATAAAGTGGATCTTATGTTCACCTGTACCAAAAAATCAAACAGGTATCAGTGCATGTCTGCACTAATCTTCCATGGAAGATTTCCAGGTGGGCCACAGCACATGGTATGATTTATTCCGGAGCTGGAAATATAGCTTAGTGGTATAGTGTTTGCCTACCACAGCTGTGGGTTTGATCATTATCTCTGAGTTTCAGCACTGAACAAAATCCCTGCACCCTCAACATTGCTAGCTTATTCGTGAAACTTCTAAGAGTAAAGTCAGCTCTCTTCTGCTGTTTTCTGAGGTACTCCTCAGCTTTTTAGAATTCATGGGTAAAACTAGTCTGGCCAAGTTAAAGCAGATGTTCAACGTTTATGAAATTGTTTTTCCAAATAATCTGGAAAATTCCATAAACCACCTAAAAATCTCTAAATTCAAGAAACACTGTTTGCTATTCTATACAGAATAAGATTTCTGAGGAACATGCACTAAGTTTCAGATGGTCTATTTATTTACAGCATTTATTGAGCAAGGAAAATCCATATATTTCTGCTTAAATACAGTATTATTTTCTCTAGAGATTCTACGTCTAGCTTTGAGAAATTTAATTGATAAGACTATCTAGACCCTGGTTCAGTCTACCAGGTACATCTGATATACATCTTAAGTATGTATATACACATATACATTCAGGTATAACATCTGAAGTATGTGGGCCTCTTCAATGCCTGTGCTCATGTGTATCAAAAAAAATCTTTCTTTCTGATGTGCCAAGAACCTATGGCACAGTCTTACCCAGACTGGCTAGCTTGGAGTATCTCTGTCTACCCCTAACTCTGCCTGTCTTCATATTATATTTCTGATAGTGACACTACATATATTAAGATTGCATCAGTTAATCCTCCAACTTCTTTTATAAGGCTTTCCCATGGAAAGTGAGTGATGTGGGTTCTACTCTAATTGGCCTATCATCTGGCTAGAGTACGACAGCCCTCAAGAACCATGGGACAATATTTCTTATTGCAATCATGAGGCAGAGAGAACCAGCATTAGAGCTCTGCTTTAGTCACTTTAGAGACTAAGGAAGGGGCTGGGAAGGTGGCTCAGTGGTAGAGTGCTTATGTTGCATGCATAAGGTCCTGGGTTTGATTCCTCAGCACCACATAAGCAGGAAAAGCTGGAAGTGGTGCTGTGGCTCAAACGGTAGAGTGCTAGCCTTGAGCTGAAGAGCTGATGGACAGCACCCAGGCCCACAGTTCAGGCCCCACGACAGACAAAAAAAAAAAAAAAAAAAGAGAGAGAGAGACTAAGGAGAAGATAAACTGTGGCTGGGCACTGGTGTCTCACGCCTGTCATCCTAGCTACTCAGGAGGCTGAGATCTGAGGATCACAGTTCAAAGCCAGCCCGGGCAGCAGACTCAAAAAAAAAAAAAAGATAAACTGTGGACCAGTGCAGTAATTGCTACAGCCAAATAAAATCAATTCTTAGGAATTAGATAGTTCCATTGAAAGCAGTTAAGTCAATAATGACTTCATAGAGGCAAATCTAGTGTTTTTATTTCATCCCTTTTGAAAACCCATTTCAGATAGAAATAGCATATTTCACATGAAACAGTAACATCTTCTCTTGCTTCTTGACAGAGTGTTCAGATACCTATAGTATCATGGGCTGGCCCATATCAGTTTTTTTTTTTGGTCAGTCGTGGGGATTGAACTCTGGGCTTGGGCGCTGTCCCTGTGCTCTTCAGCTCAAGGCGAGCACTCTACCACTTGAGCCACAGTGCCACTTCCAGTTTTCCAGTGGTTTATTGGAGATAAAGAGTCTCACGGACTTTCCTGCCCAGGCTGGCTTGGAACCGCGATCCTCAGATCTCAGCCTCCTGAGTAGCTCAGACTACCTGTGTGAGCCACCACAGCGGGCTATCAGTTTGACATAAGTATGTTAGCCATTAAGGCAACTTAAGGATTCTACTGGACGCACTGATCTGACAAGTTTTTCTTTTGTGCCTGTCCTGGGGCTTCAACTCTGAGCCTGGTGCTGTCCCTGAGTTTTTGTGCTGAAGGCTAGTGCTCTTCTACTTGAGTCACAACTCTACTTCTGGCCTTTTGATAGCTAATTGGAGACAAGAGCCTCATGGACTTTCCTGCCTGGGCTAGCTTCAAACTCTGAACTTCAGATCTCAGCCTCTTGAGTAACTAGTATTATAGGCATGAGCCACAAGTGCCTGACAACTTTAATCTGGCAACTTTAGATCCAAAGTGGTGGCTATTTTAGAAGATGTGGAAAGGGGGAAAATCAAAATCAATCTTATCCTTAGGTTGTAACCCCCTTCTTACATGTTCCTTCATGCAATTAGTGTCGAGTAGATGATGTGGATATATGAATACCAGAGATCCAAGAAGTATTTCAACCTCTACTAAAGTTCATAGCAGTCATTGTTCATGTGTTAGGTATCGTCACAATACACTTTTAAGCCTGTAGCATCTAGACTTGGACATGAAAAACAGAGTATCTTGTAAGCCTGGATTCTCAAACTGGAAAAAATGTACTGGATCCTTCTTTTTTTTCCTTTGATTTTAGTTCTCCAAACAGAGACTGTACATATGTAGTACTGGGGTATTATCTCTCAGCCAAACACTCTCTGCCAAGAGCTTTATGCACATGTGCTACATCATCCATCTGAGGTGTTATGTTAAAAGTTATATAAGGATTTTGAAGACTGAATTAACTTAAGTGGAAGTTATTAGTCTTTTTTTTTTTTTAACTCTGCAGTATGTGGGAGAGAGCAATAGGGAGAAAAGACGTACCCAAATTCTGCCACATGCTGAACAGTTCATAAGCCATCATCACACGCATGTCCCCATACCTAGGAATAGTGACACAGGAGTCAATTGTTAGTGGAAGAAAGTTCAGAAAGACAGGCCAATAGGGCCAATACTTGAGCACTAGTTGTTTCTAATGCATCTCAAAATATTAAACTATTTGGCTATCGAATGAATTTCTCACATTGGAAAACTAACACCCATGAGAACCTTGTAAACTTCTGAAGGATCTTGTCATGGAAAAGTAGTCCCATATGGCCAAGTGACAGGAAGATGAACAGGAGACGTCTGACTTACTTATCTAGAATCTTCTTCCTCTTGGCTGGGGTGATGATTTCTAGCTGAAGGCTTGGCTGATTTATGAACAGAACTGCCAGGCTAAAGTAAGAATTCCACACCTAGAGAGACAAAAGAAAGAATAATCATGTGACAGCCTAAGTCTTTAACCTTGTGAGGAGAGTTATTAAATACATCCATGTAGCACAGATTCTGTTTTATAACCTTAAGATCCTAATTTGCTTTCCCTTTTAAGTATCTTTGCAAACAGGGCTTTGATCTTTTTTTCTTTCTTGACTCCTTCAGAAGCCAAGAGTGTTGGATCTGAACTAGAAAGCATACTCATAAATGTCTAGCTCTCAACACTTCAACAAGGGAGGCTCCTAGGTCATATTCTAATTACTATCAGTGCAGAAGCTATTTGATACTAAGAATATATTAGTGAAGCAAAAAGCAATGAGCATTTTTTAACTTGCTAAGGGGTATCATAGTATTGATGGATTTTGTGAGCTCCTACCTTGAAGTCAAAATCTGTCTCTGTGAAATTCTTGTGTAGTGCAGAAGACAGGTACTGGACAGTAGTGACTATAATACTGAAACAAGTCAACAAAGCATTGGCAAAATTAAAAGACTAAATAATGGCATCTGATTGCTTAGCATCTATGGATTGTCAGCAAAATACCAAGACAACTTGCTCCTATGTGAGACGTGACTATAAAGGACAGAGAAGATAGTATACATTCCACAGAAAACCAGTCTTGGAGAAATGCTCCATAGTAAAATAGCATAGGATTTCAGTGTGTCTTTTATACTACTTCTCCTTGGACTATTAAATTCATTATTATTTCTTCTACCTCAAAGATTAATTTCTAATATTTTGGGACCTGTGGATAATCAATACAGATTGTAGGATTTGGGGCATACAAAATTTTATTATTTTACTTGATAACAGGATCTTAACTTCCTTTGCCATATAACTAGCATTTTTATCTATAAGTCATTTGACTTTAGGCTTTGGTCTAGATTATTCCTCCTAATCTTACCCCTGACATATATAAAAGGCAATGGAGGACTACTCTGATGTAATTGAGATCATTGGTTGGAGTAGAAAAGAAAGTGGTATGCACATTGAGGGTTTGATTGCAAAGGGCCTTGGCTAAACAGTCTGAAAAAGGGCTACCTGAGCTTTAGTGCAGAAAAGGGACAAAGTAAAGACAGTGCATTAGAGAGACTAGACCACTAGCAGAGGGGTGACAAAATTTAAAGGTAAAAGCTTTGAAAGAGGCTTTTCCTAAAGGACTATGAGTGGAAGCCTAAAGTGCTATGAGTGGAAGTAGAAACAGAGATAAAGAATTCAGAAGGAAAAAATCTAGTATTTGAGCAAGTATCCGTACAACTATGTAGACACTCTTTTTTTTTGGGGGGGGGAGGGGGTCTGGTCGTGGGGCCTGAACTCTGGGCCTGGTCACTGTCCCTTAGCTCTTCAGCTCAAGGCCAGCGCTCTACCACTTGAGCCACAGTGCCACTTCCAGCTTTTTTCTTTTTGCTTATGTGGTGCTGAGGAATCGAACCCAGGGCCTCAGGCATGCAAGGCAAGCGCTCTACCACTGAGCCACCTTCCCAGCCCTAAGTAGGCATTCTTTTGTTATGTTCTAGACAAAACACTTGTTGTAGTTTTTTGAGGGGAAAGTGCTCTACAAAAGGTACCAAGTGGAAATATCATGCTGGTTTGCTAATATATCTAATGTAAGTAATTTTACTACATTCTGTGTAATGCCAACATAAAATAAGGGTCAGTGGGAGCAGGCAGTAGTAGTCTAAAGAGTGGAAGCCAAGTAGCTTTGAGGTGAGAAATAAAATAAGCCAGCTCCTTACCACATACATCACTCATCTGGTTTGTCAAGAGGAAGCACAGGCTAGGAATATGAATGGGCATAGATACATTAAGGATAGTGTCCAGGTCTTTGCAGTCAGCTCTCAGGTGAGTATTAGCATTAGTCATTGGAAACAAGCACTGTCTGGCAAACAACTCAAATTGAGAGCTTAGGAAACTGTCCAAAGTTATAGAAGAATAAAGGTCACTAGTTCCTGTAGAAGCCTTCTTCTAGCAAGAACCCTTTCTTGGGTGTATTTTATACCCTTTACATTTGATTTTTTTCTATTTTCACTATACAAAATATCTACCAGGCATTTCGGCTCCATTTGTAAAACAACAAAAAACTTTATCCTTTTCTTATCTTTAGAGTCAATGGCCAATGGTCAAGTCTTACTGAATATACCTCTAAATATCTTTTTTCCTTTTGCCAAATCCTCTTTCTTTCTGGTCTTTGCCTTTATCCTTTTCTTGGTTTTTCTCATATATAATCTTCTTAATCTGCCATTATAGGGACCTTCTTTACTCACTTGCTAGTAAGCAGCCGCATTACCATCCAGTCCCGAGGGAAGACACTCATCTTCATCAGGTTTCGGAATACACAGAAAATCTTCAGCAAGAATTCCTGACCACAAGGGAAAGAGAATCTTGAAATCAACATGATAAACTTCATCATGGTAGACAGCATGCCTAGTATGTATGAGGCCTTTGGGTTCAATCTCCCATACTATCAAAACCAAAAACCAAAAACCCCAAACCCAAATCCCACCAAAACAAAACAGGACAACAAACCAAACCAAACCAAAACAACCAAATACCTCATGTATAGATGTTTTCAGCAAGATTAACAGGTACTGCCTGTTCAGTGGTACTGCCACTGAAAGGATATTTGGAAAAGAGATTTCTTTAATAGAAGAGGGGAATTTTCCAAGCCCACTGACTTCCCAGAAACTCTGAATAGGATGAAATTAATTTTTAAGTAATCTATGAAAGAGGTATACAAGTAGCAGGCCATATGAAGATTTATTTAATGTAGAAGACAAGGCAGGATTCAAGGAAGGAGGGCAAATTAGCTGGCTGGGATGTTAAAGGTAAGAGCATAAGGTGCAATGGGAGGTATTCATCCAGGATATTTAGATCCAAATTGGGCAGGAGTTCTAGTTCAAAACTGGCTATCTTGATGTATGGTTACCTAGCAACTGCCCAATTATCTTGTTTTAACATTATCACTCAAGCTCAGAAACACAGGGCCTGGCTTGGCCTTATAATTAAAAGAAATTCTGTTCTTCATGGCCCCTTTTTAAAGGCATTCTTCCTAGGTAACAGACTTACAAAAAAACAGGAATTTTCTATTCCCAGACCTAATTACCCCTCTGGGGTGGTGTTTCTCATTTGACACCTAAAAGAGAAGGGAGGATAATGAAAAGAATGCACATGTCTGTACATTCTTGAATAGTTGATTCAATATACTGTGGTTCTAGTGATTTTTCAGCCTTATTTCCTGCTTCTGTCTCAGCTCCTGAACCTAGTTTAATTTTTTTATGTATTTTCTAACTTCTTTATCATCTTGCCCTAGCTATCTTGTCTCATTATCAGCAGACATAATGGTGGCCAGAAGGCAGATATAATCAGAGTGCTAAAAGAAGACTGTCAATCAAGAATGCTGTATCTATTAAAACTGTTATTCCAAAAAAAAAAAAAAAAGAAGAAGAAGAAATTAACACCTTCCCAGATAAACAAAACCCTGTAAAAAAGACTCCAAGGAGTTCCTTAAATTATAATAAAAGAACAATAACTTGAATAAGAAATAAGAATGCACATGAAAGTGTTTTGAGAAACTGTAATTTGTATGACAATCATAACACAAAGGGAAATACTAGAGAATTATACTTGAGCAAAGTTTATATAAATTATTCCATTTGAACTTCAATTAATTCAAACCAGATAGTTTTTTTGTTTTTGTTTTTGGTCCGGTTGTAGGGCCTGAACTCTGGGCCTAGGCACTGTCCCTCAGCTCTTCAGCTCTACCACTTGAGCCACAGCACCACTTCCAGCATTTTTCTTTTTGCTTATGTAGTGCTGAGGAATCAAACCCAGGACCTCATGCTTGCAAGGCAAGCGCTTTACCACTGAGCCACCTTCCCAGCCCATAGTTTTAAGATTAAAGGCATGGTTTTTGTTAGTTTGGGGGGGGGGGGGGGGTTTGTTGTTGTTATTGTTGTTGTTGTTTTTGGTGCCAGACCTAGGGCTTGAATTCAGGGCCTGTGCTCAAGGCTAGTACTCTACCACTTTGGGCTACAGCCCTACTTCTGGTTTTCTGGTGGTTAATTGGGAGACAAGAGTCTCATAGACTTTCCTGCCTAGGCTGGCACTGAACTATCATCCTCAAATCTCAGCCTCGTGAGTAGCTAGGATTATAGGTGTGAGCCACCAGTGCCCAGCCTCAGAAATATATTTAAATCAAGACAAGTTGTCAGAATTATTACTATTGGTTTTTTTTTTTTGGTCAGTCGTGGGGCTTGAACTCTGGGCCTGGGCGCTGTCCCTCAGCTCTTCAGCTCAAGGGGAGCACTCTACCACTTGAGCTACAACGCCACTTTACTATTGTTATTTAAATAACCAAACCCTGGTTTGCCAAAGTCCCAAGCAAGGAAGGAATACTGACTAATCAAACCAATATGTCCCAGAGTAGTCCCAAATACAGGCATATAATTGCAGGGCTGCTAGCTGTCAGAGAAAATGTGCCAATTTTCTGGGATCTGCTTGTGTAGGGAAATGGCTGGCTTTTAGCTTCTGGAGGCCACATACTCATTCAGCTATAAACTGGAGCTGGCGAATCCTACATTCTTGGCAGTTGAAGGTCACATGAACGCATTTCCCTGATAGGGAAGAAAGAGCCTGTGGCAGTCTTGGCTGTACACTTCTTTTCCTGGGAGAAAAGCTAATGCTTTGTTCCTACCTTGAGTTCATCTTTGCTCTGGAAGTTGTCCAGAAGGTGTTGGTAATGAGTATCACACATCTGACGAAGCAATGAGAGTAGGCAGGATACATATTCACCCTGGGGAACAACCCAAAAAAAGACAGTGTAGCTAATCATCAAGGTTCCATTGCCACAGTACACAGAGGGCAAGGAGAGAAGGGAGGGTTTGAAATGGCCCCCAATGATCATGGAAGAAAGGTGACAACTCTGGCTCTGAAAATGAACTTTCTTTTCTGGAGAATTTCAGAGGTTTAGTAAGGTCTTCTGCACCCTGGGGCTACTGAAAAGCCTTCACTTACAACAAAGCAGTTTTAGACCTTCTGCAGGGACCCCCTAGGTTGCCTCCTGGAGTTTGCACATGGGAAACTGCAGTTGACAAATGGAACAGAGCAGATCACCACAGTTGAAAAGCAAAGGTTCCAAATTGACTATTCAGCGGGGACAAGCTATGATCTTTAAGGCAAATAGGGTCTTTAAGGATATTTGTGTCTCTTAAATTTCTCCAAGTTGCTAATTTGGGGTACATGGAACAAACCTTGCTTTAAGGACTCCAAAGATGATCTTACAGCAATTTTTAAATGGTCAGCCAAGTGTGGCTTCCTCCTAGCAGGCTGCCTTCTCAGGAGGAAAGGAGAAAAAAGTACTTCACTTGGAGGATTTTTAAATCCTCCCAAATTCATGAGAATCAGACAATTTTTTTTAGTCTCTCAAACCTTTTTAAAACCCTAAAATCTCTACGCATATATGTATGCAGATTATGTACATGTATATGAACTTCAGTTATATCTGATAATTGGGCATAAGAAGCCATAACTCATTTGTGAGGAACAGATTGGGTTAACCCAATAAATTATAATTATTATTATCTTCGTTATAACTTAAAAGTGAATCACGTCATTAGTAATTGTTCAAATACTTAAACCAGGTATTCAGTAAGCACTGCATTAAGTGCTGGTTAGATAGGTGGGTTACCAGGACATGTAGGGTACATGTTTTTACCTACAGCAAGAGTGCTTCCAACAGGGATTAAAAGAGCACTCTTTCCAAGCCCAATGCTCCACAACACATGCCTGATCCAGGCACTCTATTTGTTCTCCCTATTATGACTGGAGCTTGGCTCGCTCCCATAGAGGGTTTTCTTCAAAGAGAGCTCTGTAATATCTCATCTGCCAACGGAAAGATTTCACACAAATTGTTTATCATGTTACCATATCAGGGTTGAGAAATCTCCTCTAGGTATGGTGAAGGCAGGGATCCATGGCGTTATCTCTATCCCTTCTGAGAGAGGCCTTTTCAGGTTATCTCTTTCCTGATTAGATCATACAGAATCATCATTTATACAGTCATCATTGCTTCAACTGCAATGCCTAAGTAATTCTATCTCATTACATTTTTCCTGGTACTATAAATTTAGATACAAACACTATGGATAAAAACAACTAGTTTGTAGGTACAAGAAAATTCTGAGAAAATTATTCTCTCCTTCAAATCATTTAGGAGAATCTGTATAAGGGGATTCCTAGAAGGAATATCTACTTGCCACCTTCAACCTCTTACTACATCTATTTCCTTGCTTCATTACAATTCATAGAAAGTGACTTGGCTTAACAGCCAAAAAAAAACCAACAAACTGAGAAGAAAAACAAGATTAAAAAGAATTCTCTGAATCTGCCCTACAGTAGACTCCTAGAAGTATTTTTGAAGCATGAAATGAGAGCTTTCAGAGTAAAGTGGGAAGTCAGATTCAGGAAGAGGGTAGCATGCTGACTACCATGCAGGAGGCAGGCTGAGATAAAGGTGGTGGGATGGTGAGAGGTGAGTAATATGGAGGAGCCCCAGGTTAGAGAAAAAAAGAAGAAAACCTGAATGTTAGTTACTAACAGTGATCTCGGCTGTGCACTGCGGGCACCGCTGCCCTCTTACCGCCTCCTGAGCGTGCGATTTACTCATGATGGTGAGTAGAGTCTGCAAGAGCACGTCCAGGAGGCTCTCCACCATCATCTCTACCTCTTCTATGACATCTGCTTCCTGGAGTGAGCAGTGAGAGAGTATACTGTTAAAGCACCAGGCCAAATGGATGCTTTTGCCTGCAGTACTAAGTCAGCCATGTCAGGAACAGTTTTCTGGCTGGACTTTCAATACTGAGCTTTCAGCCTCACCAATGTGCATGAAAGGAACTCAGAATAAGGGCTGTGAGGAGGCAAAATACATCTGCCATTGTTGCCCTGGCCTGGTGGTGGGGTTCGCCCTTACCACACTAGCCAAAATTCTTAATCTTAGACAGACAAGTTAATTTTAACATATAAGACATAAGTGAATGTCCTGAGTTAAAAGATTTTCTCCGACTTCCCCAGTATAGTCAAGAGAAAGCATAACCCTGCTGACTAACACTTCAAGAACAGACAGTTTGACAAATGGTAAAGTGACATCCTAGAGTGTGGCAGCAGCTCTTTTGCTAGTAATGCACATAGCAGTGCACATTTCATCCCGAGGTTTCCTCTTTGGCTGCTCTCAATCTTGCAAGCCCTGACTGCTGTCTAATTATACTTAGGTGCCATTTCTACCTCTTCAGCTCTCTTGGTCTTGCTCCTGGTCCATCTGAAGGACTCTAGTCTCAATCTATCATTCCTTGGCAGCCTCACAGAAATAACAGAACATGTCTTCTCACTACAATCTGTCTCCTGGCCATCAAACTTTTGGAAGAATCTGTTTCCCTTTTATAGACTTCTCACATTCATTTCAGACTCTAGTCTTGATCTAAAATATCTCCCAAAGAGTTTCCCATTGCTTTTTCTCCAAGATCTTTATACTACTACTGGTCCTAATGTTCATCCACCTATCAGTTACTAAACTTTTACCTTGGGCCAGTCACTGAGAACCTGAATACAGAAAACTGAACATGTAACTTAAATTTCATCTTTTATCCATCCATCCATCCAGTGTAAGTATACTTTTCCCCATTCCACATGAGAAATCTGAATGACTCTTTTGGGGCTTAAATAATTTTTCCTGTCCATCAAAGTCAATGTAATACTCTTTCCTGTGACCAATCTTTAAGCAGTTGTAGGCAATTATACTCAACTCTCTGTCCTCTTAAAATACAACTAAAAATACCATGTCCTTCAAGTTTTCATCGGTTCCATGTTTTTCTTTCTCTTGCTCTCTCTCTCTCTTTGCTTCAATTTATGCCCCTCTTTTAGCAATAAGCTTCCCTGAGAGACAACCTTGGGTTACTAGTAAACCTTATCTCTTGTCTGACTTCTCTGAAGATTGGTGAGGAGGGCTGCCAAGTCTTGTCTGTAACCAAGAGCAAACAATGGGGTTACTTCAACCATCAAGAAGTTAGGTACTTGTGGCCAGATGGTACTTTAACTTTAAACCTCAGAAATCCATACTGGATTCTTTTTTTTGCTTTGTTTTGTTTTGTTTGCCAGTCCTGGGGCTTGAACTCAGGGCTTGGACACTGTCCCTGAGCTTCTTTTGCTCAAGGCTAGTGCTCTACCACTTGTGCCACTTCCAGCTTTTTCTGTTTATGTGGTACTGGGAAATCAAACCCAGGGCTTCATGTGTCCTAGGCAAGCACTCTATCACTAAGCCACATTCCCAGCTCTGGATTCCTTCTTCTTCTTCTTTTTTTTGTCCATTGTGGGGCTTGAACTCTGGGCCTGGGGACTATCCCTGAGCTTTTAAGCTCAAGGTGAGTGCTCTACCACTTGAGCTACAGCGCCACTTCTGGTTTTCTGATAATTGGAGAAAGGAGTCTCAAGGACTTTCCTGCCCAGGCTGGCTTTGAACCTTGATCCTCAGATCTCAGCCTCCTGAGTAGCTAGGATTAAAGGTGTGAGCCACCAGCGCCTAGCTGGATTCTTTTTTTTTTTTTTTTTTGGTCCGGTCATGGGGTCTGAATTCTGGGCCTGGGCGCTGTCCTTCAGCTCTTCAGCTCAAGGCTAGCGCTCTACCACTTGAGCCACAGTGCCACTTCCGGCTTTTTTCTTTTTGCTTATGTGGTGCTAAGGAATCGAACCCAGGGCCTCATGCATGCAAGGCAAGCGCTCTACCACTGAGCCACCTTCCGAGCCCCTGGATTCTTTTTTTTTTAAGTGCCTCTCTTGCTCCACCGGAATAACCTAGCTTAATATGCTTGATCCTTGGCCTTCATTTTAAATGCACTAAAATTTATTCTCTTGGAATCTTAATTTTTAAAATAGTATAATAAATCCCATCCTGTTCTTCATTCTTTTTATGTGCTCTGAATCTTCTGTAAGTGTATTTTTTTTTTTGGGTCGGTCATGGGGCTTGAACTCTGGGCCTGGGCGCTGTCCCTCAGCTCTTCAGCTCAAGGTAAGCGCTCTACCACTTGAGCTACAGCGCCACTTCCGGTTTTCTGGTGGTTTATTGGAGATAGGAGTCTCACGGTCTCTCCTGCCCAGGCTGGCTTTGAACTGCGATCCTCAGATCTCAGCCTCCTGAGTAGCTAGGATTACAGGCGTGAGCCACCAGCGCCCGGCTTGTAAGTGTATTTTTTTATTATCAAAATTATATGAAATAGAGAATACAAAATAAGTTTCTACTCATCTGTGTCTTTTTTTTTCTTTGTTCCCTACTTTAATCCCTCCCCTTCTACCACATATTTCTTTTAAAAGGAAAAAAAAAAAAGGCAACAATTTTGTTGATTGAAACCTGATTTCTTTCATTTAATAGGGCTCAGAGCTTTTGTGGGCAACATTACTTTTTATATATCTAATCTCATCTGGCATGGGGTAGAAATACCTTATGGGTGAAATCAAGCTGTTGGAAAGTTCAAACAAAAGTATGATGAGAAAGCTATCCTTTAGTCTATGCTCTTAAAATACCTAGTATTCTAAGAAAACTTCTAGAAATCCAGACTAGCTTTTGACAGAAACTATGGGTGGCACAAGACTGGGCTTTTAGTTCTAGAGGTAACCGTATTTCTAGGTTTTTATGATAGTGAAACATTTTTAAAATAGTAAGGCTGAAATCTGCTGAGCCCATACAAACTTCTATTTACTCAGGCACCTCCTGTCACTATCAGCAGGTCTGACTGAGAAGTATACAAAAGCACACTTGTTGGTCTGTTTCTGGTTACAGTTAATACAAGACTATGGTAGAACTGCAGGGTGGAGTGGGTGTTGGGCCACTACCAGAGAGCTGGTCTTGATGATGGAGAAGATGCTGCCGAGAATCCCTGAACAGATTAGCAGCTCTTTCTGTTGCCTCAGGTGAAGGTGAATGTGATGGAGAACCACAGGAAGCAGGATGCGGCGGGATTCTGGCAGAGAAAACACAAAGATGAGGAAGCCGTTTAGAGGAGAACTAGTTACTACCAGAAGATAGTGGTGGTATTGTGAGACTTAACTGGTTTCAAAGAAGGTGGGGTGGAAACTGGAGCAAAGGTGGAGGTCACTCCCCCTTAAAAGAGTCTAGAAGCTTCATGTCTGGAAATTATAAATTGCTCTTTCGTCTTTTCCTTCCTTCTCAATTAGAGTCCCTGTATTCATGGCATTTTATGCAGGTTGAATGACTAGAGTCTGCTTCCAAATGAAATCTCTTTAATGACTAAACTCCAAATTAAAAGTACAGTTTACATTGAAAATGTAAAGTAAATGTCACATCTAGCATCAACTACAATGACTAGATTTGAAGGCTTGATTTGTATTACTAACTGTACCTCTATTCACAATCTGGCTTAGTAATCTGGCATTCTGGGAATCATTTATGTTGGCAAACCAACAGAGCTCTGTCCTTTCTCCATAGGCTGGTTAGGCTGCTGTTAGGTATATACACGGCATTGGGTACAACAGAAGTATAACCTTTGCATTATCATAGCCTTTGATAACTAGACAATGCTTATTGCCAATCCTACTGCATACTTGAATGTATTTTTCTCTTTTCTGCCTAATGTTACCAGAATAACATTTTAGAACTCTGAATTGAGGAAGTCTAAGCTCTACATTTTAAATACCGTTACTAAATCATTTGGAACATTTAGGCAGTTAACTCCTTCTCCCACTGGCTTGTTTTTCCTTATCTGTAAGATGGGTGTTATGGCTGCTTCTATGTTTACTTCACAGAGGTGGGTTAGAAGACAAAATGAAATGCAAGTGTGAATATGTTTCTGGCACACTGTATTATGTGATCCTGCAGATCCCATCATACCTGGCCAGCAAGCTTCAGTGAGCTTATCAATAACATAAACTATGGCATTTGAATTTATTATTTATATCTGATCATAGGTTAAGTGTTTTGTATGCATTCAAGGAAGAGTTTCTTTTTCTGGTCCTGGGGCCTGAACTCAGCGTCTCAGTGCTATTCCTAAGCCTCTTTGTGCTCAAGGGTAGTGCTCTACTACTTGATCCACAGCTCCTCTTCCAGCTTTTTCTGAGTAGTTTATTGGAGATCAGTGCCTCATGGACTTTTCTGCCAGGGCTGGCTTCAAACCATGATCTTCAGATCTCAGCCTCCTGAATAGCTAGGATTACAAGCATGAGTCACCAGCGCCCAGAAAGGAAAAAATTTTTTAAGCCAAACATAAATTACATGAAATATGAGAGATTTTGACACTGTACTGTCAACACTAAAAAATATGTCCAAACAACCAGGCACCAGTGGCTCATGCCTGTAATCCTAGCTACTCAGGAGGCTGAGATCTGAGGATCACAGTTCAAAGCCAGCCCAGGCAAGAAAGTCCCCATGAGACTCTTATCTCCAATAAACCACCAGAAAACCAGAAGTAGTGCTATGGCTCAAGTGGTAGAGCGCTTGCCTTGAGCTGAAGAGCTGAGGGACAGCACCCAGGCCCAGAGTTCAAGCCCTATGACCAAAAAAAAAAAAAAAAAAAATGTTCAAACAGAACAGAGTAACAGACATTCTGTTTAAAAGGTTGCTTAGGTAAAGAAAAAGTTGCTACTGTATTTTGTACCAGATCAAAATACAGAGTAGGATTTGTAACAACTAACAGCTGCTTCTAGACAAAGTGATAGTGTGTTAACAGAACCTGCTGGAGAAGATACCAGTTTGGTTAAATGATATCACTAGTATGGAATCTCTTGCTTTGAGAAAGATACCATGATGTGGACATTCAGTGAGAGTGGAATGCAAATGAAAAGTTGGTGATTTGCCATAAAATCCAATTCCATGGTCCAATGCCACATCAATTTTAAGAAAAAAAAATTCTTAAGCCATTGTATACAACTGTTGAGCACATGCAAGAATACTAGAAATAAAGTATCTCAGTGAGGGTTTCCTATACATTCTGAAAGAATCTTCTTGAGGCAGTGCACAAAACTGGAGTGGATTTAGTGACAGTGTTTATATCACTGATAAAATTTTCATTCCAAGAGGTGGAACAGAGAAAAGTGTTTACCACAAACACTTACTGGTGGAGAAGGGCTGAATTTCTTGGTGACAGCTTTACCATCAGCAATACTCTACCCTGGCAGAGCTAAGTCAAAGGGAACATCTATTTAGTATTGCAAATATGTGTAGCATTGAAATGAGAAATTGTTCTTATGTCTTAAAGTCAGATTTTAAAAATTAAGCACAAAATTCTGATTATAAAATTCGAATAGTCATTGATTTGCTAATGCTCCAAATTTATTCCTGTGCCCCAGATTATTCTATAATAGTAACATTCTACTTAACGTACTATTCTCCTATTGATCTTAACTAAATTTAAACATTGAGTATTTGATGGCCCTGCAAGGCTGAACTTTGATCACAAGCATTATGTTTCAGAAATTAGTCCAAATATTCATTCTGAGAGGCAGCCTGGGTTGCTGATCTATAGGCTGTTGTGACCACTTAGAGAGAACAAAGGGATCCTTGTCTATTTCTTTCTCTAATCCTTGTGGTTCTTCCAAAGAAAGAAAAAGGAATCTGACTGGAGACACAAGAAAATAAGCAAGCATAGAGTTTTCAGGGCCTCCTTTGGAGGCCTCTTTTATTTCTTTGGTTTATGCTCATCTTCTTGGACTAGACCCACCCCCCTGCTGTTTCTGTTTTGTTTTGTTTAGTGCTGGTCCTGGGGCTTGAACTCAGGGCCTGGCTTCTGTCCCTGAGCTTTTTGCTCAAGGTTAGTGCTCTACCATAAGAGCCACACAGCTCCACATCTGGCTTTTTGGTGTTTAATTAGAGATAAAAGTCACAGGGACTTTCCAGCCAGGGTTGGCTTCAAACTACAATCCTCAGATCTCAGCCTCGTGAGTAGCTAGGGTTACGGGTAAGGCACCAGTGCTTGGCTGGACCCTTTCCTTTTGCTCTCTCTCCTCCCCCTTTGTCTTCTTATTCTTCTAGAAGTGTGGAAGGCAGACTCCATTACTAGCAACTGGCTAGACTTGTGGCCAACCTGAGGACAAGAGCCCCACCTGCTATACATTGAATGTTGTGTCCCCTCCAAATTCATACAATGAAACCTAACCCTGTGAGACAGCATTTGGAAAGGAGTCCCTTGCTAGTGATTAGGTCATGAGGGCAGGAACTTTATGAATGGGAGTGTCCTTTAAAAAGAGACCCCAGAAAACACCCTTGTTCCTTTCAGCACAGAGAGAAGATAGCTTATCTATGAAACAGGAAGGGGTCCTCACTAGATACCAACTATACTGGCACTTTGATGTTGAACTTTTCAGATGCTAGAACTGTGAAAAGTAACTGCCTTAAGTAACCTAGTTTATAATATTCTACAATACAAGCAAAACAAGACTAAGATAATACCCGTAGGCATGCCCTGGGAAATAGATCTCTCTGAACAAATTGTGAGGGAAGCAGTAGACCTGGGTCTTAGCTGCTTTTCCTAACAGTTTAAGAAGAGGGGTCATTGGTTGATGGTTGATAATAACCAATCCTTTGAGAACCACCTGACTATTATCTTGGAAGGGGAGAAACAAGAGCCTGACTCTTACCCCAACTTGATTTACCTGAAAAAGAAAACAGGCGACTGTCCACTGTCCTGGCAATAGACTGCAGCTTCACCACATCCATTGACTGCCCAATGTGCACAGTGCTGGGCATGCTCCCCAGAGTCCCTCTCACAAACTCTGCCACCTCTTGCACAGTGAACATTTGCAACAGCTCATCAAAGATAGTTGGGAAAGAATTGAGGAGTGCAGCCTGCAGAAGCAAGTGAAGCTGTGGTTAGCTCAGAGTTAAGTCTGCATCTGTCTTGCATGCTCAATGGTACGAGTGAAGAGAGAGGCTCAAAAGGCATTGCAGTATCTTTCCCTTGAGCAGACTCTTCCCAAGTCCTTGACTCAACATGGGCGTGAAGTAAGGAGAACTAAAAAGGAAACCAAAACAACAGAATTCACTGGAGGCTCAGGTTACTTGAAGTTTTTATAATTTGCCAAGCCATTTGCTGGCAAGAGAAGGAAGGAATTCAAATTATGCTATTACTCATCTTTTAATTGGTATAAAGAAAAAAAGTAAGTGCATTTTTTTATGGTTAACTAGGGATAAGAGTTTCTTGGTTTTGTCTTCCCTGGCTGTCTTCGAACCAATATTCTTAGATTTCAGCTTCCTGAGTAGCTAAGAGTATAGGGTGAATAACTGGCACCAGCCTTACTAACTTTTTTTCTTTTGTCAGTCGTGGGGCCTGAACTGTGGGCATAGGCTCTGTCCCTCAGCTCTTCAGCTCAGGGCTAGTGCTCTACCTCTTGAGCCACAGCGCCACTTCCAGCCTTTTCTACTTATGGGGTGCTGAGGAATCAAACTCAGGGCCTTATGCATGCAAGGCAAGCACTCTACCACTGAGCCAATTTCCCAGTCCCCTTACTTTTTCTCCTGATCTCTACCTTCCAATTGCCTGGCCCATGCAACACTGATATTTCTAACAGATTCTAATCCTACTTTTTTAGCCAGTGTTTTCCAGTTATTCCTATTAGTTTTCCATTATTTCACTCTTAACTAAGAATGGAAAAGTACTATAAAAAAGTGGCACTGTGGCTACAAGTGGTAGAGGACTAGCCTTTAGTTAAAAAAAAGCTCAGGGATAGTGCCCAGGCCCTATGTTCAAAGCCCATGACCAACAAAACAAAAACAAAAACAAAAAAATTAACACTGGCTAACTAGGAAATGAAATTCCCATAAATAGGGAATCCTGAATATCCTCTATAAGGTATTCATTTTTTTAAAAACCTAGAGAATGGTTGCTGATTTGTATGAAAAGAGGGTTCCCAACAGCAAATTTGTGTTATTTCTCCAACATTAAGTCACTAAACTGTTTCATACCTGGTAAATGAGGTAAAGTTAACTTCAAAATAAAAGTGGCATTTTGTTCTATCAAATGTTTCCTTGTAAATTACCTTTTATCCAACATATAAGATTCTAGTAGGGCTTCTGCAAGTCAGAGGACAAAGAAACCATTTGCTAAGACAGGCAAGGAATTTAGTAGCCAAACTCTGCAGCTCACAGACCTGAGTGAAAAGGAGTGTTTCTGAGTTTCTGCTGTCCAGACTGAGCACAAACCGGATAGACTGGAAAAGTTCTTGAATGCTGGACCGAAATTGCTCCTCTTCCATCCCACATGTAGCTCGAGAGTACAAGATTCGAGACTGTACAATGAACTTGAAAAGGTACTCCAAGGCCTAGAAATGTGAAAGGAAAGTAATACAGTCTAGGAATGAAAATCAGGTGACAGGCAATTCCAACTTGGATAGGTTTATTTTATTTTTTTGAAAACCTTTTTCTCAAAACTCCAACTAAGAAACCACTGTCTTTACTGATACTAATAAAAATAATTTTACAACTGTTTTCTGAATTAAAGAGTCACAGGTTGTTATGAGAAGAGGTGAACGGAACATTAAAGAGTGACCCCTCCCCCCATATGTACAGTGAGCTTAGGACATTACCCGCATGGCTTCCTGAATGTGATCTTGCCGAATCAGTTCTGCTGAGCAGTCCATATACCACTTCAAACAGCGGATGAGCTCCCTGGGAAAGAGAACAGTTAAAGAAAGCCCATATTTAAAGCTCCTTTAAAAAGGCATTCAGTGCAAAATGTTTAGTCAAGTAAGAAACTCAGAAACAATTAGTCAAATAATATTCTGCTGATGAGCTAGAATGGAGTAATAAATCCATTAGAACTGTGGAATTTTCATACCATCTGAGACAGACATAGACTTCCTTGTTCAAATGGAGTTGCCCTATTTTGATCAGCAAGTACAATTTCTCTTTCCCATAGTTCTTTTCCCAGAAACCTAGATTGGATATGTGTTTTGTTTTGTCTTAAATTGCTATGTCCAGAACATACAACCCTCACTTGTGAAAAGAAAATTCTCAATAAGTGTTTATTTCCATGTGTCATCATTCCTAACCTTGTCTTCTGGGGATCAAGTCATCTGAGAGGAATGGGATTAATGGCTCAGAAGGTTTATAAAGTTACATGGCAAGAGATCACAGAAATCAAAGTAAAGGCTGTGTTCAGATCTGGGGCCTGTAGTATCTATCTCTGTATCCTTAGCTAAGTTATTTAATCCCACTGTGCCTCATTCTTTTTATTTAAGATATGGAGGAAATAGTACATCTCAAAGTTATGGAGAATATTAATAGGATGACATGCAAAGCACATAGAATAGTGTATGACCTCTAAAGTGACCTATAAGTATCAGAGTTCTAATGTCAGTATTTTGTTGCTGTTAGGTTTTGTTTTAAAAAAAAAAAACTGTGCTCACTTCATGAAAGAACATTTTTTAAGTGTTTAACATTTTTAACAGTGTTAGATACCATGTATTCTCTCGTTTACTAGTTATAAAATCATTTTTCTCTGAAATTTGAGTGGTATTTTTCCTATTCATGTTTCATAAGAAACAAGACTTATTTTTAGTAGGTTTACCATTCTTTTTTTCTGTTTCTCTCCTTTCTCTCACCTACCCTCCTTTCCTTCTTCTCCCCCATCCCTTTCCTTTCCCTCCTTTGTTTATAGTCTTGACATCTGAGCAAGGCCTTATACTTGATAGACAAGTGATGTACTACTGTTTGAGCCATACCCTCAGCACTTTTTATTTTTCCAAACAGGTCTTGTGTTTTTTATGCCCTGCCAACCTAGACTGCATTGTCCTACTGAATAATTGAGATGACAGGTGGGAACCATCACATCTGGATTTTACTGACTGAGATGAAGTCTGGAGAATTTGTTGCCTAGACTTTCCTCAGATCACAATCCTCCCCATCTCCAGCTCCTGAGTAGGCTACTATGCTTGGCCATCATCATTTCTCAGAAAGGAAAGTATGGCAATTATGTAATAAACTGTAGTTTCAAATTTCAGCTGAAAGCCCATAGATAATATCATATTCAATAGCAAAAGACTGAAAGCTTTTCTTCTAAGATTAGGAATAAGAAGAGAATACTCATTTCCGCCACTGTTTTCCCAAAACATCTTAGAAGTTCTACCCAGAGCAAGTAGGAAGGAAAAGGAAATAAAAAAGCATCCAATCTAGAAAGGGAAAAAGCAAAGTTACCTCTGTTTTCAAGTGACATGATTGTGTATGTGTATGTGTGTTTTTACACACACAGACACACACAAAACACTAACAGTTGTAGGATATAAAATCAACACAAAAATCAATCATATTTATATACCCTAACAATGAACAATCTAAAAGAAAATTAGGAAGAAAACTTCCATTTAAACAGTGTCAAAAGGGCTGGGACGGTGGCTCAGTGGAAGAGAGCTTGCCTTGCATGCATGAGGCCCTGTGTTCTATTCCTCAGCACCACATAAGCAGAAAAAAAAAAGCTGGAAGTGGCACCGTGGCTCAAATGAGCTGAAGAGCTGAGGGACAGCACCCAGGCCCAGAGTTCAGGCCCCACGACTGGCAAAAATAAATAAATAAATAAATAGTGTCAAAACAAAACACTGGTCTGGGAAGGTGGATCAGTGGCAGAGTATAGTGCTTGCCTTGCATGCATGAGGCCCTGGGTTCAACTCCTTAGCACCACATAAGCAGAAAAAGCCAGAAGTGGCACTATGGCTCAAGTGGTAGAGCACTAGCCTTACGCTGAAGAGCTGAGGGACAGTGCCCGGGCCAAGAGTTCAGGCCCCACGACCAACAAAAAAAAAGAAAGAAAAACAAAGTACTTTTGCCAGATGCTGATGGATCACATCTGTAATCCTAGCTCCTTAAGAGGCTGAGATTTGAGAATTGTGGTTTGAAGCCAGCCAAGGCAAGAAGGTCCATGAGACTCTTATCTCCATTAAACTACTCACAAAGCGCCAGAAGTGGTAGAGTACTAGTCCAAAGCAAAAAGAAGCTCAGAGACAGAGCTCAGGCCCTGAGTTCAAACCCCAGGACCAGCACCAAAATATAAATAAAATAATAAAATTCTTTGGAATAAGACTTGTACACTATTTGGAAACTACAATGTACTGAAAGAAATTAATTGCTATAGATTTCAGCTTTATAAGATGAAAATATTTCTAGTTCTGGTCATAGCTGCACAATATATTCACAATATGAGTGAGTGAATTTAATTTCATTGAACTATAAGCTTAGAAAATGGTTCAGAGAGTAAAGTTTATGTTGCAGGCATTTTGCCACAATTGGCAGGGGGTGTGGGGGGGTTGCAGCTTAACTTTTTAAAATTATCTTTTTGCTAATAATGACCACAAATGCAACTTACTTGTATGCCAGGGCTCCAGCAAAGTGCTTCTGGATATATGTGTCCATCACAGGTCGGAAATGGAAATATTTGATGTCTCGGAGCAGGTTGATGATAAAAACCTGGGAGAAATGGAAAGTAAGCCACCTGGGATTCACAGGAGGCCTCAGACCTGTCCCTAGCAGAAAAGAGATTCTTATATCTTCTAGGAAGAATAACTGTGTTTTCTCTAAATGTTCTTCATGGGTAGTAAACATGACTTCTGTTATGTCTGCATTGTTGTTTGCTTCTTCTCTTTCTCACACCCCTCAGCCTCTTGATCAAAATCTGAAACCCCATGGTTCATATGTATGTTAATCTGAACCTCTTAGTTCACAGTAATGCTGAGAGGTATAATATGGACCAGGGATAGGCAAAAGATAAATGCACAGGTGCATAAACACCCAAGTGTTTTCAAAAACTTAGAAAAATGAGGGGAAAAGACTGTTCTTTGAGATAAATCAGGCTATGAAAGACCGTGCACTTTATGAACAGGGCTGGTAGTCAAGGAAACAAAGAAGAAATGCCAGAAGGATAAGTGCCTATTTTCCACGCTGGCCTCAGTTCTCTATCAGGTAAACTGGACTACCTGATTCTTCTTCAATATAAAGCCCTCTTGTGAGACTGGATATAAAGCAAAATGTACTAAACATTTATTCAATGTTCAGTCTCACTAAGATAATCTGAAACTCTGGCTCTGAAACAAATGCATAGAGGGAGAGAGTCGTTAGAGACTTCCGGAACTGTACAGATCTCTAAAGACTAGCCTGAGTTTCTTCTTTTCCCAGTAGCTCTATTCTACTTTATCGGATAAGAGGAATGGGCCATCTGGTTTCCTCTATTAGTCTCTGAACTGATTGCTAGTGTAAGTCACTATTTCAGGGTCCAAGCAATCTTGTAAATAGCAATGAGACTGATAATCCAGAACTATAAAGCCTAGGTCTCAATGTCACCAAGCTGAATTCAACATAACATCTTAGAGAGACCTGCCTGGCAGAGGTTAATTTGCAGTCTTCCTTGGGTGACATTCTTCATTCTCTTTTCTGCACCTTCTCCTGATTCACTCTAATGAACTGCTTCCCTTAAACTCTATTGAAGCATGTGACAGGAATAATTAGTAAAAAATTAATTGTCAGGAAGTGACTTACCAGAGACTGGAAAACCAACAGGCCATATTTCTCTGTATTATCATCCAAAATCACAAAGAGTGTGTCTAAAATATCCTGCAGAAACTGAAACAATATAAGAAGAAAAGGATTCAGGTCTCAGGCCTTGAATGCATGATCAAACTTTACACACCAATAAATTTAGCTCCCAGTAAATGAAGTGAAAGACCTCATAGAACCTTAAAAAATAACAAAATCGGGCTGGGAAGGTGGCTCAGTGGTAGAGTACTTGCCTTGCATGCACGAGGTCCTAGGTTCAATTCCTCAGCACCACATAAGCAGAAAATGTCGGAAGTGGCAGTGGCTCAAGTGGTAGAGCACTAGCTTTGAGCTGAAGAGCTGAGGGACAGTGCCCAGGCCCAGAGTTCAGGCCCCACAACCGCCAAAAAAAAAAAAATAATAATCTAATATGCTGTTTCCACCAAGCTAAGGGATAACTACAGAGACTTGGGGTGTTTTCTTATGATCAAAGGATTATGAGAGAGACACAGAAAGGCTCTTCCTTTTGGAAGAGGTGCTGAACTTATTTTTTTTTTTTGGTCGGTCATGGGGCCTGAACGCTGGGCCTGGGCACGGTCCCTCAGCCCTTCAGCTCAAGGCTAGCCCTCTGCCACTTAAGCCACGGCACCACTTCCGGCTTTTTATGCTTATGTGGTGCTGAGGAATTGAACCCAGGGCCTCATGCATGCAAGGCAAGCACTCTACCCAGCCCGAGGTGTTGAACTTCTAAGTAAAGAGCAATTACCTTAAAAAAGTAGGGTACTACGGTAGAATATTAATTTTGACATAAAAGAACCAGTTATTCTGATGCCAAGTTCATTTTGAGAAAAAGAATTCTCTTTATTGGGAACTCAAAGTGTTCTACTAGTAGTCTTTTTCTCTTTATTAATTATATGGAAAGCTAAGATTTACCTAGAGAAACTTTTTTTTTTGGCTTGGGAATTAGTATTGCAGGGCAAGGGAGAATACAACCAAAGAGAGCTGTGAACATGGGTAAGAAATCTGGCAGAGTTTTTTGCTGTTTTGGAGCATGTGCATTGCAAAAATAAAAGGAGTAAATAAGTACTAATGAATATTTTGAGTCTGGAAAATTCAAATCTAACATCTTGCTAGTCAAATCCCATTTAATGACAACATTTACAATTCACTTCAAAACAACATGAGGTAAAAGTATAGATTAGGGTATTGATGGATCAAGATTAGTTTAAAGGTTGTTGAAACCAGGTGAGGGATACATATAGACTTTTTCTTACTGCTACTATAGGTATACTTAAAATTTTTCCAAGAAAAAGTAAAATAATAACAATAACAAAATGCCAGTATATTCTCTTCTGGCTAAACTGACACAGATGCTAAACTAGATACTTTGGCAGATGTTTTCCTGTCAGGAAAATGACAACTTACCATTGAAAACAAACCTACAGACTCCTGTCTATGTAGTGATTATTATTTTAAATATGCTAAAAATGCAAATGATTTTTATGGGGGCTGGGAAGGTGGCTCAGTGGTAGAGCACTTGCCTTGCACGCCTGAGACCCTGGGTTCGATTCCTCAGCACCACATAAGCAAAAAGAAAAAAGCCGGAAGAGATTCTGTGGCTCAAGTGGTAGAGCGCTAGCCTTGAGCTGAAGAGCTGAGGGACAGCGCCCAAGCCCAGAGTTCAGACCCCACGACCGGACCCAAAAAAAACAAAAAACAAACAAACAAAAAAAAACAAATGATTTTTATCTTAAGCTTCAAAACTAGTATTGCCTTGTCTATGATTATTAAAAATCATAATTTGATTAAAACAAAATTAATACAGTAACTTAATAAGGGCACACATACTTTAAAACTATTGCTTATTTGAAGGTTCTTTATTGTATATTACCAAGTCAATGGAGTAACAAAATGAAAGCAGCCATACTAAATTATCTGTACTTGTGATGCAGAGCTAAAAATACTCATTACGGACAGGATGATTTCTTGAGATTTAATCTGTACTTATATTCTATTTTTTCTTCCTGATGAGTGAAGGCTCCTCCACTTTTTTCAGCAGAGTTCAGATCATCATGTAGGATTTTTCTGATGGCCTTTCACCACTAAGAAGTACTTGGGGTACTCTTCAGCTAAAAACAGGTAGGCAAGCAATCTGCCCAGAAAATCCCTATGCAGGCAAGTGAGGACTGAAAGTGTTTCTGGCAGCCCACTTATGGGTAATAGATGGAAAATATCACATAGGTATCTATAGAAAGCAGTTGAGGTAAAGAAGCTACCTTGGCATGTATTAAAAGTGAGAGATGGAGCAAAATTAACAGATTCGTTAGTGTACAGCACTCAGAGTTATTATAATTAGGAGAACAGAGCTGCCAGAAAGACATTAGTCTAAGTTTGTGGCAAAATAGTTACAAAATAAGGGAAATAAGGAAGAGACCAAAAGAAAAGAGAATCAAAGGAACAAATGCATACAGCCCAAAACACTGGGATTAGTTCTTGAAAATACTTTTCTTTTTTTTTTTTGTCGGTCGTGGGGCTTGAACTCTGGGCCTGGGCGCTGTCCCTCAGCTCTTCAGCTCAAGCCGAGCGCTCTACCACTTGAGCTACAGCGCCACTTCTGGTTTTCTGGTGGTTTATTGGAGATAGGAGTCTCATGGACTTTCCTGCCCGGGCTGGCTTTGAACCTCGATCCTCAGATCTCAGCCTCCTGAGTAGCTAGGATTACAGGCGTGAGCCACCAGCGCCCGGCTTTGAAAATACTTTTCCTACTACCCATTTTGCCTACTGGAAATAAAGTTGGATTTATAACTTTAAAATGGTTTTTGTTGTTGTTTGGTTGTTCTGATATAGGGTTTCACTAAATATCCCAACCTTGAATTTGTGATCCGCCTGTCTCTGCATCCCAAGAGCTGTTATTACAGCTACAAACCATCACCTTAAATATAGATTTAAATATAGTTTTTACAAAATAATAAGCCTGATAGAGTGTGTATATATATATATGTATATGTATATATGTACACATATGTGTATGTTTATATACATATGTGTATGTGTATGTGTGTAACTTTAAATAAGGCAGCTAACAACAAAACAACTATCAAGAAAAACTTCCAAAAATATTCCTATTTACTGTTATGTATCTGGAGAAATGGTCTTAAGGCACTTACTGGGAAAAATAATGAAGAAGCAAAAAGTCTTCTGCCAAGATTCTCTCTTAGGAAATGTGTTTGAAATTATGGAAGACATACCTTAACAATTTCTTCCCCACTGACATGCCGCAGCCGCCCTAGGATGTCCATGATCCGATCTGGAAAGGCCTTCCATTTCAATAGAGCAAGGAGGTCCACTAGAAAGCAAGTCCAAAAGATGGTGAACCCTTAGTCTTCTATGATTAAGCAAGGCCAGGCTCTTACAAAAAGGACACGAGGGATCTAAATGAAGAGAACTAGCTGTGAGCATCACAATATACTCTTCAGTGCTGAGATCAAGGTCAAAGACATATTTGTTTACCTTAAACTGTGGAGCTACTAAAACCATGGGAAAGCTTGTAGGTTGCTATTATTGAGCATTCCTTCAACTTGAAATGGAAAAAAGACCCTTACTGTGTCCTGAAGTATTGATCTGTTTCCCTTAACATGCACTAGCAACAGGGAACCAATGACAGTAGTCAATGGAGGACATTACCCTTCAGGCATCATTACCTACCATTCTGGGTGAGTTTGGTAGAAGAGAGTTGTGTAGAAATGAAGAAAGATTCTTTTGTGCTGCGCTGGAAGATGAGGCTAGAGGGGATATTAGGGCAGCCATTGTAATCTTCTTTGCAGCAGGGCAGGCCCAGGTACAGAGCATGGTTGTTAAATGTGCTATTCTCATCACACTGTAGGGAATAAAAAGTAGACAATTGACAAAGCGCAAAAACTACATTCCAAAGAATATATAAGTTACTACTTGCTGGACCTTGGGCCTCAAGTCCTCTCGGAAGAGTGCTTTCTGTTTAGAAACTTTCCAGAACAATCAGTGTACCTTTTAAATAGAACATGTTGACAGCTGACAGTGCCATAATTACAAATAATATGTCTCATAAGGTACTAGCTAAGACCACAATAGAATAGAGGAGTTAGGAATGGATTTCCACCCTGCTAAGTGGGAGGTGGAACACAAAGGGTTTGTCAGTGTTAGTTATGGGAGGAAGTTCAGTATACTTAGAAAACAAAAGCCAGTTGTTAGCTGTCCTGTTGCCACCACCAGCACACAGCCTAGAACTCAATCCAATGAAAACCACCTGAGAACCACGTACAAGAGTGGCCACAGGGAAAAGATGGGGATGAAGACAGCCAAATCCCATACCTTGTACACATAAAGCTCGTGAATATCATCAGAGAGGGTGGTGCCATCATCACGCATCAAGGGTGAGAATGCAAAGCCAAAGAGTTTCTTTTCCCCTTTGTCCTTTGCTACAATCAGAGAAAAGTGTTATTTGCTTTTGCTCTCCACTCTTCTTCTTAGAAATTCCCCTGCCCCTTGTCACATTCTTTTGTCCCTCTTTTCTTTCATTAACTAGATAAAACAAACTAACTGCAGGAATGATAAGTATGCTGGAATGAGTTGCTATTTATACTCTGATATATGCAGACTACCCAGAATCCAAACAAAACTGGCCTTTAAGAAGGGTTCTTTTAAGAAGCAGTTTAATAGGTTTAAGGGTAACACCCAAAGGAGAATGATGATGGCTATTCCAGACAGTAAGAAGGGTCAATACTAGATCTTACAGCTTTGAACCATTGCTTTTACAGTCCACAGTACAGCCTCTGATGGCATCTGATTTCTAAGGTCTTTTTTCCATTTCTCAACTCCTCATTTTTTTTCTTTTATAAGAATCCTTTTAACTTCATTCCAGAGAGGAGTACTATATTCATGTACTCAAGGGAATGTGAAGGGAAGTTTCACTCACTGGAACAATGTCTGAACTCAAAACGTAGGTGGGAGCCCCGGAATCTGTCAATGGGGATAGGCAATTTGATAATTTCTCCCCAACGAGGACTATTGCTGTGGTAGAGGACAAAAGAGTGATAGGAACTCCTATTGGGCTCTCCTGAACCCAAGCTGATGCAATCCTGGAAGAAAGAAGCAAAATATCATGTTATCTTCATAAAAGGAACATCTCAATTTCTCTGTGTTGCCAACACTTCCCTTTCTCCAAATGTAAATATTTTATTTTGCACCAGGCCAAATCTAAGATGAGAATGCATTTGACTTAAAGCTGATACTTTTGAAAACAGTTGTATGGATGGTATAAGGATTTTGCAGTTACTTCTGCCCTTAGTCCTTATTACTAAGGCACACTCTTCATCAACATTGAAAAATGAAATAATGAGGTTCATGACAGAGTCAAATAGGCATAACATTTCACTAGATCAGGAAGAAATACTAAAACTCTGGTACTATTTCACTAGATCAAGAAGTACTAAATTTTAAAAAGAAGAGACCTTGTTTTCTAATTTTCCTCAGTGCAATGCTGGACTAGCATTGTAGGTCACTCTTTACTAATTTTCATTGGAGATAAACAAAATAGGACAGATTTAACCCAGTTCCTGAATGTTGCCACAAAGATGCAGTCTTGGAGGAATGATCCTTCCTTGGAGGATAGGAAGCTCTGGACAATCAGGAGCATCTGATGTCCACACATGGGTGACATAAATGGTTGACAGTGCTGCTAATCTTAGCACTCTTCATCCAAATGCTGGGGAAGTCTATGACTTTGAGTTGGGCTTTTAATATCAATCAATCAATCAATCGGCCGAGCGCTGGTGGCTCAGGCCTGTTACCCTGGCTACTCAGGAGGCTGAGATCTGAGGATCACGGTTCAAAGCCAACCCGGGCCAGAAAGTCTGTGAGACTCTCATCTCTAATAAACTACCAGAAAACCCGAAGTGGCACTGTGGCTCAAGCGGTAGAGCACTCGCCTTGAGCTGAAGAGCTGAGGGACAGTACCCATACCCAGAGTTCAAGCTATTTCAACATTTCTGTCTTGCTTTGGGGGATAATTGGCTGCTGCCAATACAAAGAGGTGAGGTTTGCTTTCTGCAAGTAGTGACTTATTATTCTCATGTTCACTACCATGACATGCTAGAGGAAAAAACAAACACAGTGACAACAGAAAAACAACACTTCCAGGTCTCCATTCTCAGTGAAGAGTGGCAGAGGATCATTGTGTTAAAATGACTTGAACCCAGAGCTGAGGGTGATATTCTTTCTCCCATAACTTGCTACCATCAAGTAAACATCAGGGCTGGGAAGGTGGCTCAGTGGTAGAACGCTTGCCTTGCATGCCAGAGGCCCTGGGTTCGATTCCTTAGCACCACATAAGCAAAAAAGAAAAAAGCCAGAAGTGGCGTTGTGGCTCAAGGGGTAGAGTGCTAGCCTTGAGCTGAAGAGCTGAGGGACAGCACCCAGGCCCAGAGTTCAGGCCCCACGACTGGACCCAAAAAAAAAAAAAAAGTAAACATCAAAGTCCCACCTTGATCAAAATATAAGTATAATTTTCTGTGTCAGCTTAAGGAATAAAAGATGAAGTGAGGGCTGGGAAGATGGCTCAGTGGTAGAGCACTTGCCTTGCATGCCTGAGGCCCTGGGTTCAATTCCTCAGCACCACATAAGCAAAAAAGAAAAAAGCCGGAAGTGGTGCTGTGGCTCAAGTGGTAGAGCACTTGTCTTGAGCTGAAGAGCTGAGGGACAGCGCCCAGGCCCAGAGTTCAGGCCCCACAACTGGACCCCCCCCCCCAAAAAAAAAAAAAAAAAAAAAGATGAAGTGAGATCTCATATCCATTACCAAAAGTAGGCAGCTCTATGCTTAGGCAGAATGGCAGAAGAGGTAACATGTAGGACAGAACTAGAGGGAATAGGTCTAAACTGGAGCAGAAGGCATTCAGTGCAGACATTAGTAAGAACTTCTGCAAAGATTATCTGATATTGGAAGTCTTTATTGAAACACACTGTAAGGTTTCCTTGAAGAGACGAAAAGAAAAAATACATGCAGGATGGATTCAGTCCTGATTGAAGGGACTGAGTCTCTGGACAATGTCCACCAAAATATTAGAACTACTACATTAGCTTCCATTACAAATGACTGACGAGTAAGCCTTACCTTCAAGATCTCTCCATCTGCATAAAGCACATACATGGTCACTTCAATATTCTTTTGTACACTCTTTCCTCCTCTCTCAAAATCCCCCTTCTCCAGGGTTAGGTACAGGTCATTGCGGATATCACCTGTGAGAAAAGAGATGCCATGTTCTCATAATCACAGAATTCACACTGCCCCGTTGGCATTTGGATCTTCAGGGGCTCAGGTAGGTGATCATTCCAAGCTTGGTTAATAACGATGAACATTCTATCAATCTCAGTGCAGCAGTACTGGGAAGGTTAGTCACGTGTCTAAGGGCTAAAGTTCACCACTGTTTATTGAGGGTAGTCGTCTCTTATACTGTAGTTTATTCAGACTTCTCAGTCTCTTTCTTCTCTAGAACAATGATTGTAAACTAAGCCCCTCAACGATGGATGCTTTTACAATGGATGTTTTTGACTTTCAAAAACATAGTTGAAGCAGGGGAGTGGGGGGATATGCAAAGGCAGAAAATGGCTAAGAAAAACATGTAAAACCAAAGAGAATATGTATTAGCAGCCTACAGCAACCAACTGAAAAGTGACCACATAATTCACTTACAAAGCAAGCCAATTCAGAAGCCAGATATTCTTTCTACTTCAGTTCTTAGAAAAACTGGCACACTGAAATACATTCACTATCTAGAATCACAATGACAGAAACAAGATTTGGTTTTGGTTGGTAAGTGAGTTTTTGGGTTTGTTCAGAGGAGTATGATAATGCCTTTTTCTGTACCAATGTCTAATTGTGGAAGCATCTGAATGTCTCTCATGCATGAAACAAGAATAAACAAGACTGACAAAAAATCAGCTTTCTTCTAGAGTCTTCATGATTAGTCCTTTCCTTCTACAGATCACCTCTCTTGTCTTGGAGGGCAACCTTATCACAGTTATTTAGACGCATAATCAAGTTTTTCAAAATACTTGGGCTCAAGTGAAGAAGAGTAGTCCAAGACAATTAATTACTCTTTCTGTGAGAGCCCTGGGAAACTTCTGTAATCTGTGAATAGCATCCTGCTTTCCAAACAAACACTCCCAGAGCTACCATGAAGGGAAGAGGGAAATGAATTCTGAAAATTCAGCTGTTATGTATATGTGGGGCAGCACTGAGGTTGTCCATCCTTACAATCTGTTTCGAGTTTCCTCCTAGGTTGGGTAGATCCTCTATTTGGAATGTTGATGAATTTGAAACATTTATCCACTTTCTTTGGACATCTTTCTTGGGCTCCTCCTAGTGTACCATTAACAATGCTCAGGTGTGTAGAAGGGGTGGAAAAGCAGGACGAAAGAGGAGAAAAACACAAAATTCATGTTTGCTACTGTGAGAATACAGGCTGCATAAAAAGAGTTCTAAAAGTACTGAAAATCCTCAAAGTTCAAAATTCAAACCTAATTAGCAACCTCATGGGCTCTTGCTACTATAATGGAATTACACTAGTTAGAATACATTGGAATAGAATTGGTTACATCTGGTTTTTTGTTTCAGATGGTACTGGAGTTTGAACTCAGGGCCTCCCACTTGCTAGGCAGGTGCTTTACCATTTATTTGAGCCATGCCTCCAAGCTATACACCTGAATTCTTAAACTGTAACAGAGCCATCCTCTGGGAAAACAAAAATTTACTAGTTGCGCATTAGCTTCCCTACGGAAATTAAGTAACTATTCAGTTTCTAGAAAAATTTACTTAACAGGAAATAATCTAGAGATTTTAATGTCTAGAGGCTAGATGCTTGGTTTAAATATTACTGCTGTTATCACTTCTTGGAGAACCTTTATTCTAAAGATTAATAGGTGTGGCTTTCTGTGAGTCCTGGGGCTTGAACTCAGGGCCTCAGTACAGTCTTTGAGCTTTCTTGCTCAAGACACTACCACTTGAGCCACAGTTCCATTTCTGGATTTTTTTCAGTGGTTAATTGGAGATGAGTCTCAAGGACCTTCCTGCACAGGCTGCCTTTGCACCATGATCCTCACATCTCAGCCTGCTAAGTAGCTAGGATTACAGGTGTGAGCCACCAGTGCCTGGCCCTTGTGGCTTTTAAAAGGAGTTATCTGTTAGCTATTATCACTATTCTTCTATAAGCACTATTTATTTCTATGTCTCTCAATGAAGACTGACCATGCTACATAAATATGCCCTTAAATAAAATGTTTTGGAACTTTAATGGGATAATCATAATGGGATAATCATAGGTGGAAGGGATAACAACATGCACACACTCTTGTGCGCGCTCTCTCTCTCTCTCTGTTTCTCTCTCTGTCTCTCTCTCTCTCTGTCTCTCTCTCTTCTCCCCCCTCTCTGTCAGCTGGGAATCAGTACAAAAGCAGATTGTTGACTAGATATCATTTGCCAATTCCTTGCTTGAAATATTTGTATATAAAAATAGCTACACTACATTTCAACTATACATTAAAAAATCCTATTTTTGTGATCCTACACCAGTAGCTGCTGGAGACCAAAAAAATGAGGCTGAAGCCACCTCATCACATCGTGATTGGCCTGAAATACTCTTGAGGTCCTTATGGAAAAAAAGGTCTAAGAAGAAATCTTAGGTACTGGAGCACTGTTGACAGTGAGGTTATATGCCAAGGATCCAGTAAATAGGTTTGACCTTCCAAAGACATGCATCCTATACTAGTATGATTCTAGAGAATCAGAGCTCATGACATATCTTGTAGGTTTATTCTGAGAGCAGTCTATTTAGAGGTCTCAGAACCTTGAGGTGTAGCTCAAGCAACAAAACATTTTCTTTTAGTAAAGCAATCTCTTGATAGAAAATCCAGCCTGTCTGGGAATTTAAGGCCTTATGTTTTACAACATTCCAGCCTAGCCAGGCGCTAGTGACTCATGCCTATAATCCTAGCTACTCAGGAGGCTGAGATCTGAGATCATAGTTCAAAGCCAGCCAGGGCAGGAAAATCAGTGAGACTCTTATCTCCAATTAACTACCAGAAAACTGGAAGTGGCGCTGTGGCTCAAGTGGTAGAGCACTCGTCTTGAGCTGAAGAGCTCAGGGACTGAGCCCAAGCCCACAGTTCAAGGCCCATGACCAGGGAAAAAAAAAGGTTCCAGCCTATGTGAAATTCCATCTCAGTAGAAATGATCTATAAGTCCCACACAAGGGTGGGCACTCACTCTGGTTTGTATTATTATATTTAGCTCTCCTGTATAAATTATTCCTACCAAAAATTAGGAAGTTCTGCATTCAAGTGAAAATAGTGCTTAATACTATATGATTTATACTTTTTTATAGATATGATTGTCAGGGCACTTCAGATGTGATTTCTTTCTCCTAGAAAACAAGAACTAACTCCCTTTCAGAAGACACAGACAATTGGGATTACACCAATCCTATCTCTTGTCAAAAAAGGAAGAAGGCTAGTATCAGCAATCATCAAGATATGGAGATAGCTGCCACCATATGAGGAATTTCAGATATATTTTATTTTGTAGTAGATATTGCTTTATTGAGGAACTGCTTTGCAGTTCTTATTTTGGAGGGTAGAAGACTTCTTGGAAGAACATTAAATTACTCAGAAAAGATGGGCTCTATTTTCCTCACAATGTCTCTAGTTCCTGGACTATACCACTGCAAAACTAGTGATACCCTCGGCTCTAACAGGATGACAAGAGGGGCAAAGGGTGACATCACTGTATATAGTTAATCTTTTGAGGGGGGTCAGGAATGTGATGACATTCCAACTTCTTGTGAGACCAGTAGTGATCACTGCCAAACTGTTGCTCAGAGATAATGCCAAAGCCTCATTAAAAATAAAAATGCTATGCTGGGCACTGGTGGCTCACGCCTGTAATCCTAGCTACTTAGGAGGCTCAGATCTGAGGATCACACTTCAAAGCCAGGCTGGGCAGGCAAGTCTGTGAAACTCTTATCTCAGATAAACACCAGAAAACCAGAAGTGGCGCCGTAGCTCAAGTGATAGAGTGCTCGCCTTGAGCTGAAGAGCTGAGGGACAGCGCTCAGGCCCAAAGTTCAAGTCCTATGACCGACAAAAAAAAAAGCCAGCCGGGCGCCGGTGGCTCACACTGGTGTCTACTCAGGAGGCTGAAATCTGAGGATCTCGGTTCAAAGCCAGCCCAGGCAGGAAACTCTGTGAAACTCTTACCTCCAATAAACCACTCAGAAAATTGGAAGTGGCATTGTGGCTCTAGTGGTAAAACACTAGCCTTGAGCTGAAGAGCTGAGGAACTGAGGGACAGGGCCCACACCGAGTTCAAGCCCCACACACACACAAAAAAAAAAAAAAAAAAGAAGAAGAAGAAAAAAATGCCATCAGGTCAAGCAGTCCCAAGTCTCAAGCAGCCAAAGTTTCAGACTGACCATAGTACTATCCACCAAGTAGTAGTAAATAATTTCATTATTCTTCTTAAGAAGAGCTATCTTCCAAAGGACATGTCTGTGTCTGTCCTTCTTATCAAACATGTCCTAGCAGAGCTGAAAAAATAAAACTTTCTGCACCTTTATGATACTCCATAGCTTGGGACAAACACTACTCATTTTCTTGTAGGGTAACTTATCTATCTCATAAAAATTCTTTCCTGTATCTACATACCTTAGAGTGTTATGCCTTACTAAATATTCCAATATACGCAGTAATTGAAGGTGGGCTGGTGGCTTTTTTTTAAGGTCTTGTCAGTTACACAGGAAGGTGAGGCTGATGAAGGATTAATAATGCACATGATCCATTCCCAGTATTGTAACATTCCATGAAACAAATGAAGATGGGAACAAAGCAGGCCATGAGCAGACAAGACACAAAAAACCAGGAACTTACACCCAACTATCTTCATCTCTGCATCAGAAATAAAGGGGCGAGAATAAGCGGACAGCACAGAAAGAAACAAGAACAATTTAAGACAAACAGGAAAAGAAAGAAACATCACTTGCAGGTCAGTGATGAAGCATGCACTTTTTAAAACAGGTATCAAAGAAAAAGTGTATTTCTGAGCACAAGGACTAAATCAAAGGGCCTTCTTGAGGGACGCATATATGCATAGCTGTTTTCTAATGGGCAAGTCTAGGGCAACCTGGAAAGGAGCAGTGTTTGCCTCAGATCTGGCTCAGGAAGTGTAAAACATCCCAAAAGTAGAA